TGAGGGTTGCCGCACGTGTTCCTGATCCTTAAGCCACTGGCTATAACGCCGATTTTCCTCGTAATCGTAGAGGTGAAAAAGGCTCTGCTCCTGCTGTTTCCTCTGCTTCTTCTTCATTAACTGGTCGGCAACCGTCATTTCCTTCTCGTAGCGTCTCAGTATGCAATCAACGGCATCGGTATCAAGAAAACCTACACGAGCGTCACCCTTCCTTATGACAAGCTGCTGACTTTTTGAGCGGTCTATCAACGAGGGGGACAACGCACCCTCCTCGTGGCCTTCGCCCCTGGTCTGCTTCAAAACCACGGTCTGAGCGTCGGCAACATTGGGCAGAGACGACACCGCCCCCCGACCGACGGCATCACCGCCGCCGCCTCCCCGTCCTCCAGTAAACAGCCCCATTCGAACACACGCCCCGACCGCCAATGCTCGTCCCTTCTCCCCTCAGATGTGCACCCGCTATCTAATTATTCTACAACCTCTTGACAACAATCTCGCTCTCATTCTTCCTGGATTCGCACGTTTACAGGCGCAAAAAAAAAAAAAAAAAGGACAAGGTAATAATAATGACAGCAAAGAAAGCCGAGATGGACGGAGAACATTCCCGTCTGTGCCACACAACACGCCGCTGCCCTGCCGACACGATCCCCCACCTCCTTCCATTTCAGAGACGCGCAGGGCAATGGCTGTCAAGCATTTGCTGTTTCACATTCTCAACGTCCCAGAAAAAAAAAAAAAGAAGTAGAGGTATCTGGATGCAGGCCACACATTCAAAAAAAAAAAAAAAAAACATATAAAAAAGGGGTGGGATGCAACCAAACAGCCAGTGCGCATGCACGTATGTATATTTATGTGCACTATATACACATATATGAGAGAGAAACAAAACATCGATTGTATTCATCGTGTATTTTTCTCGTCTCCCACATTTCCTTGGTCCCCCTGGTTTGGTTTCACCGTTCCCTCCCTCCTTCCCATTTTAGTTTGACATGTTCGCTTCTTTTGCGTTGCCAGGTGCGGAGCTCCACTACTCCAGCAAAACATTTTTTCCTTTTCCCTCTCTCCTGTGAAATGCGTTCTTCTTCTCCCTCTTACAAGTGGAGACACGTATGGCACCGTCATTCGGTTGCATCCGTAATGCACAGACAAAAAATGTGGAAAAAAGGCACCCGGAAACGCCTCGCACTGGCTCAGTTGGTAAAAACATGGAAGAGGCTAGTGTATTTTTGCCTGCAAATCGGACAAGAGTCATTTCTTCTCCTCACGTATTTCTCACAGCACGTCGAACAGAAAACCAGGTGACCGCAAGGAAGAAAAAGTTCACTGGCAGTGGCGTTATGACACACACAGCAGAGACCATGACCTCCCTGATCGTCACCGCGCTTCCCGTCCTGCTCTTTCCCGCAACAGCGGCTAGTACAAATATTCTCTTCGTTTGCACACCCTGATTTGTCATCGTCCCACAGATAGCACAGAACGCCGGCAACTGCAACGGCAAGGGCGGTGGAAATCATCATCAGCATACCTTTTCCCCTGAGGAGCAGACCCAATTTGTCGAGCATTTCCGCCACGCCTGCTGCTGCAAATCATTAAAGAGAGAAACAGGGCAAGAAGCAGATTGCCGCCAATTCCCTCATTAGAAGAACAGCCCACGACATCTGCACAAATTAACATAAACATCGGCTGCCATAGAGCAACGCATCACAGGAACAATTCAAACACGCACACTTTTAAGGAGCTTATTCCTCATGTGGTATGCCCACCTTCTTCGTTAGTAACAAGGAAGACTGTCGACACAAACATAAGGGTCGTTATCTACACTGGCCTATAAATGATTACGCCATCTCTTCGCTTTGCACAATAATAATAATAAAAATGACAATAATAAAAATCAAAATCAAGGCAATAAGCCTCCCCCCCTCCCCCCTCCCCACACACACATAGACAAAATAAAAGGTTTTCCTGCACACGAACTGCATCTCCAAATCCTTGCGTTATGATTCCCGGGAGGACGCATGGTGGGGCAGTTCGCGGAAAATCCAACTGATCACAAACCTCAGTGGACACCCTCTAAGAACCACAACAGCTCCACGCCGGGCACGAGAGTCACCCCCATTTCCCAACTTTCCATTTTGCTCATTTTTCAATTCCCTTGTTGTATTCAACACCCTCATGTCAAACCCCCAAAAAAGAGATAAAAGCCAAAAAAAAAAAAAAAAAAAAAAGAAAAAGAAAAATATACTACTCGGATCGTCAAAAATTTGACAGGCCTTGGAGTTGATCCTAATAGAAGTCGCACAATGAGGCGGTGGCGGCCAACAAACCACGCACAGTGTCACTCAGGTGCAGCTTGTTAGGGGCAATCGCCCTGATCAACTCGTGCAGGGGCACCAAGGGACCACACACGTCCTGCAGCAGCTTCGGCCTGCCCTCAGGCAGACACGTCATTGCAAACACGGCAAAGCAGCTCATCTTCACCAGGTTCACCACAGCGCGCTTGCACTCCTCGTGCGTGTACGGGACAACCTTCTTCTCCGCATCCTCCGGTAAAAGGGCCTTGCAGGAACCCCTGGGGCTGTGCTTTGCCAACAGGTATGCCTGGCGGGCAATACCCAGAAGAAGCGTGTACAACCAGCAGACCACGGCAACACCACCAAAGCGCGTCAGCCCCGAGTTAAGCACTCCTCGTCCCGCAAGCACAGCCGTGTGCTCGTTGAGGCAGAAGCCAATGTGGAACGCGTGCGAGACCTGCTCAAGGCGCCAGACGAGGGCGTCTCCCTTTGGCTTCGTCAGGTCCTTCAAAGTCTTGGATGACAGCGCATTGAGCAGCAGTGACAAACGGGTGACCGCACGGTACGAATCCGCCATCTTTGACAGATTGCCCAGAGACTCGGCCAGTGAGTCACAACCGGCGTTGCGGACAGGGCCCTCCAGCGCCATTGGAAGAAACTGCACAATCGCCATGACCTTGTCGCGGTTCCAAGTGTCGGAGAGGTACGTATGTGCACAGGCAGACATTGTTGGAGTTGTTCTTTGCTTTTTCTCTTTTTATTTGTATTTGATCTGTTTGTGTGGCAAATGAACGGAAAAGGCATCGTCAGTGTTAGGTTAAGAAGACAGTGCATCACTTTGGGGAATCAACGCACCGTGACACAAGAATAAAAACAAAAAGGAATGTGACGTATCGCATCAGATGTATTTTCCACGCATGTAGGTACCGCCGCCGTCATTCACCCTTCTCGTGTACCATGGATGCCAGTAGGGGTCGTATGTGCGGCCCTGACGCGCGGAGGCAAAGGGATGATATGCGATGCAGGCCAGTGCAAGTCCAGCAAGGGAGCTGAGCGCCGTAAAACCGGTCACGGCGGCCGCCATCCCCCAAGGTGTAAGGATTGAGGCGTGAAGGGCAGCAAACGCCCCTCCAGCAAAAAACCCACTAGACGTTCCACATACCCAGACATTGGCCCATGTGCGCTCCGGCACGGATACGTCTCCGGTGGCAGCGGATCGCGCAATGCTTGTCGCAGCCTCGCCCACAACAACACCCACCGTGCCAGCAGCTGCCACAAGACCACCCTTTATGACTGACAGACTGACTTCATGTAGGGCGATACCAGCAAAGCTGACACCATGAAGCTTAATATACACTTTGTCCATCGTACGATACAGGTACACCGAGCGTCCCGCTCCGTGGAAGAGCCCTGCGGTTGTCCCCACGCGAGCAAAGTACGTCAAGCAAAGCAACGGCTTGTCTATGATCATGTCCAGCCAATGGATTTTGAGGGTTGCACGCACGTGTTCCTGATCCTTAAGCCACTGGCTATAACGCCGATCTTCCTCGTAATCGTAGAGGTGAAAAAGGCCCTGCTCCTGCTGTTTCCTCTGCTTCTTCTTCATTAACTGGTCGGCAACCGTCATTTCCTTCTCGTAGCGTCTCAGTATGCAATCAACGGCATCGGTATCAAGAAAACCTACACGAGCGTCACCCTTCCTTATGACAAGCTGCTGACTTTTTGAGCGGTCTATCAACGAGGGGGACAACGCACCCTCCTCGTGGCCTTCGCCCCTGGTCTGCTTCAAAACCACGGTCTGAGCGTCGGCAACATTGGGCAGAGACGACACCGCCCCCTGACCGACGGCATCACCGCCGCCGCCTCCCCGTCCTCCAGTAAACAGCCCCATTCGAACACACGCCCCGACCGCCAATGCTCGTCCCTTCTCCCCTCAGATGTGCACCCGCTATCTAATTATTCTACAACCTCTTGACAACAATCTCGCTCTCATTCTTCCTGGATTCGCACGTTTACAGGCGCAAAAAAAAAAAGGACAAGGTAATAATAATGACAGCAAAGAAAGCCGAGATGGACGGAGAACATTCCCGTCCGTGCCACACAACACGCCGCTGCCCTGCCGACACGATCCCCCACCTCCTTCCATTTCAGAGACGCGCAGGGCAATGGCTGTCAAGCATTTGCTGTTTCACATTCTCAACGTCCCAGAAAAAAAAAAAAAAAAGAAGTAGAGGTATCTGGATGCAGGCCACACATTCAAAAAAAAAAAAAAAAAACATATAAAAAAGGGGTGGGATGCAACCAAACAGCCAGTGCGCATGCACGTATGTATATTTATGTGCACTATATACACATATATGAGAGAGAAACAAAACATCGATTGTATTCATCGTGTATTTTTCTCGTCTCCCACATTTCCTTGGTCCCCCTGGTTTGGTTTCACCGTTCCCTCCCTCCTTCCCATTTTAGTTTGACATGTTCGCTTCTTTTGCGTTGCCAGGTGCGGAGCTCCACTACTCCACCAAAACATTTTTTCCTTTTCCCTCTCTCTTGTGGCGTGCGTTTTTTTCCTTTTCGCGCATTCACTCATTTTTCTTTTCTTTTTATCGCGCGGGTGCACGATGCTTTTTATTGTTTTTTTCCTTTCACATGTACGAGTGCATGACATATATATATTTTTGCTTCTTTTTTTTTTTTCGCTGTTGTTTCTGTTGTTTTCTAACGGTTTTTTATTAATGTGCGCAATTGTGGCGTCCGGTACAGTTGCTTTTTAAGTTTATTGTTTTCTTGCATAATTTGCTCCAGTTGTTGCAAGTAGTTCTTGTGCTGCTGCTGGAGCTCCACCATGAGTTCAGTCATTTCAAAACCTTTGTTTATTTTCATGTTCTCTAGCTGCCTCGTTGTCATGTTCAATGCATTCGCATACTTCATTAAACTTGCCTCCAGAGCCTGAATTACCCCCTCCTTTTCCAACACCAACATATTCTTTCGTACAACGTTGGTGTTCATAAGCTCCTTGTTTTTGAAAATAAGGCGATAAGTATGAATTGGTATCGTTTCTTCTTTGGGAAGAATGCTTGAGACGTCTTCAGGTTCCTCACGGGAAGCAGAAGGCACCAAGGCAGACTTGGAGACATTCCGTTCATATTCCTTTTCCAAATTCATTTCCCGAAGTGATCTGAGAATAGTGTCAAGACGAGTCTGGAGTTGTTGTTGACGTGTCAGTTGCGCCCGGATGACATTGTCTTGGCGACGACAGACAAGCTTCATTTGCGCTACCGCGTCTTTCAGAAAATCTTTGTCAGTTTCCATGTACTCTATGGAAACGCTTTGCCCATGGTTTTCAAACACCGTCAGAGCCTCGTCGTTCTTCTTGCTGCATTTGCGTAAATGCTCAAGCCGTAGTTCGAGCTCACGGCATTCACGCTTCCTGACACGAATATCATTGTAGGCGTTGTTCAGTTCGGCGTCAAGGTCTGTGCCCTTTGCCAGCTGCTCCTCAAGTCCGCGAAGGAGGGCTTCCTTCTTCTTTAGGATTGTGTGTGCCGCACGTAACTCTCGCTGGACCGTTACCTCAAGTTGTGACATCTCTTGGATGTCAGACGCCTTCTGGGCCTCATCCTCAGGGTTTAAAGAGCACTGCTCGTGCCAACCCGTCCTGTCAACAAGATTCTCGTAGTTTTTCGTCTCCTTCAGCAAAAATTTGGACCGGTCATTCAGCAGCTTTTGCTGCGTCGCATTCTCCTTGGCGAGAAGTTGGTTCCGGCGCCTGACAATCTTGAGTGTGTTCTCCAGACGTGTGACGGTGTCCAGAGCGTCCTCCGCGGAAATATTTGCGGGGTCGCGTTCACACGCCGTCTGATATTCAAAAATTTGCCGTGAGACATCGTCGCTGTGGTTTTCGCTATCAATGGACTCGATGGCGCTGTTGATCGTGTCAAGCTGGAGGGCATAAGACTCAATGGCCGCGTTCATGCGCTCCAGCTCCGCCTGCAGGCTATGGGCTCCGTTTTGCTCAGACATTTCGTTTTATTGCTTCCTTTGCCGTGATTTGCTCAGCGGAAAAAAAAAGAAAAGAAGGTGTATTTGTGTCCTTTCCCCATCCGCTTCGCCCGTCGCTGGAATTCTCCGGTGCGGCACAAACAAATAAGACGGCGAACACGGAGGCGGTGGGAAGAGAAGTGCAACGGCACGCCGATGCACTCACAAATGGCAAAGACAGGGAGGGAGGGGGAAAGAGAAGAGAGAAAGCATGTGTGAATGTGTCTGTGTGTGTGACAGCTGTCTGCTCAACTAGACAAACTGGGATCTTTACAAACTGCATTTGGCCAAAACGTTAAACGCTTCCACCGCTGAAACAGCCGCGCCCGCTGCTTCTCGCGTCTCAACTCACTCAAAATACTCTGAGAGAGGCGTGCACGACATGCGTGCTCGTATCGTTCTTTCCAGCGCCGAAAACATCCCACCAAAACCACCAGCTCACGCAATGTTTCGGCAACACATGTCATGGTCCGCTGCTCCTTCTCACGCATCGCCACATCACGCCAGCCAAATATCACGCGTCTCTTCTTGCCCGCCGCCAGTCGTCTTCGTGCCCATTTCAGCTTTGCACGCTGCCACCATTTAAAGCAGCATGAATGAAGTGTTTGGTGACGGTCAAAGAGACGACAGGCAGCGTTATTGCGCCACAGCAGCAATGCATTTCTTTGCAACCGTTGTCGCCTCCAACACTGTGCCTCAAGGTACTGCAATCGTAAGTACAGCCGCTCTCGCCAGCGGCACCAACATGCCGTAATCACAAACCAATTGACCCTCCTTCTTCGAAGCGCTTCCACCCATGCCTCCATCACGCGAACACGACGGCGAAAGACAAAAAAACGGTCTGACAGCCGGTTCCGATACTTAGCACGCCACTGTATGAACGCTATCTTTCGTAGTCTCCCTCGCGCAATCTGCTGCGCACACTGGGCCTTCAATTCCATGAATTTTTCAGCCATTTGTGAGTCCACATAAACAGTGGGCGGCCCATATTCTGAAGTGAAGGAATACTCCGTGTGCTGTTGCCTGGAAAATAGGTAGCGAGCGACCAGTTCCCTCCATACACGCCGCATTACAAACCGTTTAGACATCCATTCAGCCAGTCGATTGTCTAGTCGATGTTCTGTCTTTTTTTTCCAGTGAGAAAAAACACGGTCTTTGATAACAAACACCCCGGCGGGTTGTGCGACCGAACCCACCTCCACGTACTTGTGCCTCCTGCGCATTTCCGCCGCCCGCTCTTCCATGCAGCCAAGAGTGCGTCGCAAATCTAAACGTTGCCGCCAACTTAAAAAGTACTGCTGCAACTTCATTCTTCTAACACACTCAAATGCGTGGCGTCTTCTACTCAAACCCACAAGAAACCGATGCAAACATTCTTGCGTTTGTCGGCGCCGCTCCACGACTTTTACCCAATGAGCCAACACATCACAAAGAAGTCGTTGTCGACTGCTCTTAAGATCCCGCACAAAATCGCACCACGCCCTCAGGACACGACTGAGACGATAGTACGCGTACCGAAGCTCACATTCTTCATGCAGGAAACGTCGTCGATGAACCGCCAGACGGAGCCGCAGTAAAAAAACAGACATAATCGCCCTCTCTCGAGACGATTGCAATAAAAGCAGAGCAACGGATGGGATGGCATCACCCCCACTGTCTTCTTCCAAGTTTTTTGCTGGCACTATCCCCAACTCCGTCTGTTGGCGTGCCTCCCCAAACGCTTTCCTGTACAGCTCACGGCTCAGCCTGGCCTGATCAACCCCTCCCGAGCCGCCCTTCACATGCTGCACCATGGCAGTGCCGCCTACTTTTCGGGGCCGGAACGCATGATGATTCGACACAACAACCTTCAGGCAAGGTGCCCCACCAGCAGCTATGCCTACAGAAGAACCCTTCGTCACCATGGGAGATGAGTGTTGCTGTGTTACGTACTGCCACACGGCACGCAGCATCAAATGCGTCATTCTCTTGACACGCTCTTCTGCCTCATTCAGACGATCCTGCAACTCCTTCAAACCGCCATCCATACGCGCAAAAAAAAAAAAGAAAAGGGACAAATATATATAAATATGTATATGGCGCTCTATTTTCTATGGAAAACAAGGCGATGCTGCCGCACAAACGGAAGAGTACAGGAATAGCCCTGGACGCCTAACCCTTCCCCTTTTCTAATAATACCCTCTGTACTTCTCATCCAAACAAATCCGTAGACAGAAAACCAAGAAAAAAAAGGCGTCATTCTTGTCACCCAACCCCAATCCAACAGGTAAACACGTCGCACTTTCACCCGTTGCTCCCGCTCCGCACTGAGGCCTCATCACGCTCAGCAGGAAAGGCAAAAAGAGAAAAAAAAAAGAGAAAAGGAAAAGCCCACAGTCTGCCGTCAAAATTTCATGATTACATTGACTTTGCCTTATTTCGATACATCGCTCCTCTTGTGAAACCGTTAACAAAAGACCCGTTGTATCCGGCAAAAAAACAGACAGGGAAAACAATGCTCGCTGAAAAATGCCGTCCATTCCTCAATCTCATTGCGCATAACTGCTCAACACTCCAAGAGAATGTACAACAGCGATCAGTATTTCCAAGAGTATGTCTTTTTTTCTCACGCAGAAACTCCCCCCACGGCCCATCCAGAGGAAGTGAGTTTGATTGCCCCCTTCCCCCTCCTTCCTCTTCTTCCTCTTTGGTGCACTTTCCACATTTAACGTTGGGACGCCCCGCCAATCCATAACTGCAGGCGTCCTGTGAAAAAAAAAAAAAAAAAAAAAAAAAAAAAAAAGCATAAATCGAGGCGTTTCTGCACCACAATTTGCTTTCTCAGTCCAACTACCCACCTCCCTCTTGTTCTCACGAGCCTCATGCCCCTCATCCCAAGTACCGCAATGGTTGTCCGTATTTGCTGCCCTTGACTTGACAGCTCACATCCCTCCTGTCAGACAAATCGCTGGGATGCCTCCACGTCACGATGATTTTTCTCTTCCTCCTTCAGCTCGAAATGAAGGATCCTCTCGGAAATCTCTTACCAAACTTTAAAGCACTGACGCCAGCGGGACGATGAAGACCAAAACAATCTCCGCCCCAAACGCCATACACAAGGAAAAAAACATTAATTCAAAAATAAACGACGATTGCCACTACTACCACATGAAGAATTGAGACCACCCAAAGCAGCGGAAAGACCCATTCATAAAATTTGGCTTCCGCCAACGCACACCAATAATGACCAGAGGCAGCAAGGGATCAAAAGATGAAGGAACATTGCAAAGCACAAAGTATTGAAGATCGTCTGAAAAGAAAATCCCCATTTTAGTCAAATACCAGCATAAGCCACTGAAAAAAGAAGCCGCCCCCCCCCCATTGAGTGCCTGCACCTGTACGCTGCATTGTCAGCGTGCGCTGGTGGTCGACATCGTTTTGTCGTAAAATGGCGGGAAAACAACAGGAGATGCAAAATTCACCTCCCGTGGAAGTGAACGCCAAGCAGTGATCCAAGAGGGAGCCTTCAAAAAGGGCGGCGCATTTTCAGCAATCAAATTAAGTTTATAAACCGCCACGCGCTCCGTGGAAGCGTTCGCACCCACGCCAATCATAAGATGCGGATTTAGCACCACAACAGTACCGGGGCCAATCGCATCGCCACCCTCAATGGGGCTCCCCACAACGCTACTGTCAAAGTTGAACCGCTTAATTTGCTCTGGGATGTGCGACTCCATTGGCAAAAATGGAAGTGACAGAACATTGGGCAAAACATATCTCAAGTACTGATCCTGTACAAAACGGTGGGAGCCTTTCAGGACAAACAGAGGCATCTTCTGCTTATCGGGGCGATGTGTAAAGACGAGTAACGAGACGGCGAGTGGCTGGTTGCCGTTGGTCTTCACACCAATCGATGGGGCAGTGCAGTGATACCCAAAAGGTCCGCCGTATGGCTCCCGAAACATGGGAGCATCCGCAAACAATACAGGACGCTCAACGCCGCCAACATCACTGGCGATGGCGCCAATGGGTTGCCAAAAGGAAGGGTCCCGCACGATGTTTTCTAGTTCCTTATTCGTCATCCACACGTTGCAGCGGTACTCGTTGATGGCCCTCAGCATCTGGGGGTCATTCTTGATCGTCGATCGGCACTCCTTCCCGGGCACACTGACAGCTTCCTTGGCCAGTAACTCACTTAATTTCCACAGTTCCTCGCCTGTGAGATCTTCCTTTTCCCGGCCATTCAGAAAATTCGCGACAACCTCTTTTAGTTGCTTCCGTCGCTTTTTCTCTTCCCGGTATCGACGCAACATGTACTTTCGACGCTGCAACCGCGCCATTACTTTTGTGTAGAGCGGGTCCGAAAGCCTTGACTTGGACTTCAGCATCGACTCAATATCGGGAACATCGATAAAACAACGTGCACGGGCCACGGTGGATGCAGTCAATGCGGGTCGAAGTCGTTCAATAAGAGAAGCTCCAATCGCCGCAGAAAAAATGGCATACCCATGCTGAAGAAACTGCTGCCGTGCCGTGGCAAAAACCAGTGTTTCCTTCATGTCTTATGTATGCACTCGACCCTTGTGTCCGGGTTCCGTAAAAACACAGCAGCCACACCAACGCAAAACCAACCCCTCCAAAAAAAGAAAAAGAAAAAAGAAAAACACGGTATAAAGACTGTAGAATGCGGCGACAGCAGTCAAAGTAAACACGGCGGCCGTTGAGTGACTGGGGATGCAAAAAAAAAAAAAAAAAAAAGAAAAAAAAGACACAACACACACACGTGCGAACAGAATAAATAAGGGTTCTTTCTTTTCTTTTCATTCACTTCCTTGTTAAACTTTTTTTGCGCATCCAATCCCCTCAGCTGCCTGGTAATGTAAACAATTTTGCCTCATTGAGCACCAATCGCCCCTGAGTCACAAACATATGAAGCAGTTTCTTCATGTCATCGATATTTCCCGGAAACTGGCCAAACATTTTCATACTGTTAAAGATGTCGTTAACCCCGCACGGTCCCCGCGCCTTTAGCATCGCCGTCATCATTGAAAGTAACATTTTGACTTGATCCGGTGATAGACCCACAGGCTGCCCTTCACGTTCATCCGCCTCGTCAAATGTGAAGTTTGCCGTCGACACGTAGTTTCTTTGCAGTGACAAACTCCTGTTCTCATCTGTGGAAACAAGAAGCGATGGAAAAAGGTGCGATAAACGCTGCTGCAGAACATGCGGTTTGACTCCCATGCGCTCGGCCACAGTCTTCAGGGGAGCAGGGGAACCGAGTTCCGTTGATATGTCACCAACGTACAGTACAAGCGATGCTGAGAAGAGTGAAAGGTCATATGTCGCCGCAACCATCGTGTTCGTAGAGGCTTCTTTTTGCGTTAGCTCCAGGCTGACATATCCATGAGAAGGAATCCATTCCAGACGCTGGTTCGCCTTCATACGCTTGTATTCCTCCATGACATCTTCCATTGCGGAAGCAAACAGTGGGTGGGGGTTGTACCGCTCTGGCACAGGCTGTGTCTCACCCGCGGGAAGGAACGCAGACAACTTTGGCCACGACGTGGTGGAGAGAACATCGATACTCAACGGCCAGTCTCTCCTCTTCTCTTGTGGCAGCCCTTCTGCAGCAGCGCGTCTGTACGCCTCTTTCATGTGAAGTGTGTGGCGACGAGATGCCTGGAGGTCGCGGATCATCACAACGCAGGGTGCAAGAACATCTTCACCAAACGCACATTTTAAGCGTTCCAACACTTCTTCTTCGGCCGTTGTATCAAAATCGTGCAATTTCTTTCCCAGTAGCTGGGAGGCCAGCAATCGCTTGTACTCCTCCACAAGTGAAGTGACACTAATCGCCGAAAGCAACACGCGTAAGACATCGGGTCGTTCGTGCATAGACAAGGGAGACTGACCGGCTACAGACAGCAAATCATCTTCATTCACTTCATCATCATCAGCAGCAACAGAAGTGAAACTGTTCGGCGAAAAGTTCTGCAGTTCAACATGTAAAACGGAATCCGCACTTGGCTGAGTGATTGCCTGAACAACGGCAGAGACACAGTCCCTTCGTTTCTTGAGATGCTCGAGTGTGTCTCCAACAATGGTGAATATCACCGAACCCTGATCGTTTCTGGAAAACAACACACAAAGAGAATGTATTGTGCCTATCAAAATGGCAAGAATATCCTCCGTGCGTGTCCCAGCTCGATGAAGCCGTGATGCCAACATCTTCTTCGCCGTTTGTATTAGTTCGTTCTGGAGGGTGTCGTCAGAGCACCGCAGAAGACACAGACGCAGATCTTGCAGGGTCGGTGTTGAATCGGGGTACTCGACTACCACATCCCAAAGAGCCGCAATCCGCTTCCGACCGTAAGTAACAAGAAGAAGTTGTTCCAACTCTTCGCACCATCGATTCACTTCGGTGCGCACATCCGAATTGTTGGGATCTGGGGACAGCGCCATGCGAACAAACGTGTCCACCACATCATCTTTCCATTGCATACACGATATTATCCGACCAACTGTCAAGTCATCGTCAAGCATCTCAATACGTTCTCGCGTGCACTCCACCAAGACGGACTTCCATAGCGCTTTGATGTCTGGCGTCGATGATAAAGTCAGGCCATGCAGACGCTGCAGCACCTCGTCACGGTGTCCAAGAATCCCGCGCATAAGCGTGGCGCGCCCCTCCGTTCCCTCAATATCACCAAGCAATTTTCTTCCATGGTTGCGGAGAAATTGGAGCAGTACCTCTTTTCCAGGTGGATGCTCACCCGTAAGGAGATCCGGCTGCAACAGATGGCACCGCAGGGAGACGGTGAACCTCACGACAAACTCCATAGCATGCAGTTGCTTGCACCAGTTGTTAAGAAGCAGCAAAGTTCGACGGTATGCCTCGTGAAGAGACCGCAACGCCAAAAGCTCATCCCCATCGCACATATTTTGGTGGTATTCCGCAAGACTACTACTTGCAAAGGCCTCAAATACTTTCCGCACAAGCAGCTCCCCCACTGCGGTGTTAAATGGCGGTGTTGCCAAGATGGCAAGTGTCTCATTACATCGACACTTCTCGGCTACCCGTGTATCGGCAAAAGCCAAGATGCCATCCCGGCGTATCACCTCCAAAATGCCAAACAAATTTGCAAAGGCCTCCCTCTCCGCCATTTCTATTTCTGCCTTCCCACAAGCACCTATCGGACGGACCTTCAATCAACAAATAGTAACGTCCCGAACCGCACCCCCCAATTTCCACAACATAATAGAGCAGCGCCGCCCGTGACCATTCACGCATCAACCCACCCCGTGCAAGAAAAGCAACAATTAAAGGGAAAGTAAAAAAAAAAAAAAAAGAAAGAAAAGAGGGTCTTAAAAGAAAAAAAAAAGGAGAATTACTGGGCTGAGGGACAGAGACTATACATATATACACTAGAATCGTACATAAACAACCAGAAGAGGCAAAAAACCAACAAATATCTAGAAAATCAAAACAAAACAAAACAAAAACAAAACAAGGAGCAGCCCGTTGAAAAACAACTCGCACTACGCCTGCAGCACAACGGCACCACCAGCCTTGCGGATTTTCTTGTCGGCCAGCTTGCTCACCCAGCGGGCTTTCACAATGCAGGGGGTCTGCAGGTGGCCATTGCCGAGCAGCTTGGAGTATCCATTGGCCAAAAGATCAACGACGGGCAGGGTCTCCCCCTTCTTTGCCTTCAGCGCCTCGTCCTTGGCAATCAGCTTCGCGAGGTTGTTCAGGTTGATCGTCGGCTTCCACAGAGGGTTCTTCTTCAGGTGGTAGTGGTTCATGCCGCATTTGCCAAAGTACCCAGGGTGGTACTTGTCAAAGTTGATGCGGTGGTGGTGCTGGCCACCGGCGTTACCACGCCCAGAGGGGTGCTTACGGTGCTTGCCAACGCGACCATAACCGCAGAAAGTGGAACCACGCTGGTGACGAGTCTTCTTAAAGCGGGTTGGCATGGCTTCAGCTGCTGCAATAAGAGCAGAAAGGGGAAAAAAAAGAGCAAACAAGCAAGAATAAAAAACAGAAAAAAAGAAAAATAAATAGAAGCGCCAACAAAAAAGTAAAGAGGCACATACTTCCGCAAATACAACAACAACAAATAGTTTTTCAAAAATCAAAACAAAACAAAAACAAAACAAGGAGCAGCCCGTTGAAAAACAACTCGCACTACGCCTGCAGCACAACGGCACCACCAGCCTTGCGGATTTTCTTGTCGGCCAACTTGCTCACCCAGCGGGCTTTCACAATGCAGGGGGTCTGCAGGTGGCCATTGCCGAGCAGCTTGGAGTATCCATTGGCCAAAAGATCAACGACGGGCAGGGTCTCCCCCTTCTTTGCCTTCAGCGCCTCGTCCTTGGCAATCAGCTTCGCGAGGTTGTTCAGGTTGATCGTCGGCTTCCACAGAGGGTTCTTCTTCAGGTGGTAGTGGTTCATGCCGCATTTGCCAAAGTACCCAGGGTGGTACTTGTCAAAGTTGATGCGGTGGTGGTGCTGGCCACCGGCGTTACCACGCCCAGAGGGGTGCTTACGGTGCTTGCCAACGCGACCATAACCGCAGAAAGTGGAACCACGCTGGTGACGAGTCTTCTTAAAGCGGGTTGGCATGACTCCTAAAAGCCCATACAACGAAAGTATAGAGAAAGGAGAAAGAAACAAAAAAAGTAGAAAGTCACACTGCAGCAAAAAGAAAAAAAAATTGTCTTTCAGTAAGATAAATTATAACTTAGGATAAAAAAAAAAACCGTTGCGCGTCATGATTGAAGAGAGTAAGAAAGAAAATTAGAAATAAAAACGAAACGTAATTCCTACACAATAGCCGGGGCGTGAGAAGAAATCTTCGGCCAGAGGTCGGCCGCCTCCTTCGCAACGGGGCCAGCGATACCAGAGCCCTTCATCTCGCCCTTGGGATTGACGATCACGCCCGCGTTGTCCTCAAAGTAAATGACTGTGCCGTCCTTGCGGCGCCAGCTTTTGCGCTGACGAATGATGACTGCATTCAGCACCTTGCGACGCAGCTCTGGCTTGCCCTTCTTCACAGAAGCCATCACAATATCGCCCAGAGCAGCTGCTGGCAAACGGTTCAAACGGCCGTGGTAACCCTTCACGGAGATGATGTAAAGATTCTTGGCGCCCGTGTTATCAGCGCAGTTCACCACCGCACCCACTGGAAGGGCGAGAGACACGCGGAAGCGGCAACCCTTGACGTTGGCCTTGTCCTTTCCCATGGTAGCGACTACGTAACCCTCGTAGTATTGAAACAACAAAAAAAGGAAGCACAAAAAAATCGAGAAATAAAAACAAACCAAAGCACTCAGTCACTCAATTACGCCTGCTGCTGGCACGTGACACGTCACCAATTCATTAACAAAAGCAGGATTCAACGTTAAGAAAAAACAAACAGAAAAAAAAAAAAAATGAGGATGCACAATCCATTCTTTATCAATTCCTACACAATAGCCGGGGCGTGAGAAGAAATCTTCGGCCAGAGGTCGGCCGCCTCCTTCGCAACGGGGCCAGCGATACCAGAGCCCTTCATCTCGCCCTTGGGATTGACGATCACGCCCGCGTTGTCCTCAAAGTAAATGACTGTGCCGTCCTTGCGGCGCCAGCTCTTGCGCTGACGAATGATGACTGCATTCAGCACCTTGCGACGCAGCTCTGGCTTGCCCTTCTTCACAGAAGCCATCACAATATCGCCCAGAGCAGCTGCTGGCAAACGGTTCAAACGGCCGTGGTAACCCTTCACGGAGATGATGTAAAGATTCTTGGCGCCCGTGTTGTCAGCGCAGTTCACCACCGCACCCACTGGAAGGGCGAGAGACACGCGGAAGCGGCAACCCTTGACGTTGGCCTTCTCCTTTCCCATGGCAGTGCAATTCCCTCTAAAGAAATGAAGGGGAAAGTAACAAGAGTAAAAATAAAATAAAAGAAAAAAGAATGCAAATCTTCCCGTTAATGAAAGGATCGCACGCGGTAAACAGCATCACGTCAGTAACAAGTTACGAAAATCTCGTAGTGGTATCAAAATTGTTTTCTTCCATTGACGCCACCGAAGAAAGTACGCAAAATAAATAACAAAAAAAAAAACACGAGATGAAAGAGGAAAGACTTAAGTGACAATAAAAAATTTGGCATCCTGTTGAAAACCCAAAAGAACGCAAAATTCGTCTCACCGCGACGAAGATAGGCCTTGCCTCTGAATATTGATTGCCGCAAACTCCCTTAACTCCTTCTCAGAAGGCATGTCAATACCAGTAAATCTCCACTTGCGATCGTTGGCCTTCCACTCTATCGCTCGTCGCTCATCCTCAAAAGCGGGGTTCAGTGCCTTCACAGTATCATGACGAAACATGCCGTGATCTGCCAGCCACAAATGCAAAGAAGTAAAAACTTGTTCTTGAGGAATGTCACGTGTTTCCAAAATGGCCCCCATAACCACGACTGGAACAAGTACTATGGGAAAGTAGCGAAACCATCGATAAGTGCCATATGTCACCATGCCCACACGAGAACGACGCTCCTCAAATGGCATGGGAAAAACGCGATTGAGCGTCTCAAGGAGGCGAGAGTGTCTTGAAACCTCCGCCTTGGCACGCTTCACCCACAGCTGCGACATCTTTGTATGTTTGCCTTCACTTCTCTCCACCCAAATCCTCAACCTGCTCTGCCTTTGTTTCACCGTTAGTCCTACACAGCAAAGGTCTAAAATAAACGCTTAAAAGGAAGAACAATAAATTTTGTTGGTTATTATTGTTATTATTATTGAGTGTCGCATGCAAAAAACGAAATCATTACAAAAAAAGAAAAGAAAAAAAAAACATGTGAAACAAAGACGGTAAAGAAATGCTCACGAGAAACTTCGGTGCTCCTCACGGAGTCAAGCCGTTTTTTGCTTTGGGGGCCTCATTGTCTATTGGCTCATCGTGATGGCATGCAATTAATGTTCTCGCCTGTAGAACAAATTCGAGTTCACGTCTCAACTGTTCACACTCGCCTGACAGTTGCTGAATTTGACCGCGTCCTGCAGCCTCCGTGTGTTCCAGTTCCGAAATACGCGACAAGAGTATCTTATTTTGCTCCCTGAGAGCATGCCACCTATTCTTTACCAACCTACACTCACTCTCCACAAAATCAAGTTTCTGACGTAAGGTGTATATGCCTGCACTCGTCCCATCTTTTCCGGCAATGTCCGGCTCGCTGCCAGATGCCGGAGGACTAGTAATACGACGCTCTAGTGAACAGGATCTACGTTGTCCCCGTTGCTGTTCGTACAATGCATCTATGGTTTCTTGCAGAGCTTCGCTGCGAGCCTTTTCTTCTTCAAGACTTCGCCGAAGATACTGCATTTCATCGAGGTCAAAATCTTCGTTTGTTTTTCTTGTTGCTGTGTCCGCTCCACAGGAAGCACATCGCTCAACCATTCTGCAACTGGGTGAAGGAATCACCGTTGGGACCAGCGGCTGCTCCGCAACTAATTTTTTTATGTATTCCTCCAACTTCCTCTTTTCTTCAAGTGACGCATTCCACTTCTCGCGATAGCACTCTGCCTCTTCACAGGAAAGAAGTACCCGTTTCTTGTACTCATCACGTTCGGTGGCAATGGAGCGTAGCTGCTCACCCAGCACCTTCAACTCCACTTGGATACGCTCATGACAGACGTACTGACGCGCCGTCTCCGCAATTTCCGGGTTTTCACTTATTTTGATGAACATCCGCAGAAGTTTGACTTCGTCAGAGAGTCTCGCCTCCCTTCCGCGCGTCTCGGCCAGTTGACACTCGAGTTCCTCGCGCTCTGTGAGTGCCGTGTTGAGTCGCTTCTGAAGCAGAGGCATTCGCCGCGCCTCTTTCAGCTGCGATTCCCGCACGGAGAGCCGGCTGATCTCGTTCTCTTGGTGCCGCAGCTTTTGTCGGAGAGACGCATTCTGCTCCTCGAGACGTGCAAGTTTGTACTCCACACTCTTCATTGGCGGTAATCAACTTTGCCCCCCCGCCCCCGCTCCAAGCCGAGTTCCCAGTTGTACCGCACTTCGCCACCCCGTTTTCAACATAAATATATAAAACGAAGAAATCACGCAGAGAAAAGAAAAAGGTTAAATCCACAAAACACCTTGCTTTGATGGGTGGTAAAAAGCACCCAACAAACACAGACACACACGGCTGCGTCAATTGTTCTGTTTTGCTCACCACAAATTGTCACATTTCACATTGCCTGTTGCACTCAAAAATTACAAGAAACAACAACAACAATAATAATAATAACAACAACATGGAACACAAACAAACATGTGTCTTAATGCATAATGAAAAGCAATTTTCACGCCCACTGCCAGCTCTACATGTCGGTAAGCTCAAGATTATCTATTTCCATAATGTCATCACAAGTGGCTGTGGGTATTTTGACGGTCTCGGCACTCTGGTGAAGCTGGGAGACATTTGGGTATCCAAACCACGCCCTAAATGTGGCGTCGTCAAAGTTGAAATAGGCGTTTTTATTCACTGTTATGACTTCACCCTTGTGAATGTCACGCTGCGCCTGCATCGCAAAATAACCCTTTTCCACTTGTATGCCCGCTTTCTTTTCCTGGGCCAGCCACTGTAGCATGTCGGCATCTGGGTAGCCAATCGACGCATTAGGCTCAGGCGAATGCAATGCCAAATCCAACACGGGCACCATACCCAAAATGTCACCGTGGCCCAACGTGGCAAAGGGAGAGTGCTGGAAATCAGGATGACCACCACTACCTGCTTCAGTATTGGTCCAGAACGGAATCGCATGCCGCCGGAAAAGACAATAAGCATGCCGAAATGTCAAATCAAATTCTACATCCTGGGCTTTGCAAAAATTTTTAAGGGGTTTTATCATCTCTGCATAACCAGGTGACTTTTGTGCAGCATCTGCCACATTGCCAATGGGCATACCGGGATCGAAGGGCAAAACGTCTAAATAACTTCGCACACCCCGTGGGCTCCCAGTCCGCAAAGCCTTAGTAAAATACCCAATTAATGCAAACGAACCTAAAGTAAGATCGGACCAAAACTCAAGTTCATCGCCATGGTTTTGAGGTGAGACTTTTATTGGAAAAGATTCATCTCCTGCAAGAGTAAGAACACTTAGTGTCGCGGAGGTTGGAACGACAGCCACGAAATCGTATGCGGGTATTGTGCTCGTAGCAACTAGCCCCAAAGGCGTTATGTGAACACGCTGAAACAAACGACACCCCTTAAGGACTGCCCAGGTAACAAAATCAAGCAGACGAGGATCACATCTAGCTAATCGCGCGCACATAATGCCCCAGGACGTCAAGGGAATTCAAATCTCGAGTGGGCACCACAAATACGATAATGGTATGCACCACCTCCCAACGTGTAAAGAGAACCAAAAAGAGGAAGAACAGACATTTATATTTATATTTATATTTATTAAAGAATACCAAAATGACAAGAAGTGGGCCAGGAGACACACACAAAAAAAGACAAACAAACTGTCCATGCATTATTGCCCCCATGTTATTAAAGTCGCGACACAACCTGCAGAATAAAATAACATCATATATATATATATATACAGAGAGAGAGAGAGAGAGAGAGAGAGAGAGAGAGAGAGAGAGAGAGAGAGAGAGAGTGAGTGAAAGAAATATATAAATATGCAGGCATTTATAAATAGAAAAAATGGAAGGAGGTAAATGTTAATTGCAAAATGTCAGAAATTCGTATTGAAGTAAAAAAAAAAAAAAGAGATGACAGGAGCACCCTAAAAACCACAACTGGCACCTTCATCATCATTGTTATCAGAAGTTAGGCAAGTGCGAATAATCGCAAAACTCTTCGTTAAATAGAGCAGTTTTTTTAAAAGCAAAACATCGAGAAGAGGTCGCTTTAATTCGGCGTCCAGCATGTATTGCAAGCTCATAAAAACCTCATAACGCCTGCATGTGTCTGGCTCCAAGAGGAGGACATTTTCAAATGAATTTGAACGTAGCAGCAGAGCACGCTTCAAGGAGAAAACTCTCTGTCGAAGCCAGCAGCTGTACGTTGATGTATTCATAAACCTCCAATAGACCTTGAGCATGCCGCGACGCCCCTTAAAAATATGTAGCGGGAGGTCGCAATCGCTGCTGCGCTCCAACAGGCTAAAAATCTGAACTCTGGATGGAACGTAGTCTCCATAAAAGAAAAGGGGAATACTCTTCTCAAATTCAACTTCCACAGCCCGTTCCAGAGGCAACAAAAACTGTTTTGTGGTTTTTAAAAATGTTTTTCGAACCGATTCATTGTGGTCCATGTTTAACGTCGCACCAGCGACAGATCTGGCCGCAATCGGTAAATTCAAAACCCCAACGGAGAAGTAGTTCGTCGTGCATTCGTCCCATAAATGCTTTTCTGATCGTACCAGAAAGTGTTTCGATGTAAACATGTTTGTTTTCACGTCAAATTGACAATTGCTTTTCTTTAAACTCGAATGTGGCAGCGTTTTGTGGGTCTGAAGCTCGTAACTCCCCGTGGCACCCAGACAAAGAACATGAGGCGAGCTGCTCCAGTGACGCAAAAAAAACGGGTTTGTGGCGCCGAGAAGTACGGGCGAAAAAGGCCCCGCGCGGGGCAAAAGACCATCCACTTCAGAGTTATTGATCGTCAAATACGGCCGAAGAACAACGCTCAAAGAAAGTGGCGCCAAAAGGGAATACAAACAGAAACCAGCGGCTGAGACGCGGCTCAAGTTGCTACCCACGATACACAGAGGTTCGCCTGTAACAAGAATTTCCCACAACTTCCAGAGACGATTCAGGTGTGGCAAGAGAATTCCTTGGACATCAAACTCAGAAAACATGGCCGGGGCATCACTTTCATCAACATTCACTATAAAATCCCTGTGTTCAAAAAGGAGACGCTTTGCAAGCCGCCTGCAGTAGCCAAGCTCCTGATTCTGAACGGCCGCAACCTGGGGTGTTACCTGACAAAAGCGAGGAAAGTGGCGCGCAAGATGCCTCACATCATCATTCATGATGTTTTCAGAATCCTCATCCAAAATCCCCTCAGGAAATGCCGTGACATCCACCTCTTCGTACTTGCGCATACGAACGGCAAAAATCACTGCTAAGACATCGGACGGTCGCCATGCACGCACGTCTAATGGAAGCCTCAACTGTTTCTCAATATATTCGCCCATACCCTCGATGGCTGACGGACCAAGCACACAACTTGCCAGACAACGCTGAATAGTTGGGGGGTCGGGACACGGTTTTTCCAGGGCTTCTAACAAACGAATCCGCGCCAAAAAACATTTTTCCTCTCGACCAAGACCATCTTCGCGCCAACGAAAACCAATTTGATCTCTTGTATAGTATGGTGTCCTAAAACTTTGAATTGGCTTCCCCAACAGATGCAGTCCCGTATACAGCTTTGTCGGTAGCGGAGCAGGCCAAGAGCAAATGTCGTTGTACAAAGTCTCTAGTTTTTCCGCCACATTACAAGAGTCCAAAACAAGACCATATACCATCTCAAGGATTGTTTCAAATATTTTGGGAAACCCATAGAGAGAAATAAAAACGAGAGCCTTTTGTTGAGTGCCACGCTCATTGTTTATGTCTCGTTGCTGTAGATAAATAGACGAGCAAAAATACTCTTCATCACACAATTTGCAGTGCAACACGGAAGGCTGAGGCATCTCTCTTGAAGCTGAACTCAACGCAGTCGAAAGTGGCATACGGAAAACCGTTCTTCGCATGTTGTCACAGTCTTTTTTGTTTAGGGGGAATATGAAGTGGTGCAAAGAGTGACCATACTCGGTATGGTTTGTGTCTGGAAAGCACAGAAACGCCAAGTCCGTCTCTTGTCGGATCGACAGCGGCAGCGGGGGAAACAAGTGCGTCAAGATCTGACCAAGCTCCAAATCAAACGACACAACGCCAATGGCCGTCACCCATTTCGGTGTCAGCGACGATGTCGTGTAGCAAGTGGGCAGAAGAGATGGGAGGACACCAGTGGCAACACTACAATTCTCATGGAATCGATGTTTCATTGGGAGCTACCTGCAACCCTTCTATTCCTTCCCACTCCTCTCCTTTTATTTATTTATTTTTATTGTCCTGGAGAGTGACGTCACAAGTACAACACACAAAATGAACAGAGAATGGTCCCGTTCTTAATTGACATCAATTTTTCTGTAAAATTCCAAGCTTCTCAATTTTTTTTCCCGCCGGTTATAGGCCAACGATGATATCTTGTCCCCCTGATCCACCGCTACCCTCCTTCTCAACCAAAGAGCAGATCTTATGTACTGCCGCTGCCTTTGGTGCAATTTCTCGACCAATATATATATATGTATTCCAATATGTGAAGCTAATAAACCAGAAAATCCAACACTTTTTTTTTTTTTGTGCTACTCCTGAATAAATAAATAAATAAAAAACAAGAAAAAGCTATAATAATAACAAAAATAATAATAATAAAAACAAAACAAAACAAAAAACCCAGAAAATCCGCTGCTGACCATCAAAGCTGAGCAGGCTGCTGCGGTGTCAATGCAATTCCCACAGTAGAAAAGAAAGGAGGATGAAAGAGCCGTTCTTTTGTTTTCTTCTTCCTTCGCTCAATGGGTGTCTCTCGGGCATAAAGCACTTCTTTGAAGGGAGTCCCATACCGCCCCCTTCCCTTTTATTTTACGCAGAGGGTAATTGACGGCTTCTGTTTCGTGGTCCCCACCTACATCTTCACCCTGTCTTCTTTGCTCATCGGTTCTTTTCCTTTTTTTATTGTTGATTTCCTTCATTGGTTGTATTTCGTTTGGAACATTTTCCTCTCTTTTCCCTTCTTTCCTTGCAGTGACGCTTTCCATCTTGTCACTCGACATCCGTGATTGTCACCAACTGGCGTATCTCCTCCCTCAGCACCGGCGTAGTGCCTGGAGGAAAACGAATTTCTTGTTTCGGGTACTTACGCTCATTTGGTTTATCGTACCCAATAAGCAACTCTGTCTTCGTTTTCGTAATGACACAGAGATCCACCTGTGTGCCGCTGTATGGATCATTAAATATCCCTTTCCGGATGGCGGAAGCCACCAATTCCTTTGCCTCTTCCAATGTCATATTCTCCTTGTATCCAGTTTCCAGTGCGGACATGGCTGCGATACTACCGCTTCCCATTGATACAAAGGGAAGACGATCGGTGCTGCCATGTGGGGCAACTGTTGCCAGAAAAGGCCCCTCTACATCCACGCCGCCAAGAACCAACGCGGCGCTTACATGGCCTTGATATCTGTACAAGTGACGCTTCAGCATGGTGAGTGCTTCGTGCACTCGAGATTGTTTGCCTGTATCAAGACGATGAAGTGCCAAATTAGCAGAAACCATGTTTGTCACAGCCTCCGTATCAGCCGCCGTTCCTGCACCACAGCACATAATGTTAGGAGCCATGTAGTGAATCTTCTTGCAGCGTTTGTCTGCCACAATACTACCTTCTGTGGCACGGGTATCTGCACCCAGTACTACGCCCTCCTTATACACAACCCCCACAATAGTGGTTCCTGTTTTAAGGGTTTTGGGGGGCTGCAGACCCTGCCGCTGAAGGTTTAGGTTTCGCTGCACGTTGGCAAAAGAGAAGCCAGGCATGATACGGGATTTGCCTTTCTTTTCCTCTTCTTTTTGGACAATAGAGTATGTGCGCAAAACAAGATTGAACTTACTGTTGTTGCAGTTTTTCTCTACAGAGACAACACACATGCCATAATAACCAAAAGGAAAAAAAAGCATTGTTAATGTAGGCCCAATGATAAGGAGGGAAAGACAAGCACAAACACACACACACAAAAAAAAAAAAAGTAAAAAACCAGCGATCAATTTACCTTCAAAAGACAGATTTGCTGCTTTTGTAATGTTTTTTCAACTTATACAGCGAGATGAAAATGATATCAACAATCTAAGGAGATTTTTTAAATCCCTTGAAGTCGTACTTCTCCTTGGGCTGCAGATTCATCCAATATTCATCACCCTTCTTATTCCGTGTATCCTGCTCCACCTCGGTATACTCTTCCTTGTCTCCTAGCAGTGATGGGCTTTCCACACCCTCCAGAGACTCCGGTGTTGCTGGAGCGTTGGGTGCAATCATGTTATTTGCATCATCAAAGGTCACAGAATCCGTCAGACGATTTCGTGGTTGATCTGGAGTGGGTCCAGCAAATCTGTAAGCATCCTGCACATGCTCTTGTATTGCCGCGGCAAGTTTCTCTTTGGTACCTTCAGTATTTGTCAAGTTCAACTTCACTATTCGACGCGAGACGGGATATCCAAACAAAGGAGGTGGAACGGCCTTTAACCCCAACTTCAGACGCTCACGACCCTCGATGTTTGGTTCCAAAATACTAAAAACATAGTAGTGCTTGTATTTCGATATCTTCCGGCATTGCTTGATGTGTACCAAATCCCCTTCAACGCACGCCAGGTCCTCATCGTGAGCAAAAAAACGACTCGTACGCGATACACGTTGGTTAAACTTGGGGTAATACACCATATGATTTGCGGCCACAACAGCCGTCTTCAACATACTTGTGCCCACCACGTATCCAATTTTGTCTGATCCCTGCCGCGGTTGGTTGAAGATCAACGAAGTTAAATCATAAGGCCACGGCATGCGGCGCGGACGTTGACCGAGTACACCTGTCATGGAGACTGCCCAATGATGTCGTGTTCTATTTGGAAATGCGTTTCTTTTGTACTTCTTAATGAAAACACGATGATTTGCGTTGTGTGTGTTCTTTGCGCGGGATCCACCGTACATCATGACACACCGTTGACGGTGTTCCGTCTGAAAGTTCCACCAAGGAAATGTGACGAGTGACCGACGCAACATGCGTGAGACGGCTCAATAACAGTGATGGGGCTACGTTATTTTAAATGTAAATCCTTCCAAATAAGAAGATAAAAAAGATGTGTATGCAGATACGCCTTCCTTCTCTCTCCTTCTTAAGCTGTTGCTCCCTCTTGTTCTATTCGGCCCGCTAATTAGAAGACCCACGGAGAGGAGCCTGTGGCACTCTGAATACTACCAATACTACTACTAATAATTATTATAATAGTAATTTTCTTTTCTGGTGTGTATTTGTCCACACCACTGGAGTGATCATCATGCGACATGTACAGGTGGAAACAGCATTCCCAAAAAAAAAAAAAAAAAAAAAAATCAAAGTGAAAAAGTTACATAAAGGAGGATTCAAATGTCAAAAAAAAAAAAAAAAAAAAAAAAAAAAAAAAAACAGCGCGGCAATAAAGGCAAAAGAAAAGAAAGGTATTCAACACCTCCTGATTAATCATAGAAAAAGAAAAAATACGTGTTTGTCCGCAAACGTGCCTTCGATCGCATGTATGCATGCATTTTTGTGTGTCAAGACGGCTTAAAATAGATTTGGGGTTAATCCCTTTTCCTTTCCTTTATGTATTAAACCTAAACTTAGAAGAGTGTGGATCCAAAAGTGATGTCCTCATCGCCCAGCACGGCCCTTCATCTTTGTAACCCCCGGAGCACCCTTAAACATGCCGCCCATTCCAGCCTTACTGATTGGCATAGCAGCACCACCGCGACCAGCAGCAGCTTGTTTCTTTCCGGCATCTGACTCTGGATTCGTCACGGTTTCATCAATGGATAGAATAAGACAAGCTGCCTCGGTAGCACTTTGAATGGCATTTCTCTTTACCAATGTTGGCTCCCAAACAAAACGTTCAAACGTATCGCAGATGCCACCATTAATGATATCCACTCCGTACCATTTACCGGCGCCTCCGGCCATATAGTGCTTTTGGCGGAGTTTGTTGAGAGTGTCGGTACTGTCGTGTCCGGCATTTTCTGACAACTGGCGCGGAATCACCTCCAAAGCCCTCGCAAATCCACCAATCACCATCTGTTCTTTTCCACGGATTGTACGCGAATACTCCCGGAGAATCTTGCTCAGCTCCATTTCCACAGCACCACCGCCCCCTACAACAGAACCTGTCTTGTAAGCGCGCTTCACGATACAGATGGCGTCATGAAGGGAACGATCCGCCTCATCAATAAACTGTTGTGCCCCACCGCGGAGGATGATTGTGGCTGTTTTGGCATTTTTGCAACCAGTAAAGAAATTGTAACGCTCTGTCCCTACTTGTCGCTCTTCAAAAAGGGCACAACTTCCCAGTGCCTCTTTAGGGATGTTACTCAGAGTGGACTGCACGACACCACCAGTGGCCAGCGCCACGCGGGCCATGTCATCCGTGCTCACGCGGCCCGCACAGAAAATGTCGTGATCGGCAAAGTACTGCGTTGCTAGGTCACCGATTGGGAGCCTGGAAAGAACAATCTTTGCTCCAGTTTCAACGCACTTTTCCATTTTGTCATAGATGATTTTCCACTCCGCGTCCACAATAGATTGGTACTGCTTGGGGTCCTTCACACGCACTTCAGCATTGTCCTTTTCTGCCTTAAGTTCTAGCTCGACATTCAGCAACAACACCTTTGGAAACTCAAACTTCTTACGTTGTTGCTCAAATCCAGCATAGGAAAATGTCTTTTTGAAGGCCACACCATCAACGAGGATGCTGTCTCGCATACTGCCACCAGACACCTTCTTGACACCAATCATATCAAGGTTTAGGTCACTGTCGAGTGTTAAAACAGCATCGGTAGCCATTTTAGCAAAAAAGAGACATTCAGTGTTTATGAGTTTTGAGTTGAGTGCAGTTTCCGCACACCGCACAAGATTTTTACGGCCCTGTTCGGAATTGGGATCAAATGGAACACAAAGCTCTTGTAGGGTTTTCATTGCAACGGACAAGGCGGCGCGAAAAGCCTTAATAATAATCTGCGGAGCCATGCCATCTTCCACGCATGCCTTCGCTTCCTTGAGTAATTCTCCCGCCAGAACAACGACAGAAGTGGTTCCATCACCAACTTCATGATCTTGCGACATGGCAATATCCACAAGACTTTTGGCTGCAGGGTGAACAATTTCCAACAAATTCATGATTGTCGCTCCATCATTTGAGATGCTCACATCGCGGCCGTTGTGAATGAGCTTGTCCATTCCACACGGACCAAGAGTTGTCTTGACAGTATCAACCACATTCATACAGGCGTTGATGTTGCTGATCAACTGAGGTTTGCCTTGGGATGTATCGGTTCCCTCCCGAAGTAAAATCAGTTGAGGTTGAATCATTTCCTGTAAAATATCTTCTTACAGAGTTTTTTTTTTTTTTTTTTTGCACTCAATTGATGTTAGATGGTTGTTCTTCCTTTGTTTTTTTTTTTTTCGTTGAACGTTATTTTTCCTCATTGCACAATGGCACACAATAATAAAAGGGAAGATAAAATAATAATAATAAATAAATATTGTAAAGAATTTGCTGTAAATATGAAGACGGTAGATATCGAATTGCAATTTTCAAGCTGACACAATATCAACAGACAAAAAAAGGAACACATAAACTATATGAAAAATAAGGCTATATACATTACCCACCATTCATCCATGCTTACACACAGAAACACATTCCATTAAAAGAATTGCGGAATTAACTATCTTTCGTTTGATTACTTTTTCTCAATCTCTTCTCAGAGAATATTACCACCGTCTATAAAAAGAAATACATGTTTAAAGGTTTTGGAGAAGCGAAAAAAAAAATTCAGACTCCAAAGGCGCGTCCTCTTCTAAATCCGTACAGTGTACCGAGTTTCGAGTGCGATCAATACCATATTTTGAACGAATAGTGTGAGGAAATAACACATGGCAAACCTCAGGGTCATGTGGCCCACACACGGCGCGAAGAGCTGTTACTGCATTTTCAGCGTATACCTCTATTGCCCAACAAGGCCCGCTGGACATTTGCTCTACGAGTCTCTTGTACTCTGGTACAACACCATTATACACCTCGAGAAAATCTTCCGCATCGGTCAAACTTAAAGTATACATCCCCAAGGCGGTAATATAAAAGCCTTCATCAATCAAACGCTGAATAATTGCGCCTTGATAGCCACTTGTTATCGCATGGGGCTTGATGACACAAATCGAGCAATTTTTCATCATCGCAGTTGTTTTCCCCGGACCAAAGGCAACATCAGAGAGTAAACCCACATCTGTGGGATTTGATACGACAACAGTTACATTTTGAAATGCCTCATTTAACAAAACAACTTTTTCAGCAGCTTCTGATCCCTTGACTAATATGACAATGCATCGGCTAGAAATCCCAAATTGCAAGCACATATTATCCGGCAAATCTACTAAACGGATGTTCTTTATCCGTAGTCCCTGTGAGATAATCTTATCAACAATCGTTCCCACAGAACGAAAACCGTTTTCTGTAATAATTAGAATAAACTCCCCCATTGCTGCCGAAAAGTGTTGCCGCGTTGCTTCATCTCCGTAATCCACAAGCTTTAATGAACGAGAAAAAATATTTACAGTTGCTCCAATAAATAATTCCTGTACGCCTAAGGAAGGATAGGCACAACGTTTAAGAAACACTCGCTTTGTTTTAAGGTCATGCATTTCAATTGTCGCGTCTTCTGTGTAGTAAAGAAGCAAATATTGACGAGTAAGATTTGCCTGTGGGTCATAGTAATCCACTTTAAAGGCATAACGAGAAGTAGTTGTCATTCCTTAACAATGAATTCTACTCCAAGACGGCTACAAAACAATATAAAAGTTAAATAATAATAATAATAAACTTCTCTTATTGTAAAAAGAGATCCCCTTCTACAAAATAAATATAAAATGGCATAAGAATACCCAAAATTACGCGCATATATATAAAAAAAAATCCACATAATATCAGATTTCAAAAATCAAACAGTAGCAGCAACAAAAAAACAACAAAAGAAGCTGTAATATTGTATTCTTCCTGAAATAACAAACCTACCACAAACCGCATATATATATTTAATTAAGAGACTGATAAACCTTACGTTGAGCAAGGGGCTTTATATCATCATGTTTTCTTCGGGATGCCTCCTTGACAAATTCACGCTTCTCTGCTTTCTTACCTCGCAACTGTGCTCTGCTAATTGCCTTCGGAGTATTACGCTGATTAGCAATTCTCCTTACTTCCACAAATCCGGAATACCTATCCTTTAGAGATCGCATATAATTAAAGCTACTTCTTTCAGGTCCTCGTAACGGACGCACAGGCTTGCTTGCATCAGCTTTCCAAACCCTAAGGATGGCATCCTCACTTCCACTGTATATGTAACTACTATCGGGAGACCACTTAACGGAAAAAACCTTGGCCATACGTTTCGTGTGATACATTTCAATAGAATTAGATTTTGTAGTTTGATGAATATCCCACATTCGAAGCGTAGCATCCAACGATCCTGCCACAAATTTCTTTCCGGTCGGACAAAAATCAACTGATGTTATACCATTAATATGTCCCTGAAAAACGCTTTTGGGGCGTCCAGGCACTCGCATGTCAAACAAATAACAGTTCCGATCATCTGAACCTGTTACAAAAGTGTTTGGATCCATGGGATTCCATGCAACACTCGTGCAGCACATTTCCATAATAATTTTAGAATGCGATGCTTTAGTTCTTGTATCATATATAAAAACACCACGATCAGACATACAACAGGCGACCAATTCGGTTTCCACCTTGTTAAATTGACAACAAGAGACTGTGTCATCACCCCATGAAAAACGCTGAAGAGGTTGTGTCCTGTTAACATCCCATAAATGCACAGCATCAGAAGAAGTTACAAAGATAGACTTATGAAAGTGATGATCAATGGATGAAAAAGGAAACTCACCGAGGTATTCAGCCAACGGTTCAACCTTCGAATCATCAGAAGGAAAATCCAAATCCCACATTTTAACCACCTTATCACGGGATGCACTAAAACAAGCAACACCATCAGTAGATAAAACAAGTCCATCAACGGAATGTCGATGTGCATCAACAATTGCTTTTGGTCGCTTCGTAAAAACATCCCACACTATTATACCCCCATCAAACGCTCCACTGACCACGGTTGACAGGCTGGTGTAGTCTACAGCAACTGATTGAATAGTATCGTGATGACCGGAAAGAGCGCCAACAAATGGTTTTGCAAACATTCGATCAAGCTTTGCTGCACGAATCGCACGCGTGAACTCTGTTTGTTTCGCCATTGGATTGTATTTTGTATCAAAATTACGATTGACTCGTGGAACTTCGCCATTTCGATCTTTGGTCCATTCCAAATGCGACCGACTGATGGTTTTCACCTTCACCATTTTTTTTTCCTTTAAAAAGAAAAAAAAATTGATTCTTGCAAGAGACAAATAAACAAATAAGCAAATAAATAAATAAATAAAAGAAACTTCTTATTTTTAGTGTCCCAAATTTAAATAAATAAATAAAAGAATAATAATAATTAGCAATAATAATAATAAAACAGTAATAAAATTTTTTTTTTTAAAAAAAAAAGAAAATTAAAATCAACAATGCAAATACAGGCAAATAAACTATAAATAATAATAGAAAACACACACAGGCAATGCACCAGGAAGAATAAAATCAATGCGGGAAAAAAGCTGCTGTTTTTGAAATTGTTCTATATCACATCCTCCAGATTGCCATGATCAGTAAAAGGAGCCAGCATCTTGTTCACAAATTTTTCGTAATGAATAACGCCATTCTCCTCAAAACCTTGAATTAAATCACGAAATTCTTCTTCGGTATACTTTTCTCCCATTGTTGTCATAATATGACGAAATTCTGCAACAGACACAGTACCATCCAAATCCTTGTCAAAAACTCGAAATGCCTCCTTGACTGCTTCTGGGGTATCCGTCTTATCGTCATGTTTTGCAACAAGTGCTTCATAACCAGCCATATCAAGATCAGTCACAGTATTCATGATTTCCTTTATCCTTTCCTCACTCGGGTTTAGACCTGCCGCTCGAAGTGCAGTTGGAACAGAGGCTTTTGGTATTTTACCATCTCTTTGAAGGAGCTCAAAGGACTCCTTCATAAGAGCGGCGCGAGACATATTCTTTTTATGTATTCTAGTAAAAGGCATTTAAAGGGAAATGATATATATATATATATATATATAATATATATATATATATATAATATATATATATATATATATATATATATATATATATATATTAGGATGGAAAAAAGACAAAAAAGTGCACCCCCAAGCGCGGATATGGATCACAAAACATTACGCTATTTCCAAATACATTGCAAATAAGAAATAGATATTAGCTTATATATTATTATTTTGAAATATTATATATATATATATATATATATATGGAACAGTCAATGCATTTCTCTTTTTTTAAAATTTCAACACGATTTTTATCGCCTCAATATATTTCTTTATCTTTATCAAAAAAGTTCCACATCTCCTATTATCACCATCGCTAGAGAAAACCATAACCACCAGAATGCTCTCATAGTAGAAAAAATGCGTTCAATTTTCTCAAAGCGTTTATGAGCAGCACGCCAATTAAATTCCGCAAAATTTGCTGGTATTTGAATTTCTTTTTTTTCCATGTCAATAAAGTAGGGCTTACCAGGCGGCAATACACGCAGGCCTTGACCCTTTAAAAACCAACGATAAAGAAAGGCCGATTTTAAAAGACCCTGAAGAAATTTCTCTACGTCATCGGGAGTGACGTAATCAAGGTTGTCTTTTCGCTTCGGATCATCCCAAAAAGTTGTGTCATGCTCATTGAATTTAACTTCTGCTCCAACACGTATCTTTGCGTCTTGAACATTCTCCACTAACGCCGTCTGTTGTTCTTCCATACGAAGCTGAACAGCCTGAAGACGTGGAGCGACGGTATGTAGAAACGTTAGAACTTCTTGAACAGATGCAGTGTCAATGACTTTCACTTCTCCGGCAATCCAATCCACAGTAAATGCGCTACGCAGTTTATTTTTCCTACTTGGTAGGTATTTTTCAACAGAAATAGGATCACGTTCTTGAAGAGCCCAATTTGTAAGAGTCCCCAGTTCAATGCTTTTCTTACAAACGGGGAACTTCACAAACTGGATAGAAGAAGGATCATTTGTAACGTGAATAGACAAGAAAGAAAATGCAGGCACATTTTTCAGCAAGTTATCGTTATCCAAAAGCCGACGTGAAAAACTGTTATAGTCCGCGTCCTCGTCCCATGTCACGCGCTTCCATTTCATGCGTTTAGCTAATTCTTCTGATTCGTAAAACTGACTCAAGGAACGGGATCCAACCGATTCCTGAACACCTTCCAGTTTTTTCTCTCCTTCCTTTGATTCCCCTTCTTTCACATCCCGAAACATATCTCTGAATTCATACAAATAGTCCATAACTCCCTTTTCCAGTGCATATCTTTCTTTACGAAGCCGCGACAAAGAAGCTTTATTAGACAAAAGCCATTCCAAAACATCTGTCTGGAAGACTGTCGCCCTTGACGCCATGAAGACTATTTGAGCAAGAGATTCCTCTTCTACAATAATGAAAAGAGAAACAAAGAAAAGTCAACTAAATGGAGATTGAAACAAACCATAAATACAAACCACAACCGCGATCACGGCCCTGAAACGGCGACGTCATAAAAAAAAAAACAAAAAAGAAAAAGAAAAAAACAACAACCAAAAAACTACAGGTACATAAAAAAAACAAAAAACAGAAGAACGCGGCCCAACGATCCGGCCGTGCGGAAACGAAGCAACTTGCCAGAAGGACGTGCCCGGTCGCGTCGCCAAATCGGGAAACCGGGTGTGGTTTGCGGCGCGGCCTCCGGGAGCCGGGCGGCGCCGTAACCGTCCCTTTCGGGCCCGCTGCGGCCGGTCGCGTTTGGGAGGGAGGCTTATTATGTGTGAATCGTCTTTTTTATTATTCCTTCTTTTTAAATTTAGAATTTCATTTTTGCCTTGTCTATTTTTTTTTCTTAGAGAAGGAAAGGACAGATAGGAAAATAAATGGGTCTGGAAAAGCAAATTGTTTCGTTGGAGACGTTTTTTAGACACGTCAATTATCCACTTCAACCTCTACATTATGAAACAAAGGTGGTTTTGGACACTTTTTTTGAAAAAGGAGGGTTTTTAAATTTATGTGACTTGACATTTGCAAGCTATGGTACAAAAGGACGTGCTGGTGGGGCGAGAAGTTTGTCATGGATGGACATAGGGAATTTAAAACCAAATGGAAAAGATGCTTCAGCACTTTTTCGGCTTTTGGCTCCCGGTGGTCATTTGTGCAACTTATTGGAAGCCGTTTCTCTTCCTTCAAAGGATTTTGCAACCTGCTTAAAAAGGTCGTGGAAGGAGAATTTGGCTGGGGAATCAGAAATTAAGTTTCCGTTTTACACCTTTGACATACCTATTTCTGCGTTGTATTCATTATCGTATGAATTATTGGCGGAATCTGCTGATACAAATTGGTATACTCTTTCTCGTTCCCGTTGTCCGCCCTTGTTTCTTATTCCTTTTTGGAATCCGCCCCTTGCAACACGTTTTGAAGCCGAACATGGACAGGTGTTGACTTCTTTCCCATGTTCTCCTCTTTCCTACTTCATTTTGCGTATGTTTTTTTATCTTGTACGCAAAGTTGAGGAAAGTGGTGTTGAAATGGTTTGTCTTCCGCGCTTAGATACTGTGGGTAAAAGAGTTGTTTCGTGGCTTAATATTTTAATGGATTATTTTCGAGACGTTCCTTGTGTGGAGTTGCCATTATATCATCGGCTTTTGACGGCATATATTCAGTATTTTGTATCGTTTTCTTTTATTGAGCGTCTAAGTTCTAAACGTGTCTTGGAAGAAGCTCAATGGTCAACATCGGATGTGATGGCCGCATTGCTTCTTTCTGCACCAAACCTTCTATTTATGAAAGGTTTTCATCGGCCAGAGCTTGAGATTTATAGAAATTCTTGTAGAGATGTTTTTTCTGCAGCACTTTTATTTAAAATAATTCCATTTTTGACTGAGTGCATTCTTGCTCTTAGAAAAAGTGATTCGGAAGAATCTTTCGCAAATATGTCTAAATACTCTATTCTGCCTCAGAAAGAAATGCGCCTCGATTCTGCAGTTTCGTCAGCCTGGGATATTCTTTTTTTTGATCTTTCATTTTACCGAAACACTTTGATTGCCCTTCGTCAATCTTTGATTTCTTTTGAGAAATTTAGAGATTGTAGGAGAGAGCACTTTAATAATTCGCTTGAACTTTGGTATTTACTGATTAAACCAAGTGAAAATAAAGACGTACGAGAGACATATGTTGTTCATCATTATGAGATTTATAGCTTTTTCCTCATTGATGTTTTTTCCATGGTGTTGAAGAGCAGCTTTTTGGATTCTATCGATGTTGCAGGTGCCTCTATGTTGTTGCGATGCTTTGAAGTGTTTTCTATGGTTTCAATAAGAAATGTTTTTCATGAATTAAGCAGCAATGATACTTTTTCCCGATCGAGTATTTTAGATAACATAATTCAATACCTTACGTTAAATTGGGCAGATGAAGATGGGGCAGTACATATTGTTAAGGTTTTTGGAAAAGAAATTCTTGAATTGGCGGCTGATTTTTGTTTAGCAGTTGAATCACGAATAGAGAAGGGTGATTTGGATCATGCGGTAACTTTCCAATTAAAAGGTTTACTTGATTTACTTTTAAATGTATTTGAGGGTTTGCAGCCGGTAGTGGAGAAATGTCGACAGATGCATGCGACTTGTCGTAAGCCAAATGCAGATGTTCGTACTACTTCGGCACCTACTGAGATAAAAAGAAAATTGGATACAGAAGGGGAAAAGGAACTTTTTTTTAAAGGAATTCGACGTTCCTGTGGGTTTTCTGGACCGTTGAATCTACGTTTTGCTACAGAAAATGGACTTTTACCGGGCACTTATTATCCTACAGCGGGGACAAGTTTAGGCAACGAATTTCCATGTTTGCTTGCTGTAACAAGACTGTTAGATGCATTTTTTGAGAAACTTCTTGAAGTGTATTACTCTGTATGGATACCTAAATGTAGTAGGGGGCATGGGATGTGGTTACTTTCTTCAAGTAATTTTGCGTGTATAAATCATCCCGAAGAATCTGCTGTATGGGAATGTGTTTTCTGTGAAGAAGTTTATGGTGCTTGTTGCCGTTCCAATCCTTATGGACGGGATGGGAAAAAAATGGTTAGAGCAGAAAATTCTCAGTCTGATTTTAAATTTTGTTCAGAATGCTATGCATTTATTCCGACGAATACTGTTTTTTATACTTTGTCGATGTCAGGAACAGTTTTATGTCCAGAGTGCGCTTCACGTCCCTTTAAAAGGAGAAGTTGTCGTTTTTTTGCTGCGTATAGAACGTGGACAATTATTTGTATAAGTTGTCTTTTACTTACGTTCTTCTATATCATTTGAAACGATCTTTAAGAAAGAATTTTTTGTTTTTCCTATTTCGCTATTATTATTATTATTATTTATTTATTTATTTATTTATTTATTTTTATAAATAAATTAAAAAGAAATATAAACAACAACAAAATCGGAGAATGAACAAATATATCACTTTATTGTAAAAAGTTTGTTTCCTCTGATGGCTATTTTTTTTTTTCCCACGTATTTGTATTGCAAAATATTGCATCTTTTTTCTTTACGTTATATATAAATATATGCATTGGTTTATTATATTTCTGTTTCTTAAGATTTAGGGTGGAATTAATAATAATAACAATAACTCGCTTTATTTTGAAGGAAAGGATTGAAGGGAATAATTTTAAAAAGGCCAACAGTGAGTAGAGATGATTAAGGAGGAGTTGCCCCTTTTTCGAGCGAAGTTACCAGGCCTTTATACGGGTGGCGGCACAGGGCCAGGAGTTGGACCAGGATCCTATAATTTAACTTCCAATTTGTCCAAACCCATTCATGGTGAGGCTCCGTTTGGCATCACGAGCGAAAGGTTTTATTCGCATCATGGTACTGCCGTACCTGGCGTTGGAACCTATGATATAATTACGAATGATTACCGACGTGGTGACATCACTGTTGTTCCGTTTTTTTCTTCATTGGATCGTTTTTTTTGTCCGAGAGCTGATGAGGTTCCTGGCCCAGGGGCGTATCCTCATGATGGAAATAAGTGGGGTCGGTGTGGAAGGTCCCATGCCATGGGAGCAGCTTGTTCCAAAGGAGCTGAAAACTCATTTTCTATCGGTCCAGGCTCATATGACCCAAATTATGGTTCGGGTCGTCGGGCAAATTCAAGAGCTGCTCATTTTGGTGGTTATAGTGGTCGTGATGCTCCTCGGTTTAATGATATACCAGGACCGGGTCATTATGATATTGCAGCTCCAGATAATTCTCTTTATAATAATAAGCCCAGTTCAATGTTTTCGACAAAAACTTTGCGTTCAACATTTGGAGGTGACAGCGTGAATCCAGGACCTGGAAGTTATAATTTACCTTCCTATTTTCAATCTTTAGATGAATATCGCGTTGCAAATCCGGAATCCTTTTCGGCTTTTGGTTCTTCGGCGCCACTTCATGCGCCAGGACCCACTGATTCACCTGGTCCCGGTGCTTATACAGGAGATATTGCGCCGCGTCGTCCAAAAGCGCCTCCTAAAACAAAAAAAGCATGTACATTTGGTTCCGGAACAGGCCGAAATAGAATGCCGCCTGGGACAAACATCGGCCCTGGAGCATATGAGCCCACTAAGCCCAATAAACTGCAAAAATACCAATTGGCCTCTGTACCTTTTCGCTCCCAATCCCCAAGATTTCCTTCTTCAAAATCTACTGAAGTCGAAGGGATTTTTGAACCTCGTCGTCCTGTTGTACGTGTACCACTTCGTATTCATCCACCTCGACCGCGGGATAGTGCCATTAACGTTGCAGCAAAAATGAGCTCTAGAAAAGTTCCTTTAGATCCCGTTTATAATGTAAATTATGATTGGCCGAAACCTACGTGTACAAGCGGCTCGTATTTTGGTACTGCCCCTCGTTTTGAGAAGAAAGATTCTAAAACCTCCATTCCTGGTCCTGGACAGTATGATATTTCTGAAAAACCCTCATTGGGCGGGGGAGGATCATTGAATGGTACATGGGGAACAGATGGAAGGTTTACTTCTGGCAACGAGGTCGGCAATCCTGGTCCAGGACACTACCGGTACGAGAGTACCTTTTACAAAAAAAGCTTTAACTCCACCATTGGTTCCTCAGAAAAAATGTAAATTGAATATGGGCAGGTATTTTGCCTTTTTGTTGTTCATTTTTTTTTCTTTTTATTTACGAGTTCTCGTTGTACCCATTGGAATCCTAGGAGCAAGAGGGAAGGACAAAAAAGAAGGAAAGAATAGCCCAAATGTATTTCTTAATGGTTTCTTTTTTTTTCTTTTTTTTCTTTTTTATGGATGAACTTTATTACCTTTTCAGGATGTTTCATTTGTATTCATTTGTTTTTTATTTATTTATTGTAAGCGTATTTCTTTTTTACGCGTATTGACATTTTTCTTTCTTTTTTTTTTTTTTTTTTTTTGCTTACTTATTTAATTTATTTATTTTTTTCTATTAGTCAGTATTTTTCTGTTTATTATTATTATTATTATTATTATTATTATTATTATTATTATTATTATTATTATTATTATTATTATTATTATTTATTGGATAGTTAAATATACAGGTTATTTAGTTAGTTTGATGATACCTCGATTTAGGCCTTCTTCGAGATGGATTTCCCAGTTGCCGGAATTTGCACGTCGTGCTTTTCAGGTGGATCAGATGGAGTTGGATTCGGCCCTCTCACAGATGTACTCACTTTGTTTGAAGCCTTCTCTTGTTAGCAAAATGAGCAAGGCGCGAAAAATGACAAAAAATCATTATCATCGGGATGATCCCGCTTTCATTGTTCTTCAAGTACTCGCTCTAGTCATTACAGTTGTAGCTTACGGTTTGACGCTAAAAGGGGGCCTATTGCAGATTTTTTTCAATGTTTTGTACGAAGTTGGGGTAACGTACTTAATCACAGGTCTGATTATGGCGACGGCTGCCTGGGTGTTTGCTAATCGTTGTCTGATGAGCAATGGTGGACAGATGCATGAATTGCGTCGAGAAGTTGATTGGCACCACTCATTTGACATTCACTGCAATGGTTTTTTTCCTTATTTTATTTGGACAAGGGTCATACAATTTATACTATTACCGCTGCTCCTCAGGCCATCTTTTTTGGCATGTTTGGTTAGCAACTGCTTATATATGATTGGATGTGTGTTGTACGCATATATTGTGTTTCTTGGCTACTTGGAGCTTCCAATGTTGGTACAGCAACAACAATTGGTCTACCCCGTACCTGCCATTTTGTTATTTACGTTTTTCATCACTATTTTTGTCAGGTGGAACCTGACTCAGTGGACTCTGTCTCAGATGTGGCAAATTTAGTTTTTCCTCATCTATTTTTTTGTGTTTGCCCCGTGCTATATTTGCACATGAATCTCTTTTATTGTATTGGGGCGATTCTGAGAAGCATGAATGAAACAGAAAAAAAAAAAAAAAAAAAAAAAAAAAAAAGGCGAGGCTGTTCTTTGTGTCACGGTCTATATATATATATATATATAGAAAGAGAATGTGTGTGTGTGCGTGGGGAAGTTGAGTGATGGATTTATTTTTGACTGGAATTTAATTTTCATATTGAAATCACATGACGCAAAAAAAAAAAAAAAAAAAAAAAAAAAAAATGAATTTTTTTATTAAAAGCACTTTTTTTTTTTTCTAACTTGTGTATTACTTTGGGCAATTGTTACACTTACAACACTTTATGTACGTGCACTAGGGGCTGGGTTTTTGGTGTAGCTGAGGGGGCTGGAAAGGGGTGAAGAACAAATAGCAACGACAGAAATATATACTTAGCTCTAGTTATATATTGGGGAAAGCAAAAAAAAAAAAAAAAAAAAAGCGGGAGGTCGATATGTTTCGTCGTGGCTTGGTTCACCGGCGATATCCATTTAACAAGCGTGGTCCTCGTGAGCGCAAATCATGGAAACATCATGTTTTGACGGATCCCCCGAAGCCAATCCAGTGGCGAGATCCAAAAGTGTGGACAAAGGATTTAACTACAATGAAGTCTTTTGATGCCCCTCAATGGGATCTGTGGCAGAGTCGGGCACGCTCTGAAGATATTGATGAGGCGCTGCAGCCCTTCATGGACATGCCCCAGTCTCTCAAGGATCGACGCTACGATATTCCGTGGTGGGCAAATCCTTTTGGCGCATGGTACCTGCAGAACATTCTTTCAGTGGAATTGCTAAAACTTCCAAGTCGAACAAACGCTGAGAAAGTAGCAATTTATAGAAATCAAAAGCATTCCTTGTCGTCAAAAAAGAAAGGGGAAGCTGCCCAGGACGACGAGATTTTAGCCAACATCATCAAGGAGAGATGGAGGACGTTGGAGTTTGGTGATCGTGATGCAGGGTATCCCTGTACCTTTAGCGACTATATCCAATTCCTTAATGAATGGTTTAAGTCTCTCGATGAAGAGGGCATGCAAAGATTACGGGAGCACTTTGATAGACGGATTCGTCCGCTTTTGGCCGTGATGTCGCCAGTAGATATACTCTGGCTGGAAGCTCTGACACAGAACTCTCCTCATAATAAGGAACAGTTGCAACGTAGGATTGCGTTTCAGACAAGTTTGGGTACACCAGAGTTTTTTGATATGTCAAAACGACTTCGCTACGAAATCAATGAGGATTACAAGGTTCGTGATGAATTGGGTCCTGAACTTTTTGCGCTTTGGAGCAAGGCCCCTGAACGTTGGCCGCCGGAACGTCTGTCGAAGATGTATGGGCTAGACTTTACGTTGGTTCGCAAAATACTTGTGTGGCACCATTTTAAAGCGTGTTATGATGCCTGTGTAGAGCCAGACTGGACCTTGCCCAAGCGTCTTTTTGCCTTGGAATGGATCCGAGATGTTAGGGCACGTAAACATGGATTATTTTATGGGAAAATGCGTTTTGCCGAACAAAAGATTACTTTTTATAGTGATCGGTTCCTATTTCGTGACTTGGTGAATCGCCGAGAGGCAAGTTATGCCAATGTCTGGGAAATGGATGATCCCTATCGTTTCTTGCAGACTGAACAGGACTACGAAGACTATTGGGGTGACAACTATGATGTCTATCGCCGCATGTTTCCTGAGATGATTGGAAAGAGTGGCGAACCAGTGCAGCAATACGGACAAATGCCAGTTTGGACGGGGCCACATCGTCAGCATGCCAACAAATCTCAGCACAATTGGATGTTTGCTGAGATTGGCGTGAACGTGGGCCATGAGGCGTTGAAGAAGTTAGAGCTGGATCCTACGAACGAAAAACGCCGACGATTTGTCATTCGTCAGCCAGATGGCACTCTTCGCTCTGCAAAAATGTCAGAAATGCGGGCATGGTACTGGAAGGAAGAATGGGCGGATTTCCGTTTTTGGGCTCCTAACATGGAGTGGGGAATTGAAAATACACCCTCGCAGGAACAATATCAGGAGCACGTCCCGGACACTCCGGACGCGGACTTTCGCAAGCAGCGCCGCATTCAATCACGCCCAGTGAAATGGTTTTACGAGAGCCATTACACACGCACAGGAAATTTTGCGGGATTTCAACCTCTCCGTTTTATGCAGCGTCGCACGGAACGTGAAGTTCGTTGGCCTGACGTGATCAATGCGGCAGTGCAGATTCAGAAGCGAAAGCCGGATGCTTACATCTTTAAAGCTATTCCTGAGATTTAATTGTATTGCATTCGTTGAAAATGGATTAGCATTCACCGAGTGGGTGTCAATGAGGCTGATATCCGCTGAAGGGCGAATTTCTTTTTTTTTCTTTTTCTTTTTTTTTATTTTTTGTTCATCATGCTCTATCTATTATTTTGGCTTGAATTACCGTTGTTTGATGTGCAGCGCCTTTTTTTTTTTTTTTCTTTGTTGTTATGCATTTACGTTTCAAAATAAATAGAATTGTTTATATGCATATATTTTGTTTTACGTTAATTTTGTCGTTGCACAGATGAGTACTGAAAGCTTTGAGGTGCCACGCAATGAGGCTGTGGAGAAGAGTGGAAACGTCTATTCTCCTCCCCCATTTTCGTACTACGTGACGCGCAAAGAGGAGGATTCCGCAGACGAACCCATTTCGTCCACTTCCAAGCCGGGCAATGCGGGTCAAAACAAGGAAACCCTGGGTGGGGCGGGAGAACTTCCTCCCGGTGCGGCGGCCCAACCGTTTTCGGCGAGAAATGTTGGTCGTTTTCTTGAGCAACAGCGGTATTTGAGAGAAATCAACAGACCGCATACTATTTCATTATGGGATCAGGCTTGCGTGGGCCATCTATTTCCTGGTATGTTTGAGGGGACCATTGACGCCATGGAGTTATTCCATATTCTTAAGATGCTTGTCATGGTAGCCATTAACTCGGTTACAGTGACAGTCAACGTCTTTCACGGAACTACCTTGGTGAGCTCTCTCGAGTGGGCCAAGCCAATGTCTAGGGTTGTTTTCCTTATTGAGTTTTTGGTGGTCTATTTCTTCTTTCTTTTCCTTATCGTCGTCATACTACATGCTATAGCGTATGGTAATGTTGGCGCCAATCTTGCCGGGGATATCGCTGCTCTTTCGGAAAGAATCACCAGCTTCTCTTCTCTCCGTGTTGTGGCTATAGTTTCCCCAGACTTTGCCATTAATAACATTTTTCCCATAGTACAAAATGCCGTGTCCGTCTCTGAATATCTTAGGGCGGCTCTATTTTTTGTCTTATGGTTGTGCGCATGTGTTTTGGCGATGGCAGCAGTCGTGCTTAAGGTGACTCAGATTGAATTTGCAAGTACACTCAGTATCAGTAGCTGGACTTTTGGTGAGTTTATCCAACTTGTAGGTCTTACCATGAACTTGGCTCGTGTAAATGATTCCTACGAGACAGAAACTCAGGTGCTATTGGATGCGGTTCATCGCCACTTCTGCAGTCCTGGAATGCCAAAGGATAGTTTTAATCGTGTGGAGTGTTTATACACACGTCTTTGCGACTACTTATCTCTTCCACGCCCTAAGAAATACGAGTTTTTTGATGCGATCTTTGACTACCACTTTAAACTCGCGCAGGAACAAAAAAATATCCCATTGCCTATGAAACTGCGTAAGATGCTGAATTATTTGGCCTTTATACTTCGAACGGACAATGCGGTCTTACGCCGATTACTGCAGATGTCGCAGTCACCACTTCCTTTCTTTCAGATGGGGCGTGACGCCTTTTTTCAATGCTTCAATGAACACGATGAGTTGGGCATGCTGGTTGCGGTTTGGCGAAGTGATCCCGCATCGCTACCGGTGAAACTGTTTGGGATGGAAAATAAGGGCGTGTTTAACATCACCTACAAATGTGAAGATGGACGCCACGCGTGGGATGCGGATAACTTGTCTCATATTCTTTCCCACTCGGAGTCTGAGAAGAAGTTCCACAAGGATGTTGTTGATGCGTGCCTTTAACTTTTGTAAAAGGAAAGAAAAAATGTGCTCGCATCTGTATTATGCGATATAGATGATTAAAGGCAGTTTTTGGCGGGTGGTTTTTGCCGCTTTAAAGCTTCTTTCTTTCTTTCCTTTTTTTTTGTCGTTTTTTTTTTTTTCTTTACATATACACATACATATACATATATACCCAAACATTTTTCTGCCAATTTTTTTTTTTTTGCCTGTATGCGGCCTCAGTTTTGGTTCTGAGTGGATGTTTGCTTCGGAAGGAATGCGTGTGGTTTGCCGATTGTGTTTTATTGCATGAAATGTTTTTTTTTTTGCTTTTTTTAATTTTTAGGAGCTTGTGAAAAGAATGATCGCGGGAGAGCTGGCTAACTTAATTAATGTATGTTTATATCCTGATAAATGAATGCATTCTTTATGATACTTTCTACCGTATGAATCTTTTGGGAAGAACGCGACTTTGTAGGGGCAGGGAGCCGATAGAGGCCGGATAAGATTTTAAATTTTATTTTGCCATCCCACCCTAACCCCCTTTGATTCCCACCACGCGGCGGGGTATTGTGGTTGGAGGACCCCAAAGTCTGCCGCTTCGTAAGTAATAATACGTAAATCCCAACTGAGGACAAAGGACCATGCTGGTGGTCCACAGAATTCTATATATTGAATGAAAAGAAAAAATTGAAGCAATTAACTAACGAACCTTTTTTCCCTAACTTGTTTGGTTTCCATAGATTTTCAGGATCCTGCCAGCTGCCCGGAAGATTATTCTACTTGCCTTTACTGTGCCTCTTGATTTTCTTTTTTTTTTTTTTCCATCCGTCAAACGCGAACGGCGGCAGGAATTTATTTTGTGTGGGAACCTTTTGAAGCATTACGCATCGAGGAGGAAGGAGGAAAGGGGAAATAACAAGAGAAACAAACGGACAGTGTGGTGCTGGAGGGTGCAGCGGTGGTAGATGCAGTCGGAGGATGATCAGTTCTCAAAGCAGAATGGCACGGCATTGGAGCTTGTGGAGGAGTGGGAGAGTAGACACGGGCGGATTGCGGAATGGCGAAGGCTAAACACGGAACGGTACGGCTATCGCGCTGCATACCACGAGGCGGTCACGGAAAAGGATGATGTGCCTCCAGAGTATCTGCGCAAGCTGATGAAAGATAATGGTGATCTTAGCGGGAAAAGCTTCGGTACAGAGCGCAAGTTGTGTGTTGCGTTGTTGAAGTACATGCCATTGGCGCTCTACAAGTTGCTTGAGAATATGCCGATGCCCTGGGAAGAGACACGATATGTCAATGTTGTTTACCACATGGGAGGTGTGCTGACGCTTGTTGATGATACACCGACGGTAGCGGAACAGCTTTATCTGGCTCAGTGGGGTTCTATGTGGACAAGGATGCGTTCTCACAAGGTGGAACTGCAGCAGGAGGGAGGAGCGTTTCGTCGCATGATTCATAAAGGCAATGAAAACGAACCACCCATAGAGTATGGGGATTACATCATGGACCGTGAGCCCCCAGAAGCCGTGCATGATGAGCTTGATGAAGAGGATTCTGCTGCCATTATTGATTGGTTCTATGATCCCTTTCCCCGTTTGGTGCACCCAAACCAAATTCGTGGACCACGTCGACCCAATGGATATTATTTTTCTATTAATGTTGTTGAGTGTCTCTTTCGTAGTGCCTCTCCAATTCTACCGACTTTGGATGATCGCAACTACTACTATCTCTGGGACCTGAAGTCTTTTTACACGGCGAAAGCAATGCATCTGGCGATTCCACGTGCGCCCAAGTTTGAATCACCTCCTGCGGTGTGTGAAGAGGATGAGGATTGGACGGAATTTAATGATCTTCGGCGGATAATTCACCGCGACGATCCGCGCAGGCCTCGATTCACGATGCTAACTGAACGGCAGATTGCATTTCCTTTTTTGTACGGCAGTGTAGTGGAGGCAGTGACGGTGGCGCCATATCATTATCCCGCCGAGATTCGTGTGGAAAACGAAGACCCTGCGCTTCCTTGTTTCTCGTGGAACCCCTCCATCAACCCTATAAAGGCTCTTAAACGGAATCATGCCGAAGTAACGGTGACGACTACGGATGTGTTGTGCTCTGTGGCGCTGCAGCACGTGCAGGATGGGGAGGAATTGGTGAAAACGGAAGAGGGAATATGTAGGGTGCAGCTTCCTGCGAATTTTGCTCCTTTTCTGGAAGATCTTTCTCTGGAGGATGCGGACACCAAACAAGCCATGATGTTAGCATTCGCACCTGCGCCCTACAACAGGTTTGAAGGGGAAATGAAGCGTCGTGTAGACATTCCTGTTGCGGAGCATTGGTGCCGGGATCCTCCCACTTTGGTCACAGGCGACACACGCGATAAAACTCTTCGAAGTTATACACAACTTCTGAAGCATCATGTCGCAAAGAATCTTCGACGAAACCGGCTCCAGGCGCGGAAACGACATAGGGAAAATACGGAGGAAGTATTACAACCTTCCCGTAGATTAGATGAGCTTGGTAGACTGAAGTTTTTCCAGAAAACGAAGGTTGACTGGATGGAAGCTGCTCTTCAAGTTATGCGACAGGGACACAACATGTTGGTACAACTGATCAATGTAAAGTGCCTACCGTATGTTCACATTGATTACAACTTTGAAGCCAAACCCACTCGTACATTGACAACAAAGGAGATAAAGAAGAGCCGCCTTGGCCCAGCGTTTCATTTGATTCGTGAGCTTTTGGGGTTTATGAAGCAACTCATCGACATGCACGCTATGTATAGGCTTGGTAAAACAGATGCCTTTCAACTAGCAGACGCAACGCATTACCTCTTTTCACACCTTGGGCGCTTGACCGGCGTGTATCGGTACAAATTACGGGCCATGCGACAAATCAAACGAACCCGAGACTTAAAGCATGTTCTTTACAGCAAATTTAATGTGGGAGAGGTGCTGAGGGGTCCGGGATGTGGCTTTTGGGCTCCGGCGTGGCGTGTATGGGTGTTTTTCCTGCGTGGGATGACGCCATTGCTGCAGCGCTATTTAGGCAACCTGACGGATCGTGTCCTTCGTGGGCGTGAGTCTAAAGGCAAATATGACGGAAAGCGCATAACACGACAACGGGTGGAAACGGATAAGGACGTAAATATAAAGGAGGCGTTTAGACGTGAGCTTCGTGAGATGCTTCCTGAAGATGTGCGTGCGGATGTTATTCGGACGATGGATCAACATATGAACGAGGCATTTCGTCACTGGCGAGCTGGTCTCCAATGGTCCGTGCCAGGTCTGGCTAGGCCTTTGACGGAGCTGGTCAACAAGTACGTCAAGCTTCGTGCGGAGGAGTATATTCGCGTTACACAATACCAGAGGAAACGCATCAATGAGGGTGATACTGTAGACAAACAGGCTTTTATGAAGAATCTCGGTCGTTTAACGCGTCTAAAGCTCATGGAGGAGCAAGAACGCCAACGGGCATATCTGGAGGGAAGAGATGCACTTGTGATATCACCCCAAGAGGCGAAGGAGATTTACCGCATGATGGCAAACTGGCTTACGGATCGCGGATTTAAAAAAATTGAATTTCCTAAAGTATCAAGACCCGCCGAACTGCGACTACTGGAGCTTTCATTAAATCGTCTCCGTGATCAGCATAACATTGCGAATCGACTTACTCAGGCTCAACGTGAGGAACAAGCACGCATTGAGGAAGCCTTTAATTCTCCTCATGAAACTCTTTCAAAGATCATTGATTGCCTGGCACGTGTGCGTCGTTTCAAGAACGTTGAGGTGGAGTACATGGATACCTTTTCAACACTCTATCCTATATACAATGTGGTGCCATCTGAAAAGCTTGTCGACTCCTTTTTGGATCAGTATCTTTGGTATGAAGCCATGGATCAACAGCGTTTGTTTCCCAATTGGGTGAAACCCTCTGACATGGAACCTGTACCTGTTCTCTTGTACAAGTGGTGTCAAGGTATAAATGACAGTCCTAGTCTTTGGGATGTTACACGGGATGAATCGACAGTCTTGTTGCATGCCAACTTAGAAGATAGCTTCTATGATAATGTGGACTGGAATTTATTTCGTCCTCTCTTGGAAATGGTGATGGATAAAACACTGGTGGAGTACATCGTTAGCCGGCATGACGTTGTCGTGGAATTTAAAGACATGAGTTATCAATGTCGGAAAGGATTATTGCGTGGGTTTATGTTCTCTTCTTTCTTGTCGCAGTATTGGGGTCTCGTTGTAGACGTCCTATTACTTGGGACGCAGCGAAGCCAAGAAATTGCAGGACCTGCCAGGCGACCAAACCCATTTATGACCTTTATGCGAGATCCATTGCTTGCCACATCGCATCCCATTCGTGGATATTGCCGGTATAAGAATGAGGTATATGTTCTTCTCAAGTACACAAAAATAGAGGCGGACGATGTGCGTCGGCGTTATTTGGATGAAACGAAACATGATCCTGGTCGACGCTCCTTAAATGCCTCTGTGTATGGATTTAAAAATGCCAATCAGTGGCCAAGAGATGCAAGGATGCGTTTATTTCTTAATGATGTGAATCTTGCTCGTGCAGTTTTATGGGAATTCCGTGGACGTCTTCCGCCCAGCATAGCTGAGATGAATGAATCCAACACATTTGTGAGCGTGTACTCCAAAGATAATCCCAACCTGCTATTTGACATGGGCGGGTTTTCCGTACGAATCCTACCAGTGTGTCGCACAGAAGAAGAGGTGTTGGAGAATGAATCGACATGGAATCTGCAGCACGCCAAGAGCAAAGATGTCACCGCACGGGCCTTTCTTCAAGTTGCTCCCGATCATGTTAACCACATACGAAACAAGGCTCGCCGTGCTATCATGATGGTGGGCAGTTCCACATTTCAGAGTATTGCGGCTAAATGGAATGCACTTGTTACTGAGATTGTGCCATATTACCGAGAGGCGATATTAGGGACAGACAGCCTTCAGAAGGTGCTTGCCAGAGCAGAACATCGAATGCAGTCCCGTGTGATGATGGCATTGAATTCAAGGTCAAAGGCTCGATTTCCTCCGGCAATGTTTTACGCGCCAACAGATCTGGGTGGACTTGGAATGCTCTCAGTGGGTCATTCTCTTATTCCCGCCCGTGATCTTATCTACTCCAGGACAACCAGCACAGGTGTGCAATTTTTTTATTCTGGCCTTACAAATGCCGATGACATTCCCATCCCTAATGTGCTGCAATACTATACGCCATGGGAGACAGAGGTTCGGGAAAGCGTTAAAGCATGGACAGAATTCAGCGTGCGCGATAGGGAGGCTAAGGCGGCTGGCACACGGCTCTCTCTTGACGATATTGAGCCCATCATCAACAAGGGTATCCCGCGAATTCGGGTTCTTTTTTCTCGTCATGCCAAACTTTTCCAGTTTGATAAGGGGTTCCGTTGTCGTATGGAATTTCAGCGTTTCCTTTCTGGTAAGTACCTAAAGAACTGGTGGTTTCACCCCGAGCACGATGGCAATATATGTGGTGGTGTATTAGAGAGATATCGTGTGGACATAATCATTGCGCTGGGCGGCGTGGAGGCCATTTTGGAGCACAGCCTGTTTAAAGGGACCGGTTTTCCGTCGTGGGAGGGCATCGAGTTTAATCGCTCTGGTGGCTTTGAGAACTCCAAGAAGGACAGTAAATTGGCTAAGCAGCAACGTGCAGGTCTCGCCAATGTACCCAACCGACGCTTTGCGCTCTGGTGGTGCCCAACTATCAATCGTGCCGATGTACAGGCAGGATTTGAGTCCAAAATTGACACCACAGGCGTGTTTATGTGCGGTAAGCTTGAAACGATTAAAAAATCGCTGATAAAAATTTTTAGTGGTTCACTCTGGGAAAAGTGCCATGGGGCTGTCGTTAACGACATTGCCAGCAAAATGAAAGATGCCATGGCAGATTTGGATGCCGCCTCTGTGACGTTGCAACAGCAACACCCGCAAAAATCCTACACCTACACAAGTTCTGCGCCAGATGTTGTTATGGTTTCTAATTCACGTTGGCCTGTGACGGCCAAACCGACAGTACTCTCAGATGAAGCTGGTGATGAGTATCGTTCTCATTTAACGAGCAAATTTTGGATTGATGTCCAATTGCGTTGGGGCAATTATGACAGTCACAATATTGCAGAATATACGAGGAAGAAGTTCTATGAGTATTCATCGGCCAAAATGTATCCATTTCCTGCTGGGATTGTAGTAGGGGTTGATTTGGCGTACAATTGTCATTCAGCCTTTGGGTATTGGATCCCCCAGCTAAAACCATTGATGGTGAAACTCATGTCGGCCATTATGCGACACAACATTGCTCTTAATACCTTGCGTGACAGAATGAAGCGGGAATTGCAGCTTTTCAGTTCTGCCCCGACGGAAGCAGGGTTGTCCGTGACGAATATTGCAGAGCTTTTTTCAGAGGGAATGCGGACATGGATCGTGGATGACAGTGCCACCTACGTTACAAGTGAACAGCCAACAGCAGAGGGAGGAAGGAAGTTTCGCTCAGAGAATGGAGCTGTGTTGCTGTTTGAGCCCACAACAGGCCAATTAAAGCTCAGTATTGTACACAAAAGCGTTTTTGCCGGACAAAAGCGACGAACAAAACTTGCTCGTGAAAAGGCTGCGGAGGAAATTGCTTCGTGGCTTCGAAGCACACCCGCAACTCAACGACCGGGTAAGATTATAGTAACCCGCTCACGCTTCCGTCAAACCCTACATAACATGCTTGTATTAGATTACCCGAACATTATTATTGGTCAGAGCGACCTGAACCTTTCTATCCCCATGGTGTTACGTCACAGTCGTCTGGTGGATTTGCGTATCTCTGCCACGGAAAGCAAGGGATGGGAGTTCTGCTTGTATGATGATTGGCTGCAACAGTTTCAACCAGCGACATGCTTCAACCTTCTCAACCTCATTCTTCGTGGGTATCATGTCAATCTTAACCGGACTCGGGAAACATTGGTGCCGGATTTACATGTGGAGGTGCATCATTCGCACTTTTGGCCCACGTATACCCGTGAGGAGTGGGAAAGGGTGTCAATACGTCTACAGGAGATGATTATTGCAGACTCTGCAAGACGCATGAATGTCAGTCCGAATCAATTCACTGAGATGGAAAAAAAGGATATTCTCTTGGGGAAGAAGATGACAACAATTGAGATACAGGAAGAAGAAAAAAAAGAACTTGAGGAGATGAGGCGGACCAAATTAATACAAGAGCAGACGGTAAATGTGACAGTGAAATCGGGCGAAAAAATCCAAAAGAAGATCAAGGCAGCTTTTGATTTTGGGAACTCCACGACGTCCAGCAATTGGCGGACTCGATCTCTTGCTGACGCAGCAGCATTTGACGAATCCACAACCATAGAGATTGATGCCTTGGGTGCTGTGGCCAGTAGTGATCAGCTCATCATCCCAATGGAAACTTTGAAATTATTTATTCCGTGCTGTGATGTGCAGGCGCAGTGCTGCGCATATCTTTTTGGCCAAACCCTCCCTGAAGCACCGAATATTAAAGAGGTGCTGTGCATTATGGTGCCACCCCAAAAAGGTTCTGCGGTGGAATGTACGACACCAGTGCACATTCCGCATAAGCACCCGGCTCTTGTGGAAAATCATCTTTCTCTTCTTGGTGTTCTCCGGTGCGGTGGTGGGGAACCCGCTCTCCACTCAAGAGATTTGGCGCTTCACGGTCGGCTTTTGGCATCCAACGACGAGCTCCAGACGGAAGGGCTTGTGACAGCTGTTATGGGTATTTCCCAAGACGGCCTTAATATGCGCTGCTACACCACCACAAGGGAAGGAATCTCATGGGCCTTGGAGAACTACGCGAAGGCGCTAGAGCGGGAACCAACGGAAGTTGCACCAAAACACTTCGCGCCGTGCCGAGCCACACTCTCTGAAGATCTTCAAGGCTTTTTACTTGTGCCTACTGGAGGAGATTGGAACTATGCCTTTAAAGGGGCTACATGGCGTGAATCCACGGAGTTTGATGTTAGTGCGGATATCCCAGTCTTTTTTTTTGCCGCTCAGCATCGCCCGGACCACTTTTTAAATTTTGCTCGTCTCTCCGAGGAAGAAGAAACGATTGATATGGCGGACATGGATGATACCATGGCCTAGTTATTGTCGTTGGACGCGGTGTGGCATGCTCACGGGGAAGGGGAATGGAGATTTCATCACCATAGTAACGGCTTGAAGCGGGAGGAAAAGGTAAACTAGCACAAATCATTTGATTTTTAATGATGGAATTGGCATGCAGTTTCCTCTTTAATTATATCAATATATCTTCTTTTTCTTTTCTTTTTCCCGGTCTTTAACGTAATTAAAATATCTTTCTTAGCGCCGTGCTTCCCCCGTTTCTTAGTTTGCTTCCATGACTTCATTTCCCCACTTTGTTTCTTTTTCTTATATGTGTATATATATGTATACATCTACGAATGGGCATTTTTCCTTCCTTCTAAAAGAGCCCACACAGATAATTTTAACAGTATTTTTGAAAAATAGGCACTGGCGAATTGCCAAGAGGGAGACGACAGTTATAAACAAAATGTCAGGGGAGGCAAATTATGAAAAGCCGGACACCTCAAATTGGAAGTTAGCAGACTTTGAGATGGGCGACACGTTAGGGACGGGTTCTTTTGGTCGCGTGCGCATTGCTAAACTGAAGGGCACCAATGACTATTATGCGGTGAAGTGCTTGAAGAAGCGGGAGATTTTAAAGATGAAGCAGGTCCAACACATCAGCCAAGAAAAGCAAATTTTAATGGAGCTTTCACACCCGTTCATTGTGAACATGATGTGTTCCTTTCAGGATGATCGCCGGGTGTACTTTGTGTTGGAGTTTGTGGTGGGCGGGGAAATGTTTACTCACCTTCGCTCCGCCGGTCGGTTTCCAAACGATGTAGCAAAGTTCTACCACGCGGAGATTGTGCTTGCCTTCGAATACCTGCACTCGAAGGACATCATCTACCGTGACCTGAAGCCGGAGAACCTTCTGCTGGACAGCAAGGGCCACGTGAAGGTGACTGACTTTGGGTTTGCGAAGAAGGTGCCGGAACGTACCTTCACGCTGTGTGGGACACCGGAGTACCTTGCGCCCGAGGTGATTCAGAGCAAGGGTCATGGGAAGGCCGTGGACTGGTGGACGATGGGCGTTCTGCTGTACGAATTTATTGCTGGGTATCCTCCGTTTTACGACGACACGCCGTTCCGCACGTACGAGAAGATCCTCTCTGGGCGCTTCAAGTTTCCGAGTTGGTTTGATGCGCGTGCGCGGGATCTTGTGAAGGGGCTTCTGCAAACGGACCACACGAAGCGTTTGGGCACACTCAAGGGCGGCGTAGCGGATGTGAAGAATCACCCGTACTTTCACGGTGCCAACTGGGAGAAGTTGTATGCGCGATACTACCCTGCCCCGATCCCTGTGAAGGCAAAGAGCCCTGGCGACACGAGTAACTTTGAGCGTTACCCTGAAAGCCAGGAAGATCGAGCGGTGCCGCTAACCGCTACGCAACAGGCGGAGTTTATTGGGTTCTAAATGTTTTTAGTTTTATAAACTTTTTGTATGTACTTTTCTTTTTAATTCTGTGTATATATTCTTCTTCTTGTTTTATTTTGCTGTTGCTCTGTACCAGGTGAGCTTACTAAGCGGTCTGCTAAATGTAAATAAAAAAAAAAATAAGAGTGAGAAGAGGGCCAAAGTTTTTTTTGACCGTGTTTTATTATCATCTCAGGGCATGCGCATTCAAATGTGTGTTGCGTAATTTGCTTTTTCCAAAGGCATCCGCTAATGGTTGAAATGCTTTCATATTGTTTTTTCATTTTATTTCATTTCTTTTTTTTTTTTTTTTTTTTTTTTTTCTCCCTTTTGTGTGGCTGTGCGAATTATATGTTTTGTTTTCTTTTTTGTGTTTGTGTTTTTGTGGTTCTTGTGCTTTTTTTGGGGAGTGCGATTCCATTTGTGTGCGTACGGATTCTTCTTGTGCTGCCCCAATATGGAATTGCTTTTATTTGGTTCCGCCACCCCCTCCCCGGCAGAAGAATAGAAAGGAAGAAAAGTAAAAAATACGAATGCAGAAGAAAACAGAAGGATCAAAAAAAAAAAAAAAAAAAAAAAAAAAAAAAATTACGGGGAAAAATAACCGCTACGAATGCATGCAGAACTAAAAGGCACGGACATCAATTGGCGAGCATGTGGTCTGGAGGTTTTTGTTGTGTGTGTAAAGTTCCTGTTTTTTTTTTTTTTTTTTTTTTTTCCTTTTGTTTGATTTTGTTTTTAGTTAGTTTTTTTTCTTTTTCTTCTTTTTTTTTTTTGTTTTGTTCAGTGAATAGCGAATGAAATTGGATGAGATGTCTTGTAATGCTTTACATTCCGAGAGGTGCATTGGGTGCAACTCGAGGGAGTAGGAGTGAGCGGTGCACTCTGATGTAGATAACGGTGTGATGTCTTGAGGACTGTGGGGTGGAGGGAAGGTGGGGCATTTGTTCCGAGGTAAATGAAGAGTAAATAGACGAATTCCGAGGTTTGACCACGTGAGGTGAGCGTGCGATTGTATTCTATACCTGCTTTTTTTGTTTTCATTTCGGGGCGCGCAAGCACCATATTGGAGTATGTCTCTTTCTTTTTTTCCCTCTGTGCGTGTACCTCACACCCACTCTTACTCTCTATCTGTGCGTGTGTATTTTTTTGTCGAGCAGTGATTCTCAGGCCATGCGTGGGAGCGAGCGAGGGGACAATGAACAAAACTGCCCACAAAAGAAGGGGAAACAAAAAGAAGGACATAAAAAAGAAATGGAAGAATTTTCTGTTAGAAGCGTTCCATGAAAGCAGGAGAAGAAGGGAGGGAAGACCTGAGACCAGTGCACCACGCGCTTCACTGGGTTCTGTGGGGACGCATTTCTGCTGTCTTTTTTTTTTCCTTTTTTTTTTCTTTATTTTGATTTCAAGAATTGACAAGAAAAAAGTATCTGCTGGCGTGAAATAATAACAAAGAAAATAAAAAAGAGAATTGTGAGGAAACGGAAGATATAAAGTCGATGTATGCTTTTATGGGTTTCTTGTTTGTTTCATTGCAGTCTATGGGGTGATTCAGCTGGGTATGGGCGCCAGGAGTGGTGCGTTGCTTCTTCCTCTTCCTCTTCTTCTTTTGTCCTTTTGAGATGTGCTTGAGGTGCGTGGTGAGAAAAATGGTGTTGTGCCCCTTCTCAACTTTATTTTCATTATTATCATTATACTTTTTTGACTGTGTTTTATTTCCTTTTTTTTTCTTCTTGCAAGGCCATATAGTTGGTATCATTGAACGTGCAGTGGGGCGGGTCTTTATCTATTTTCACGCCTTTGTAGAGCTTCCCTGAGTGTTGTCGTCCAGATTATATTGTGCCGATTTTTTTTTTTCTGCCTGGGCTTTTGAGTCTCTGTCTTCTTGTTCCGCTCTTGTCGATTAATTACTCGCCGTGTGTGGCGTGTCTTCTATTTTGCGACTGGGATCAACGAGGAGGCTGTATGCCAAATGAATGGACCACCGAGGCGTCACTCACGGTGTCCCGATGACACAGACAATTTGTTCCTACGGAGACGTGTGTGCGTGGAAACTCCTTCTTTCATGGATGGTGTGAACTCTGTGGAGCGACGGGGCGGACTTTCAGAAGCGGAGTGGAGGCAGTTGTACGAACGCGTGATGCCAAATGCATGCACTATGAGTGATTTTCAACGTTTGGTTCTTGAGGGAAAGTCACATGACCATTTCTTTGCAAAGGACCTGCATAAATTAGTGATGGAGGTTCGAGTGATCCTTGCAACCCACGGTAAGCTGAGGATGGCGGCTAACTTGGCCGTGAAGGGGCGTAAAACAGTGCTCGCCCATGGGGTCGCGACTGCATTGAAATTGTTAGAGTCTGAGCGGAGCCACCTTTTTTCTGAGGATATTTGTGGAAAAGAGGTGAATGGGTGTGGCGGGTCATCGTGTAACATCTCCTCTAGGGCACCCGAACGAACAGCTGTGGAGCCGGTGAACTCAGCAACAGTTTTACATCCTTCGACAAGCAGCACTGACCTTTTGCGGACGCATCAGCCGTCTAGGTGCAACACCAGGACTTTGGACCAGCCCCCACTTCGGGCGGGAGTGGGCGAGGTTTGTGCAGAACCATCTGTCTCGGAGCATGGGACAGATGAAGAGGTTGTATTGATGAACAATTCAAGTTCTCCTTTTACTCGAGTGCTGAGCGTAGTGAAGCGGTTTCAATTACGTTTCGGTAGCATTCCATTGAGGTTTGAGGTTCCCATAGAGTTTTTGGACGCCGTTGTATCTCGACGTCTTCGGGTACAGCTGACTCCGTTTCGTCACCCGGCGGTTCCTGCGCGATGGCCGACGGCAAAAGACATTGTCGTTTATGTGAATGATCAGTGCGTTATGACACCGTGGAAACGTTCATGGCCTGAACGTCGCATGGAGGTGGCGAAGACATTTCTTGTGTTAGACATCACTCAGTTTCTCAATCGAGGTAGTGCCTTCCAAAGGCTACAGATCAACGTTTTTTCAAGGGAATATTTTAGCCAAGTCGCATTGATGGTTGTCCAGCCAGTGACCCCTGAAGAGGTAATGAATGCCTTAGTAAGACCTTTGTGTAGTCCACAGGAGGAGACACGTGATGCGGCAATTTTTGATCTTTACAGAAAAGTAGTGGAGGACGAGGATGAGGATGCAATTTTGGGCGAGGTCGAGGTGGACGATCCTGTGATTACGAGTAAATGCCCTATTTTGCAAACGCGCATTAATATTCCTGTTCGTGGCTCACGCTGCCAACACCTCCAATGCTTCGATTGTCTCTCATTTTTGCTTAGTTGCAACAAGGGCTGTTATTGGAATTGCCCCTTGTGTGACGCGGAGCTTCGTCCATGCGATGTGGTGGTGGACACCATTCTCTGGCGGTATCTCCAAGAGATGGGTGATGGATGCCCGCTTCACTTGAGGCTAAAGAGCAAGCGCAGCATGGAGAATGAAAGGATACAAAAGGGAGACGATGCGGTGGAAGGCGTGATGGCGGCACCTTTTCGTTGGGTGCCGCATCGAATGGCGAGTGATGGGCATGGTGTCATTTTGGACGATCATGAGAATGATGACTGTGACAGCAGCGACGGGGGTGCGATGGTTCCCAAACGCCAAGTCTCTGGCTGCTTTCGCACAGGAGTCAACGGTGGCCGTGCCTTTGAGAAGGGGGGCGAGATGTATGGAGGAAAAGGGCTGGAAGAGACGAATGCAGACCTTGACAAACATTTGGGAACTGCCGAGTTTCCGATCGAGCTGTGAGAAGTAACATCGGCACTTATCATGCAGGAGGCTTAGCAGCAAAATGACAACGACAGCAACGTGAAGGGAGGAGAAGGGGGGAAAAAAGAATGAATAATAAAATAATGAAAAAAACGGAGAAAATAAATGACTAGGCGATGATATTTAACCACTTTTTCTGAGTGTTGTCGTTGTGTATTCTCCCTCTTTCTTATTTTTTTTTTTTTTTTTTTTTTGTTGCTGCGTTGTTTCTGTTTTGCTGTTGCTTCCCACCGCTCGGGGACGAACTTTCGTAAAAACGTCAATCCTTTTTTCCTTTCTTTTTTTGTTTTTCTTTCTTTAATATTGCTTCTTTCTGCCGCGTGTTTCTTCTGCCGGAATTCATTGTGGGCGTCAATTTCAATCGCAATCTGCACGGCAGCGACGGTGGAGCGGAAGGTAACGTGGAGGTTTTTGGCCAGGGGCTCGTCCTTTTTTTCCCGTTTCTCTCTGTCTTTCTGTCTCTGCCCTTTTAGCTCTCGAATAGATTATCTCTGAAGGAAGTGTAAGGGGGGTTAAGGTTGTGATTTTGTCTTTGGCGAATATCACAGAAAGGATCTTGACGACAAATTCCACACAGCGACATAGATTATCAGCGGCTTAACATTGAGCGCGTACGGGGTTTTTGGTAAATTTTTTTTTCCTTCGTTTTGCATCTTGTTTTTGACGGATATCCCCCACCAGCCACCACCGTTGGGAGCTTGGTTTTTATTGGCAGTAATCGACAACCCGCTCGGGCACGACGGACTGAACAGAAATGGGCGTCAACATTCGGTACACGCGTGCAGAGTTGCTGGCGCTGGCGCAGAAGCAGCATGAGTACAACCTCACTGCTGGAGCCTTGCAGAAGTTTAAGGTGATTGAGGCAGAGTCCATTGCCCCGGAGACGTCTCCGCCAGAGTCGCATCGCAACGACGCCGGTGGGCGAAAGGGAGAGGGAAAGAATGGAGCGGGCAGCCGCCGCGCCCCGAATACCGAGCGTTTTGCCCCTCCGGCACGCATTTCCCGGGGCAACAAGGACCAGGAGGCCTTTGAAGAGGGCTATAAATATGAACTTGAGCGTAATGCCATGAAGAAACAGGCACTACAGGAGACGATGGCAAAGGAAAAGGAAAGGAGTGATGCCGTGGCTAGTTCCAAAGGGGAGACGAAGCAAGAGGTCGTGGCACCTGTGGAGAAGGAAGAACCGAAGCTCAACGAGGATGATGAGGTGGAGCGTTGGATGACGAGCATTGCAATGAGCGAAGAAGTAACAAAAAAGGTCACCAAGTCTCGTTTCTTCTCTGGGAATGATTCCGACAATAAGGGTGCGGTAGCCTCTCCTTTGAGCGGAGGGCAAGCATTTAAAGAGACATCTGCATTTTCAATGACAACAACGAGCAAGGATCCGTGGGCCCTGCAGGGGGTAATACCCACAACAACTGGAAATGCGGTTTGGGGCAACTTGGAGACACAACGGAACTCGGGTATTGCGCTGGCGCCCGTTACTAACAGTGCGGCCGCTCCCAGCGTGGTTGTAGGCCAGGTACAGTTGCCCGGGCATTCTGGCGTCTCGGCCCCCTCGTCAGCTCAAATGGCTGCCTCAGGCGCACTACCAACGTCGGCAGCTCCAGCTCCAGCTCCTGCCCCGGCGGCGGCGGCAGCGCTGTTGGCAGCAGGGCCTTCTTCCGGTTCGCAGAAAACAACAATGACAACAGCGGCAGCACCCCTACCGAATAATCCATCAGCCAACCCTTCGACTCAGGTGTGGAACGCACAAGATTTAGAACAGATGCTTTTGAGTGGTCAGAAATTAAATAAACAACAAAAACCAGAGGCAGCTAGGCCCAAGATCATCGATGCTGCAGCTCTCGAATCTCAGCTGCTTTTACAGGTGCAAAAGAACATGGCACGCTCTCAGCCGCAGACACAAGCAAATGTACAGCAACAGCAACAGCAACAACCACAGCAGCCCCCGCCAGCATCCCAGATCGCATCAATGACTGGGACTCCACCGACAATTCCACCATCTGGCCAGCGCCGGGCACCGCAACTTTTTTTACCGCAGTCCCCACCGCAATTGTCATCACAGCAGCCTGTTCCGATCCACTGGGGAGCAACCATGCAAAAAGCGCCTCCGCAGCAAATGCACCAGAAACTTATGCAGCCACAGCCACAACCGCAACCGCAACCGCAGCACCGACATCCCAGCATGCCGCAGCCGGTACCCTTCATCATAAGCGGTGCTCAAGGTTCCCCCTACTTTCCTCAACAAGCTGTGCATGGTCACTATGTGACTGGCTTTATGCCTGGACAGGGACAGCAACCGATGATGGTCTATCGTACTCCGGATGGAACAACGCAGTATGCGGTGGGATCTACGGGATATCCGCCCAGCGCACAGCTACTTTTTTCACAGCCGCAGCAGCAGCAACAACAACAGCCACAACAACAGCAGCAACAACAACAACCGCAACGTCGGTAGGAGGGCCAATTTGAACAGCAACAGCAACTAAAAAAAAAAAAAAAAAAAAAAAAAAAAATAAATAAATAAATAAAAAGTAAAGACTGGAAAGGTAAAAGAGATGGGGCAAGAATGTGAAGTGACGTGGCGGTACACGTATTTGAAGGTATAATTGAGCACTGTTATTGTCTAAATTTTACCTCCACCTTGTTTAGGGGGGCATTTTAACTGGTGTTACCCAACCCAATTTGAATTTGTACCCAGATGGAGGGACACAGCTTGAATGAAAGAGTACGCTGAAGGAAGAAGAAAAAAGGGAACGAAAAGCAACCAAACAAGGAAATGAAGCCAGAAAGGAAAGGAAGAAAGAAGCGAGAAAGTAAAAAATAAGGAGCTCTTTGCTTACCCCTCTTAGGTCCCACCAGCTGCGTGGGTGTATCTGCATGGTGGAGACTGTGGCTATCCCTTTTTTTTTTTTTTTGTGTGTGTGTGTGTGTCTTTATTGTTTCTGTGGTTTTATCTGTTTTGTGATTTACTGTGCTCATTCGCCCTTTGTCACCTTGACCGTCCGCAGAGGTGATAACGGTAACAAAAAAAAAAAAAAAAAAAGAGGAACTGAAAAGAGGACCTTGTCTGCAGACAGACGCCGGATTAGAATTCTGATTTATGAATGTGTCCTAGGATTTTTTTTTTGAATGTTTTGGTCTGACGAAAAGGAATGTATGCAGCTGAAAATAAGTATGACAGATCGTTTTTTTTTTCTTTTCTTTCTGGCGTGGTTTGTGTGTGTATTTATTTTTCTTAGGATGCACGTGTGGCGTGAGGATGGGGCAGTGGGCGCATGGAAAGAAAAAAAATTGCTTTCAAGGGGGGATTTGGTTCTATTAGCTTATGCCAACAGCGATGATGGTGTTGATGAATGATGATGTGAGCGCTGGTACTTCCGTAATGAAAATTATCTCGTGGCCTCGTTGTTCTCATGGTCGTCCTCTCATCTGGTTAGTATTTTGCGAATCACCTCGGCAATTGAGCCACCCTTCCACCCCCTCCCTCCACACACGCAAGATTTTTTTTTTTTTTTGATTTTTTTAGAATATGCGATGACTCATCGGTCTTACTTTTTTTTTTTTTTTTTCTTTTTTGGTTTGCCTCCTTTCCACTCTCAGAAGCTTCTTTTCTTCCATTATTTTCTTTTGTTTTTTTTGTTTCCAGTTGTTTGTGTGGTCGTTTTTTTTTTTATTTTTATTTTTAGGACAAGTCGTTAAGGTACACTTTGCTTCTCTCTCCCTTTTTTCATCTTCTTTTTTTTTTTTTTTTTTTTTTTCTTTTATTAAATTCTTCTCTTCCGTTGTTTGTGTTTGTGGTTTCCTTCTGTCTTTTTGCTTGTCGTTGATCCCTGCAAGGCGTGGGCCTGCAAAGTTTTTCAGTGGCTGGAATTATAGGCACACGCCTCTTTGCATGCATCTTCAAGGGCCCAGACCGGTGTGAAGACAAAGAGAATGTGTGAAGAAGAAGAAAAAAAAGAAAAAAAAAAAACTGTTTCGGGGCATTCTGTAGGGGGGAAAAAATGCCATTTTGTTGTTGCAACACTGTGAATTCATGCTTGGGCTGTGTTGTTCATTTATTAGACATTGCGTTATCTAGGCGTTTGGTTTGGGAAGGCGGTGTTTGAAACTCGGTGTGCGGAAGCCCTTTGGCCTCATTACCTTTTTCTGGAGTGTTTATTTATGTATTTATTCTTGCGTTGGTTCTCGGGATCTTCTTTTCTGCTGTTGTTGTTGTTTTTGTGTGCATGTGTCTATGTTTATGCACTTGCGGGTCTTCTTTTTGCATGGCAGGGAAGGAGAGAAGGAAGTGAGGAGAGGGTCAGCCACGACAGTTGCTGCACACAAAAGTTAGAGGAAAAAAAAAAAAAAGAAAGGGAGAAGATGGACCTGTTTAGTGCTGCTGTCGCGGGGATGTTGGCTCGTTTGGTTTGTCATCCTCTTGACACGACAAAAACAGTAGCTTTTACCGGATTTTGTGGCGAGGGTAGCACAACAGGTGCACATCTGGGCAACGCGACAAAGCATGCGTTTTTGAGTTCCACTCGGTCCATTTATCGGCAGGAAGGGATAGCAGGGTTTTACCGAGGGGTTGGCGTGGCCATTCTGGGCTCTGCACCAGGTGTCGCTCTCTATCTCACGACATACACGTGGGCGAATGAATTCTTTATGAAATACCAAAAAGCTGCTTTTGGTGCTGTTCCGTCTTGGTCCGTTCACTTGTTTTGTGGGTTTCTTGCAGAGGCTGTGAGCTGTGTCTTCTGGGTTCCTATTGACGTGACAAAGGAGCGTCTTCAGTCACAGCCCCCATCGCAACCTGGAAGGTACTCCGGAAGCTGGGATGCCCTCTGCACCATCGCCCGCTACGAAGGACTTTCGGGGCTGTACAAGGCTTATGGAACAACCTTGGCATCATTTGGTCCTTATTCGGCAGCGTATTTTGCATTTTATGAGTTTTTCCATGCTGTTTTTTTGGAGCATTTCTCAATTGATTCGTTTGCTTCTGCACTTTGCGCCGGCGGAATGGGAAATATCGCCGCTTCACTTGTGACAAATCCATTAGAGTTTATCAAAACCCGTCTGCAGGTTCAGCGAGCGGTGCTCTCAGTGGGCGGAAGACCCACAAGCGTCAGGGGATTCTCTTATTATTATGCAGGTCTTGTGGATGGATTGCGGACAGTCATTAGGGAGGAAGGATCTCGAGCACTTTGGCGTGGTGTCGGAAGCAGGGTTGCGTTTGCGGCACCCAATGCGGCTTTGACGATGGCCATTTATGACTATTTACGCTCATCATGAGAGAGTGAAGTTCTACGGTGTACTCTACAAGGAAAACCTTAATGACGCAATATGTAACGCGCGCCATTTACCTCTCTCTTGACTAAGTGGTTTGGCGAGTAAATGCGCCATTTATTTCCTCTCATTTATTATCGCCGGTACCACTTTTTTGGGAGCGTGTGGGAAGGATGTGTGGCCATGTGAGGAAGAACGAGCAAGAGGGTTTCTTGTCCACCTGACATGCCTCTTTACCTGCAATGTGGTGCTGGTCTCCAAAGATACCAATTTGTAAGGCAGCAAGTGCAGCTTCTACTTTATCCCCATTTCTGTTGTCCCACGCATTTCTTCCTTTTACCCTCCACGTGGAGGGGGAAAACAGGGGCTGCGGAAATCGTGAAAACTGCCAGTTCGTGGGTTCACAACGAGCCCGGTTATCACGACAAATATATTTGGAATCGGTTTACTACTGTGTGAGTGTGGGTGCGGGTTAACTCGTTTTTGAAGCGGGGGATGCTGGGCGCATTGAACCAAACTGTCGTTTCTCTCTTGTTGCTGTCCTTTCACTTTATGGGAACGAAGGACAAGGCCTCAGCCGGGAGCATGTTGTTTTTTTTTGCATGAATCTATTTTTTTTTATTTTATTTTTGCTATTTGCTTTTCGCGAATTCAAGCTTTTTTTTTTTTTTTGCACCGAAAGAAGGCGCATAGAGGCCACGGGCTGTAATGCGTGAATTTTAAATAATGAAGCGAAAAACGCAGGGTGCATAAGTGTATTCGTGAGATACGCGCCGAAACGGATTTTTTTAGTTGGAACAGGAATTGGGGCGGTCTCTCCGGGGCGTTTTTCCATGAATTGCGAGATGCATTTGATTCCCAAAGAAGGAAAAAAAAAAAAAAAAAAAGAAAGAGGCACTTGGTACAAACATTTAGGGTTTATGGTGTGAGGAGAGTAGGAAAAAGTGACTTTTTAAAAATTTATTCTTCGTGTTTTGACTGGTTGCTGTGTATTCTATTTACTTGTCGTGTCTCTTCCCTTATCTTAGAGTTGGAGAGTGTAGCGAGGAGTTCTAACATAATAAAGAAAATCCAAATGACGTTGAAGAATGCACCTGAATTTGTAAAGCCGGACGCCTCAAATTGGAAGTTAACAGACCTTGAGATGGGGAGTACGTTAGGGGCGGGTTCTTTTGGTCGCGTGCGCATTGCTAAACTGAAGGGCACCAATGACTATTATGCGGTGAAGTGCTTGAAGAAGCGGGAGATTTTAAAGATGAAACAGGTCCAACACATCAGGCAAGAAAAGCAAATTTTAATGGAGCTTTCACACCCGTTCATTGTGAACATGATGTGTTCCTTTCAGGATGATCGCCGGGTGTACTTTGTGTTGGAGTTTGTGGTGGGCGGGGAAATGTTTACTCACCTTCGCTCCGCCGGTCGGTTTCCAAACGATGTAGCAAAGTTCTACCACGCGGAGATTGTGCTTGCCTTCGAATACCTGCACTCGAAGGACATCATCTACCGTGACCTGAAGCCGGAGAACCTTCTGCTGGACAGCAAGGGCCACGTGAAGGTGACTGACTTTGGGTTTGCGAAGAAGGTGCCGGAACGTACCTTCACGCTGTGTGGGACACCGGAGTACCTTGCGCCCGAGGTGATTCAGAGCAAGGGTCATGGGAAGGCCGTGGACTGGTGGACGATGGGCGTTCTGCTGTACGAATTCATTGCTGGGTATCCTCCGTTTTACGACGACACGCCGTTCCGCACGTACGAGAAGATCCTCTCTGGGCGCTTCAAGTTTCCGAGTTGGTTTGATGCGCGTGCGCGGGATCTTGTGAAGGGGCTTCTGCAAACGGACCACACGAAGCGTTTGGGCACACTCAAGGGCGGCGTAGCGGATGTGAAGAATCACCCGTACTTTCACGGTGCCAACTGGGAGAAGTTGTATGCGCGATACTACCCTGCCCCGATCCCTGTGAAGGCAAAGAGCCCTGGCGACACGAGTAACTTTGAGCGTTACCCTGAAAGTCGTGAAGATCGAGTGGTGCCGCTAACCGCTACGCAACAGGCGGAGTTTATTGGGTTCTAAATGTTTTTACTTTTATAAGCCTTATGAATGTATATATAGTTATGTATCTTGGTTTGAGGTGGGTGGCGCGTGGCTGGGGAATTGTTCATAATATTTTTATTTATTTATTATTATTTTTTATTTATTTATTTATTTTTTTAGGTGGTGCTCTCTTTCTCTCTTTCTTTCTTTTTTTTTGTTTATTTTTTTGATTTTTCTGATAGATTACCATCTTGATGGTGCAATTGCGCTTGTGCGAAGGGGAAAAACTGCTGTGCATTTTTATTTGACTTTGCCTGCATTTTTAGGCTTTTTTTTCCCCTTTTTTTGGTGGCTGGAGTCCGTTTTCTTCTTTCTGGACAGGCGTGAAACAAACAAACAAAAAAAAAAAGAAAACGAAAAACAACAAAAGTCGCTCGACCGTGATGTGCGGATGCATTTAATGGATAATGCCAGAATGTTGTTTTTGTTGTTGTTGTTGAAACGCCATACGTTGTGGCCGGTGATATGTTATGTGTACAATGTAGCCTGTACCCGCGGATCGGAACTTGTGGTTCTGACTTTTTGTTTGAGTGTTTTTGTGTTGTTGGTGGTTTTGTTGTGGTGGGCTGAGAGGTGCGGATGTTTTCTAACGCATAATTTGCCTCACCTTTTTTTGGTTTTCTCCACGACATGTGTATTTTTTCGTTTTTCCCCCTCTGACCCCTCGCTTATTTATTTATTTATTTTTTTGACTTTTCCTGCGTGCGTGCGTGCATGTTTGTGTTTGTGTGTGTGTGTTTCTGGTGCTTGAGCATGTTTTTTTTTTTTGCGGCGACTGGAAGGGAGGGAGATGTCATGAGCTGGTTGGGGCGTTTTGTCTTTTTTGTCCTTCTTCTCTTAATTTCTGTGGGTGTTTTTGTTTTTTGTCTCCGCTGGTTTCGCCGGTGTTTTTTTGTTGACTGGTTTCGGCTGCGTGCAGCGGCCCTCTTGGCGTGTTTGTGTGTGTCTGACGGTGAGTTGAAGAGGAGGGACCGCGCATGAGGGAAACGGCCTTCCTGCATAGCAGGGAATATTTGAAAACGCAGATGACAAAAAAGGCTTAGAAGAGAAATGAGTGGAAGCCAGCGGAGGGGAGAAATTGTCAAGAGTGACAACCGGCGGAATTTTGAAGGAAATATAAAAAGTGGTGGGGAGGAGGAGGGAGGAAAAATAGGGGAAAAAATGGTGCTTTGAGACGATGATGGCAGTGGCACGAGAAGAGGAGTATATCTGAGTGTGAAAAAGACGATGTGGGAAACGCACATAAACCAGAAGCCGCATATATATATATATATATATATCTATGCAAGGAGATTTTAAAAGAAGGACTGAGAAAAACAAATGTAAAATATATATTTTTTCCCCATTTCTTTTTTTCTTTTCTTTTTTTTTTCTTTTTGGATTTTGAACTATTCCCTTTCCACGTGTGGGTATGTGCATTCGTGTGAAATCGATCTTTTGTGGTTTGTTTTTGACGAATTATTTATTTATTTATTTATTTTTTTTTGGATTGTTCAAATATTGGATGAATCGGTTAGAACGGTTTGTGATGGTACTGTCTTTTTCGTCATTTATAACTTTGTGGGTGTGCCACGATATGTGGCCTTGTGTTCGTGACTGGGTTTGCTGTTCCCTCTCTCTCTCTTTTCTCTTTTTTTTTTTTTTTTTGTGTGTGTGTGTTTTGTGTTTTTCTTGCAATTGCCTTACGGCTGCTTGTGTTTTGTTTCTTCTTTGGCCTTTTTTTTTTTTTTTTCTTTTTGTGGTGGTGGTTGCGTGTGCGCCTTCACGTGAAGGAAGGAAGAGTTTTAGGGGAAGTAAGCGGGGAGACGTTCCTCCTCAACAAGAAGACCACCACCATTGCACAGTTCTACACATTCAGTGAGGCATTAATCTGCATTTATTTTAGTTTTTAGAAAGAGGCAAAAAAAAAAAAAAAAAGAAAAAAAAAGGGACGGGGAGGGGGGAGGGGAAATAAAAAAAAAGCAACAACAACAAAAGTCTGTGTGTGAGCATGTCATCGAAGCGTCAGTTGTTGAAGATCATTATTCTTGGCGACAGTGGGGTCGGTAAGACGTCGCTTATGCATCAGTATGTGAATAAAAAATTTGACAGCCGTTACAAGGCCACCATTGGTGCCGACTTTCTTACGAAGGACTTGGAGTTGAACGGGCAATTGGTGACGCTGCAGATTTGGGACACTGCCGGCCAGGAACGGTTCCAGTCGCTCGGCTCCGCATTTTATCGCGGCGCGGATGCCTGCATCCTCGTCTTTGATGTCACACAACAGGAGTCCTTCTCCCACATAAGCTCCTGGTTGGAGGAGTTCAACATTCAGGCGGGTAAGAGGGACAGCGTGCTGATTGGCAACAAGACAGACCTTGCGGATCGTCGGCAGGTGGCAAGCAAGACGGCACAGGCGTGGTGTGCGGCGCAGAGTGGAGAAACTGCTGCTGCTTCCGGCGGTAGTAGCATCACCGCCAGTGGTTCGGGGGGATGTTGCATGCGGTACTTTGAGACGTCCGCAAAGGAGAATACAGGGGTGGAGGAGGCATTTATAGCTATTGCCACTGCCGCCCTGGCACAACGAGCCACTGTGGATGAGGATGTAGTGCTGCCGCAGTCTGTCAACCTCAGCCAACCCGCACCACGGGAGAAAAAGCAGGACTGCCTTTGTTAAGCCGAAGTAAAAGAGGGAGAACTGCGGAAGAAGTATCACACACACAAAAATAAAAATGATATTCAAAGAAAAGTAAGACGAAGAAGAGAGAGAGAGAGAGAAGAAAACAAAACAAAAAAAAAAAAAAAAAAGGGGGAGAAGGAAATATTGACGTGAATGGAAAGCATATCGGGTTCTACAAGGACCGCACACACGCGTTCAGATGCATGGATACTTGCATATGTATTGATGTTTTGGCGCAGAAGATGATTTTTTTTTTTTTTTTGTGTGTGTGTGAAGGTGGGAGAAATATATATTTATACCTATATATATATATATATATATGTGTGTGTATTTGTTTGTGTGTTCTATGCCTTATTTTCAGAGGAACTCATTTGTCCATTTCTGGGTTTTTACCTCAACACCTTTTAAATATATATTTATTTATTTTGTGTGTGTGTGACGTTTGTTAGGAGTGCCCCTTTTGTTTTCGTTTTTGCTGTTTTTATGTTTGTTACTTTTTATTGCCAAGAAACAAACCAACAAGAATTAAGAAAAGGAAGAAAAAAAAAGAAAAAGAGAGAGAGAGAGAAGGAAGAAAATTATATTGAACGACTGTTTTATGTTGCAAATGCAATTTGGTAAGAATCAGCAAGAAGGACAATTAAAGTCTTTTATTTGAGGTCCCCTTTTTTGGGACCGCCATTATTATCTACTGCTTGATCTCCATGCCTGTACTCATTTACAGCTGTGCGTGTTTGTCTACCCGCGTCTGTATTTTCTTTTTGTGCGTGTTATTTTTATTTGTCTGTTTGTTTTTGGTTGTTGTTTGTTTTTGCACACCAAAAGCCCATTCATGATGAGGCTGATGGTAACATGCAAACACACACTTCTTTTTTTTTTTTCCCCCTTCTTTTAAATTATTTTTCTGTTTACTGCGTCTCTTGTGTGGGGCACAACAATACATGGGATGGTGCATAGTACCGACGTCTCTGCGTGGGTGTCTTTGTAGAAAGTGTCAAAGGGGAAAAAATAAGAGCTTTGGAAGAGAGTGCTTTGCATTCTAAATAATATTTCACAGTGACTCGGGTTATTTGGGTGAAGGAAGGAGTGAGAGGAGGACGAAAGGAGAATTAGCACGTACCAATAAGGACAAATATGAGCGTCGTGGAAACTCTTGTGGCATGTGGATTTTGGTTTTGTATCTTTGTAGTTCTTTTTTCCCTTCTACTCATTGTGGTTAGCTATCAGTTACGTGAGAAACAGAACCGCCTATTGTACCACCCTGGGATCCCAGCAGAGAGCACCCTCATCTGCGAGAATCCGATGGACAGAGGGTTCGCTAACGCGGAAAATGTACACATACGCACCGCGGACGGTGTCACATTGCGTGGATTTATTATGTGGCCATGGCCTGGACAACACGCAGCACAGCAGGGAGCCACAACCGGTGCTTTTAGGAGCCAAGGTTCCGGTATGAACGTCGGGATTCCCTTGTCGTCTAGCTCGACGACGCTTAGAGACTCACTGTTCCCATCGCCGCTTTACGCCGTCATATATTTTCACGGAAACTCGGGGAATGCTGGCCACCGCATACCAATTGCCGAGCTTCTCACCTCGAAAAATCCCTGCGCAGTTCTTATGGTGGATTACCGTGGATTTGGTCTTAGCGATGCTGTTCCGCCAACGGAGGAGGGACTCAAGTTGGATGCGCAGGCATGTTTGGAATACCTCTGGAACCATCCTCGAATACCACAGGGGCGAATCTTTGTCATGGGGACAAGTCTGGGTGGTGCTGTCGCCATTGATTTGGCGTCGCGGCGAATGAACATGAAACGTATCGCCGGGGTGATTATTGAAAACACCTTCACTTCTATCAGTGACATGGCGTCTGTCTTGGTGCGCACGATATTGAGACAGTTTTTAACGAGTTATACCGAAATTTTGTTCTCAGTGTTTGACTATTACATGAAACCCTTGTGCCTTCGCATCGGATGGAGAAACATCGACTTGGTGAAGCGGATCCGAGTGCCTCTGCTTTTTCTTTCGGGAAAAAGTGACGAACTGGTGCCGCCATCGCAAATGCAACGTTTGTACGCTGCCACATCAAAATCAAATGTCATGCGAAAATTTGTCGAGTTTGCTGAGGGAACGCACAATACACTGCCTTTGATGGGAGGGTACAGTGAAGTCATTGATTTATTTGTGCAGGAGGTGCTTCGTTTGGAGGCGGAGTTGGTTTAGCGTCACGTGTTTATTGCTTTTTTCTGTGCCTAGTCGGATCCTCATTTTTTTATGCGCTCAAAAAAAAAAAAAAAAAACAGCAAAAAACTGGAGTTGCGCTTTTTAAATTATTCTTTGTTTGTGTTTCTTTTATGCCTTGTTGTGGTGTTTCTGTTTCTTCACGTGTCTTTGGAAGAATTGTAAAGTTTCCACGATTCCGCCGTTGCTCTCTTTTTGTGTGTGCGTGTGTGCTTTTTTTTTATGGGAGCTGTGTGAAGAGAAGGATTGCGGGAGAGCTGGCTAACTTAATTAATGCATATATGCATCCGGGTAAAACGAATATGCACTTCTTTACGACACTTTTCTACCGTATGAACTTTTGGAATGCCACGACTTTTAGGGGGAGCGGGGAACCGATAGCGACCGGTTAATTATTTTTATTTTTACCGTCCCGCCCGCCCCCTTTTGATCCTTACCCTGCGGCGGGGTCGTGTGGCTGGAGGAGCCCAAAGTCTGCCACATCGTAAGTAATAAATAAATATATATGTATACCATCCGAATAGAGTGAACGGGTCACAATTGTGGCTAACGGATGATATAGGAATATATGTACCTACTTGCTGTTAAGCTTTGAGGGTATGGTGAATCCATTCTTGTTCCATGCACCCCTTTTTTTATTTCCATCTTGTCTGTTTTCTATTATTGATAAACTCGGGATTCTGCCAGCAGCCCAGAGGATTATTTTCTTTGTGTTTTGCGCTCGCACGGCGGAGCACTGCGGCCAGGATATGAGTGGTGTGAGCCAAAATGAATGGGGTAATATGAAGGAGGTGCAGCTGCGCCCGGCCACGCTCTCATACCTCTCCGAGTGTGCCGGGTTTCGGTACATGGCGCCGGTGCAGGCACAAACCGTCCCTCTCTTGCTGCGAAACTACGATGTTGTAGTGGAGGCGATCACAGGCAGCGGAAAGACGCTGGCGTACTTGTTGCCATGTCTTGAAATGTTGCAAAGGGATCGAGTGATTGAAGTCTGTAGGGAACATAAAAATGCCGTCGTCTCTATAGTTGTGCTGCCATCGCGCGAGTTGGCCCAGCAGGTTCATTTGCTTGCGAAGAAAATGCTCCATTTTGTTTCGCATGTGCATGCAGACGGAACGGCAGGACTTCCAAATTACTCGTGCCAGTGCTACATTGGGGGCCGCGATATCACGGTGGATGTGAACATGTTCAAGAAAGCGGGTGGCCATGTTTTGGTAGGCACACCGGGCCGACTCTACGAGTTGCTGGTGTCTTCGAAATACACGAGTCTCTTTAATTTTTCAGGGTTTGAGCTTCTTGTCCTTGACGAGGCAGACAAACTGCTTGAATTTGGATTTAGGGCGAAACTGGACGCCATACTGAAGCGGCTGCCGAAGCAGCGGCGCACTGGACTTTTTAGTGCAACGCAGACGAAGGAATTGGCAGAGTTGGCCCGTGCGGGGATGCGGAATCCGGTGTCTGTTACGGTGAGAGTAGGTTCTCTCAACTCCGCCAACATGGACGGGGATAAACCGCAGATTCCAGAGCTTTTATGCAATTACTACACGTTTACACGAGCGTCAGAAAAAATTGATCGCCTCATAGATTTTCTTCGGGAACGCCGGGAGCAAAAAATTATAATTTACGTGATGACATGTGCCAGCGTGGATTGGCTACACGCCGCTCTTGTTGATGTGCTGCTGAAGGAGGACGCGGAGCACATTTTTGCCCTGCATGGGCAAATGAAGCTTGAGAAAAGACAACGCGTGCACCGGGCTGTGACAAAGGGAAAACGTTGTGTTCTCGTCTGTACAGACGTGGCGGCGCGAGGGTTAGATATCCCTGAGGTTGGAGTTGTACTGCAGTACGACCCCCCTGTTGACCCGTCAACGTTCATTCATCGCATCGGTCGTACGGCTCGAATGGGACGCCAAGGGGAAAGCCTTGTCTTTTTGATGCCCCAGGAGTTGGAGTATGTCGCCTTTATGAAGCTGCAAAATGTGCTATTGCAGCCGTATGATGAGGAGAGGGATAGTATAGAGGCTGCACGGGAGTTTGTGAGTCGTATGAACGCCAAGCGGACTTTGATGAGCTCGCAGAAAGAGAGACGAAAGAGGATTCAACAAGTACATAAGGATCAGAAGTTGAATCGTAAGGAACGTCGTGAGAGGCTACGCAAGGAACGCGAGGAGGCGCGCAGTGGGGACTCTCGTATGGCACGGAAAGAAGTGGTGGGAGATTTGTGCGAGAGTCCATCGATTCTTGCGTTGCGACACGCAGTTTGGGATGATACGGATAACAAACTGCTTGGGCTGGCAACGCGTGCCTTTGTTTCCTTTATTCGTGCATACAAGGAACATGAGTGCCGTTACATATTTCAGCTGCAGCTGATTGACCTTACTGACCTGGCACACAGCTTTGCTCTCTTCCGGGTTCCTAACTGTGGCGAAATTAAACACATGCAAATTCTGAGGATTCCTTTACAGGATGAGTTGCAGGAGGTTTTAAAGGTTGTGGATGAGCGTACACGCGAGAGACAAGAGCGTCGAGCTCAGCTCAGCGGTGTGCGACGTCCACATTGTGAGAGAGAAGATGAGGACGATGTCCAGCTGGAAGAAGAGAGAGCAAGGGTGGAAGAAAGGGCCCTGAAGCGACAGCGCACGGAGCGCAATGAGAAACTGGAGGCACTGAAGTTGACTACAATGACCCGCGGAGAGCGGAGTCGTGCGTGGAAGCAGGCGGAAATTGACGAGCTGCTGAAGGACAGTTATTATGTGAAGAAGGAGCGGCAGGGCAAGCTTAGCAGCCGCACGGTGGACGTCATCATGGGCGTCGATGCGCTCGAGAATGCGCTGCTGAGTTCCCGTGAGCGGCAAGAGGCGAAGAAAGTGCGCCGCAGGACGAGGTGATGGGGGCCGTGAAGGAACGAAAATTGGAAAATTACCACCAAATAAATTTAACTTGCACACACACAAGTAAAGGGGAGAGGACGACACATGTATGTAGACGCGGAAGAACGAAAGGGAATTTTAAAACGAAACGAAGGGCACACCGGAAAAAACAACAACAACAAAACGTTCTTTTTTTATTCTTTGCCTTTCCTTTGTTGTGTGCATTCGTTTAAAGTGGAAGTGTGCGATGAAAGAATAGACCAGCAGCAGCTGCACTTTTTCTCATAAAAAGAAATGAAGACGGTGTGTTGTCTTTGGGCAAAAAAAAAAAAATATAAAATAAAAAAAAATGTGTACTTGTTATTTCTGTCGTTATTTTTGCCTTTTTTTTTGCCGCCTGGTGCTGTTTGTTTATTCCTCCGTCTTTTGTTGCTTTTCTTGTTTTAGTCCTGCCACCTCGAAGTGGCTACATACAGGCTCATATATATATCCACAAGGACGGCTTGTAACAGGAGAAGGAGCAACTGCATCATTGTTTTATTGAAGTTTTTGTGTGTGTGAGGGAAGTGTGGGGCACGCCACACCATTTTTTTTTTTTTTTTTTTCTGTTTTGGTTTTAATTTAACCAAACGAGAGAGGAGGAGCGACAACGACAACAACAACAACAAAAGAACAGGAGTAATTGGAGCGATTTTTTTTTGTTTTGTTTTCAAAAGGGGGTAAGGGATGTTTGTGGATTATTATGCTGTACTTTCGTTGCATCCATCCTGCTCCTCTAGGGACGTGCGGGATGCGTTTAAGCGTCTTGCCCTGCTTTACCATCCGGATCGTCCCGAGGAGGGCAGCACGGAGTGCTTTCGTGAAATTAAGGAAGCGTACGATGTTTTAAGCGACCCTACACGACGGTACCTGTACGATTTGGGGTATGCGGAGATCCAGTGGGTGCGGCAGCGCCAACAGGAAGAGGCCCAACTTCAACAGCAGCAGCAGCAGCGGCGGCGTGAGATGGAAAGAATGGATGAGTTGATGCGGAACCAGGTTCTCCAGCCACAACCCACACGAAACGGTGCATATGTCTCTCCGTTGTTGCCTTCCGAGAGCACAAGACGGGTGTCCTCGGGGAGTTCATCCCGTGTGCTGCTCACGCCAGCCTCAACCAGCCACCGCACACTGGCACCGACGTGTGGTCGACGCGAGGCCGTGGAGAAGTCGAGGGAGGCGGCGGCACAGGCGGTGCCCAGGCAGGGGTCGGGGTTTGTGGCTGTCAGGCGAGGGCGGTTAGCGGTAGTGGAGCGTAGCGACGCTGGGATTGGTGCTCAAAATACGGCTCACGGTCAATATCGTCAAACGGTCGATGAGTTCTCTTCATCCGACGTGCGGTCTTTGCCGGTCACGGGGAGCCAAAGTAGCCAAGGGAGCGGTGAGAACTCGTTGAGCGGCAAGCAGCCGTCTGAACAGGAGCAGCACCGGCAGCGTTGGGGAGGACACTCCGTCAAAGATAAGGGCAACGATGGGAAGTCGACCCTCGTTCCCAAAATAACGACGCTTCAATGGGGCGAAAGGAAGTTGATGCCGCGACGTTCCAACGCTGTTCCGTCGCCTGATTTCTTTAAAAGAAGTGTTGTCAAAACATGGCGAGTTTTTTTCCACGTGCCCGCAACGGGCCAAAGGGATAAATAGGAAGGGAAGTGCTATTGCTCTGGCAAAGCAAAAAAAAGGAAAAAAAAAAATAAAATAAAATAATAAAGCAACGAAAAGAAAAGAAATAAATTTAGGCGATTGTGTACTCCGCACATTTTATTATTTATAAGCAATGACTGAATGAACCAAAGTTTCCAGAAGAAAAAAAGAGCTAAACCCCCCCCCCCCCCCCAAAAAAAAAAAAGAAAAAAAAAAGGTCTTTTTTGTTGTTGTTGTTGTTGGATTTTTTTTGTCTTTTTTTTTTTGATGTAACATTCTGGAGAACACTGAATAATTTTCTTTTGTCGTCGTTTCTCTCTTTCTTTCTTTCTTTCTTTTTTTTTTTTTTTTTTGCGTCCTTTAAAAAACACCGTTCTCCGCTTACTTTTTTAACTTTTTTTCTTTTTTTCTTTCTTTTTTTTATGAGCGCATATTTTGTTTTTGTGTGTATTTGTGCTCGTTGTTGTTGTCGTCGTTAATTTTTTTTTCTTTTTTTTTTCTCTTCTGCAATAATTGTCTCGCTTTGGGTCGCCGCTTATGTGCTTCGGCTCAACGGCCAATGTAAATGAAGAAAGCATGCGCCACCTTTGGACTGACACTGTGCATACTCTTTTTGGTTGTCGCCTTAACGCAATTTTTGTGAGTCAATTTCTACTCTCTTTGTGGAAGTTCCTCCGTTTTTTTGCCCATGCGTGTGTCCTCCGTTTTCCCCAGCTTTTTCTTCTTCTTTCTTTTTTCTGCTTGGTTCTTTATTCTCCTGCTTGAACACCCGAAGTTGATTTTTCTTTTTTTGTTGAGCTCTTCGTATTCATTGTCTTCTTCCTTTTACGGATATCTTTTCTTTTTTTTTTTTTTTTTGTGTGTGGGTGCGTACAACACGCATTTGGATGGAAGGACTTTGCCATCGTGATGGCGGCGCAATGCGGTGAGGCACCAGCGCCGTGGGACGAATTGCGTTTTCTCAACGAATGCCTTGTGGATGCTCTCGCTGTTCATTTGCTCGTTTCGCGCTCATTTGTGAGAGGGACGGATGGCGAGGGGGGAGAGACGTGTTACTGCTCACTATTGGAGGAGGAGGTGCAGGTGTACCTGCGGCAACTGCTGCAGAAGTACACATCGAGTGCGGCGATGCGGAAGAAACTCAAGTCTGCGAGAAGCTTGTACCATCTGCAGTGTCTCACTGACGTGAAGGCGCGGGAAGAGTTTGTTCTCATTGCAGCACACCCATCGTTTGCCGAGACCATTTAATGCCGCCTTTTGCAGCGTGCGGGGAGTGGGGCCCTGCAGAAGATCCTCTTTTTTTCTGCGTCTCTACTCTTTTTTTCTCCTTTTTTTTCCAAACCAAAAAAAAAAAAAAAAAAAAAGGAAAAGAAATTTTTTTTTACGATTTTACTTTGTTTGCTTGTTTTTTGTTTCTTCTCTCTCTCTCTCTTTTTTTTTTTTTTTCTCAGGTGAGGTGTGGGTCCCATCGATGCTCGGGAGCGTGGAGACGATATCGTACGACGGCGAGTTTGTTCGGCTTGTGGAGCTTCGACTGCCGTTGCGTGGCTCTACGCAGGGCCAGCTGCTATCAATACGGACATGCGAACGCATTGGTCAGGGCTCCTTTGGCACAGTTTACCGCGCTGTGTGTGATGGATATCCCAAACTGGCGCTCAAGATCGCCACCGGCAAGGCTGCACGTCTACGTCAGGAGCTGGACGTGCTTGTCAAAGTATGCACAAAGGGGAAACTGCTACTGCCTCGGTTTGAATTTGGTGCTATTAACAAAACTGGCGATTTGATTGTTGTTGGTATGGAGCTTTGCGTGCCGTCTACGCTGCATGATTTGCTTCTCGTGACACGCCTCACCAATGAAGCCGATATGTTATTTCTTGCGTATCAGGTGTTGCAGGCTGTTGCCTGTGTTCACGAGCAACAATGCATTCATAGAGATGTTAAGCTTCAGAATTTTGTGTTCGATTTGGATGGCAACCTGAAACTTATAGACTTTGGATTGGCATCAAGCGCATGGAACCCACCACCGGGTGATGTGGTGGCGGGCACCGTCTCCTTCATGGCTCCGGAAATGGCACACAACGCACTGCACAGAGATCAGCGGGTTAGCGTTGGGGCCCCTGCTGATGTTTGGTCGGCGGGCATCGTGCTTTTCTCTATTTTCACGCAGCGCAATCCGTATCCACCATCCATTGCTTCTATTACATCGCCTCATTCTGATGAGGATGAGGACGGGGATGGGGACGGCGCGGCGGTGGCTAGAAAGCTCAACAGGGAGAATTTGCGGTTGCTCCGTCGTGTGGCCACGGCAAAGTGGCGGTGGCCGGTGGGTTCTAGTGTCTCCAACGAACTACGCCAACTTGTGGAGTTCATTCTCGTTACCGATCCCGTGAAGCGGCCGGATATCTCGACGATTCTCCGCAAGCCAATATGGAATTTGCGTCGTCGGGCCCCGCCGACCGCGGTCACGGCGTTTTTGGGTGTTCAAGACGAATTACTCTTGTCGCACGATGAGACTCATCTTTTGCGAGCTGTGGAACAACGCAGCGCGGACGTGACTGCCAGCCTGATGGGCAGCCGCGCGAACAGCCTGGATGGGGACGGGGACGAAGAGGCAGAACGACGCTCATCACTAAAATTTGTGGCGAGGGAACAAACAGCAGTGGGCGGTGTGCCGACGCATCAGGTGTACGATATCCGCCGCGAATCGAGGCAGAAGAGACCCCTTCGTGAAATATCGGTAGTCATCGCTGAAGAGACGGCAAAGGGGCTCCGGCGGCGCCAGCCAAAACGGGCAAGGGGTGATGTGTCTTCGGTTTCACGTGGCAATTCATGTGCAGGTTCTCGTATAAACTCACACGCGAACTCGCGCGCCACTTCTCCAGCGAGGCAGTGTAGTGTTCATGAGTGCGTCCAAAGTTTGGTTAAAGGAAAGAAAAATGGTAAGATGTCTCGAACCATTCCTCAGGCGTCCTCAGTGATTTTTGACGATGAGGAGGAAGAAGGAGTGCAGAGAGAAGTAGAACAGATGGTGACTAAAAAAGAAAAGCCTTTTGTAGCGACTCAGCGTATTCAAAAGAAACAGAGGAACGGAGGAGTTTGCTCCCACCAATGCCTGCGCTCTTCCCGCATTGGCGATGAGGCTGAAAACACCAAGGGCCTTTTGAGGGGAGGCATAAATGGGAGTGCCGTGGATATTTCTTCAGGTGCAGTTCTTGAGCTGCCCAAATGTCAGATGGGACTAACGAAGGCAGTTGACGGTGAGACCAGGACGAAAAAAGTTCCCATACATGTTCATTGCGACCGGAAGGAACAGGTATCGGTATGGATAGATGATATGCAGCTTGTCGCCATGGAGAAATCTCAGCGAGAACTTGCGGAGAAAAGGATTTTTTTGGAGCTAGAGTGTCTTTTTTCTGCCTTGCGCCTGACAACGGAAGAAAACCAAGCTTGGTTCGACATGGTGTGGTTGGCGGAAGAACAACGGAAGTCGGCTGCTCATCCTCATCGTTTTAAGGAGACAACTCGTGTAAGCAAAAAGTATCAATACGGCTTTGTATGTGACATGTGCGATTACGAGTTTCTGCCAGCTGGTAAAACCATCCACTTTTTCCACTGCACATGTGGCAGAGATTTATGTGTGGACTGTCATCGGGTGTACAGCAAGCAGTGCACATGTGCAGAATGCGGTGCCATCTATGAAAATAGTGTGGCGCTGCGTGGACATCATCGAAAGGGCGGTTGTAAAGCAGTAGTTAAAAACAGAAGGAGCTCTGTGGCTTATGAAGGGCAAGTAAGCGCCAACGGACCCCTTATGCGTAGGAAAACGGCGGCACAAACCCACGACATGCCGCGGGGGGCCACCGTGGCAACCGGTTCAAAAGCAACAACAAAAGCAGCAGCAGCAGCAAAATCATTTCCAAGGAGTGAGGCGGTGAGGATGGGAGCAGTGAACACTGTGAAGAAGGAGGCGGTCGCGAAGGAGAAGACCGCATCGTCGCTGTTCAGTAGACCCATCAACACGCCACCAGAGGGGCAGTGGAAGCCAATGGAGCGTTTGTCCGTCAGCCACAAACCCATTCATCCAACTCCGGAAGAGCGCGAGGTTTTGCTGAACGGAGACTGGATTCGGCATTTTCATTTATTTCCGACAGAGGAAGAAGCAGAGCCGGTTGCCTTTACGTATCACATTCAGCCTGGACGCACTGGCGCGATTTTTCTCAATCATAAATTTTCAATGCATTCGGCCGTCATTTCAGTGCTGGAGCGACAGATGCTCATTGTGGACTACGTGGACACTTTTGAAAACAGCGATGCGGCACGTGTTGTTTCACTGGGAAATGCAAAGTGCTTGGCAGAAAGCGCATACAACCTCCTTCAACGCGTTGTTGCATACGATTGTAACATGATGAAGCAACACCGAACTCCCGGCACAATCTCAATTTACCGGACGGCACAAACGGCAATTCGATGTCAAGGTGAACCGTTTGTGTATGTCCGTTGGTTTCGCTTTGACGCAGAGCGCTCCTTATGTGCGTTTTTGCTCTCCAATGGCGCAGTTCAGGTGCTTGTAGGAGATCAGTACGAACTCCGTTGGTTTGACGAAAATCGAAAGTTTCTCCTCCGTAGCAATGGTGTTTGTGAAATGGTGGATGATTCCACCTTCGCCCTTGCTCCTGATGTGAGCCGCCTATTGTATGATGATTTTTAAAGCAAACTCCAAGTTGTAGATTGATGCGTCTGGTTTATTTTTGTTGTAGTTGTTGTTGTTTGCTTCTTTCCTATGGGGGCCGCCGTGTCGTTACAAAGAGAATCGAAGACATATTTTAATGCCGCCACACAGATGCAGGGAATTCATGTATGTATCTTGCGTCGGTGTGTATATGGGATGCTGAGGAATTCATTTAATTAATTTACACATCCTTTACATAGATACATACAAGCGTGTATAAATATACATAGAGAGATTACAGATGCCACCGCCGATTGCCATTATCATTTTCCTTTTTTTTCTTTTTATTTGGTTTTATTATCATTATTTTTTTATTTCTCCTTTTTGTTGGTGTTCCTACTGCTTCTATGGGCATTTTTTTTTTCTTCTTTTATTTTCCATGTGCTTGTGTATGTGTGTGTGACGTCGAAGGAAGCCGAGGTGATAACGACTTCTAAGTAGCAGAAGAACGATCCACCGAAGGGAATAAAGCGAGAGCGCAAAGAAGACAACAACAACAACAACAACAACAACAAAATGTATGAGATGGAGACGTTTCGTGAGCGGACGCTGGCGAACCGTTATCAGCCGCGCCAACATCTTCCTCCCAATTTTCCCAGTGTTCTCAAGGAATACGCTCGTGAAGTACTTCGTGCCCAGCCTGACGATGTGTTGCAGTGGAGCGCCGATTACTTTAAGCGGTTGGCGCTGGAAACGGGCACGCTGCAGGCCGAACAGTCCACCTCCGCTCAATTTACCCCTCTTGTGGAAAATGAGGAGCGTGAGGCGCTGAATCAACGTTTGGTGAAGATCTTTTCTGAACTCGATAGCGACGGGTCTGGTGTCTTGCCCATACAGACAATAAAGAAGGCCCTTTTGGAGACATGTGGACTTAGCCCTTCGCAGGCGTTGTACGTCTTGACGGCGACAGCGCTGGGGGAGAGCGACCTCGTAGATTACAAGACATTCGCCAGCGAGTCAAGTGGTGCGCTGCTTTTCTTTCAGCAGACGTGTCACGAGTTTGAGGTGAGCGTCGTTGAGGAAGCCACCGTCCATGGGCTGTCGAGGCGTGACGTGGAGCAGGAGTTTCTGCGTATCTTCCGGTACGCTGACGAGGCAGAAACGGGTCTTCTTCCGATGGATCAGTATTACAAGGCTCTCGCCAACGCCCCGTACCACCTCACTCATCGCGACTTGCGACTACTTTTTATTGAAACGGCGCGAAACGCCGAGAATGAGGTCGATTACGAAGCGGAACTTGCGTACATGTTTGACCGACTTCTGCTGGCCGAGCAGTTTTTCCTTTTTGATGAGGACGCCTGACCGCGACACTGTAGTTTGGCACGCACGCAGTTCTAATGTAGAGTTCCCAAGGCAGAAGCAGGATAAGAAAAACAAAAGAGAAAAAACGATTGCGATGCTTTGCCTCTTTTCTTTTTAAGAGGTTTTTTTTTCTTGCACCTGTGCCTTTTATTCTTTTTCTTCTTCCTCCTCCTCTTTTGCGGGATTGACGGGTGTGTGCGGGTACACTTTTTTTATCTGCGCCATTTGTTTGTTTGTAATGGTGTGAGTGCTTTTTTTAAAACTTTTATTGCACTCCGTCCTTTATTTATTTGTGCTTGAGTGATCTTTTTCTTGCAACGCGCGGGTACGGTACCATCGCGCTTTGCTCTTCGCATTAGTAGTAGTGGTGGGGTGGAGTTTTTGTTAGCCGAGTGGGAGTAGCAGGAGCTCTCGTTGTTTGAGCAGGTTTGAATATGGAAGTCAACACACTCCTAGCGCTGGCACAGAATGCGGTGGATGTGGGAAACAGTAAGGCCGCTGAGGAGTTTTTTGAGGTTGCATTGACACGTAGTCCAAACAACATTGACGTCCTGGAGGCATACGCGGAGCTGTTGATCCACCATGCCCAGGATGTTCCTCGGGCGAAGCAAATGCTGCAGCACGCCATCGAATTGGACCCACAGCGTGGCTATGTAAATTACCTCAACCTTGCTCAATTGTCTGATGCGGACGAGTCTCTGGAGTGCTATCAACGTGCTCTGCAAATAGTTTATGGGGAACTGCGCTCATGCAGGAAAAAGAGAAAGCGGAATACTTTGAATGAAACTCTTTCCACGATTTACTGTGCCATTGCCGAGCTTTATTTAACCGACCTGTGCTATGCCCCTGATGCAGAACAACACTGTGAAGAATCTATCGTTCAGGCGTTAAAATGCAATGGACAGAGTGTGGAGGCTCATCAGCTGCAGGCTTCGCTGCGTCTTAGTCAAAACCGCCCCGAGGAGGCCCTGCAGTCTCTGCGCCACGCGGTGGATTTAACACACCGTCTCAGCGAGGCTCATCAGCCCACATATGACTCAAAGGTGGAGTTGAGTCGTCTTTTGATGCAGGTGTCTCCTGACGATGCATACCGCTTTCTTTTGGAGATACTGCAGCTCGGTGATAACAACCCGTACATTTGGTTTCTACTGGGCGAATCTGCAAGACTTCGTAAACGCTACGCTGATTCCGCACGACTTCTTCGCCGAGCACGCGTCATGCTTACGATGACTGAAAATGGCGCGGAGGCATTGAAAGAAGTGGATAAGGCAATCGGTGTGTTGGTGGAAGAGATGGGCGGCCCGGCGGCGGTGGAGCAGATTGCGGACTTGGATCACCCCAACCCCATTGAGCTGCTCATGCAGGAGGAGGGGGAGGAAGCGGAGGAGAGGGACGATGATAACGAAGACATGGATAAACAAGAATGGGAATCATGCGATGACGAGGATTGACGGGAGAATACTAACCGGAAGGGTGTATTTTAAGCGATTAACGGGAGAGCAGGAAGAAATTTACTTCTTTCCTTCCCAAAGAGAAATTCCAAACAATAACAAACAACAAATTCATGGAGCAAGGAGGCAAAGTGGAATGGCGCTCGTAGAAAAACAGCTTTTCTTTATTTTTGCATTTTTTATTTTTTATTGCTTGTATTTTACTTGACTATAAATGCCGTTTTTTTTTTGCTTTTTTTTTTTTTTACTTTGTGGTTTCTGTTTATATGATATGTATGTATGCATATCTAACCGATTAGCTTTTTTTTTTTTTTTTTTGATTTTTGGAAAGGCGTCTTTGCCTCGCTTGCTTCATCGGGCGGAGGCACGAGGGCTGACTACGTGTGGGGACGCTGCCTCGAGTCACGGCTATGAGTCTTGTGACGAATCCGAGGAACATCATTATTGAGAAAAGCGATCTCTTTGACGACTCTTCCGATGCGGGCAGCAGGAGCGAGGAGGAACGCATTCTTGAAGCCCTTCGTGAGATTCGGGGAGCGGAACTCAAATGTGAGAGGAACAACGTGGATTTGAGGGCGCGAGAGGTGTCGCAACGATTCAGTGAATTCGCACAAGAGAAAGAACAAGAAAGAGGAGGGAAGGATCAGTTGCGACGTAATAAACCACCGCGCTGTACGCCCGAAGCGGTGGAGCGCATAAATCATTCTACTGTGGCCTCCAGAGCGAGATCGCAAAGGAAGTACGTGGATCAGTTGAAAGAGATCCAAAGGCAGAAGAGTTCACCGTCGCCGAGGGCGATATCTCCCACAGCGACGAAAGCGGGGTTGCGCCTTTACGCGGCGGCGGTGGGATGTCAGAGGCGTCTTGAGAAAATGCGGGAAGAGCGGGAGAAATTGAAGAGAGAAAATGAGGAAAAAATAAAATTTCAACCACGGATATCGACTCTTGCCAAACGGCTTTGGAGCTCGGGGTACGTTCCACCTCACGAGCGCTTTAATCGCACGAAAGAAAAACTCGCCCAAAACATTCTTCTTCGAGAGCGAGAAAGAATGGATCGCGTCATGGCGGGGTGCACATTTCATCCTACGCTAGCAGAAAACTCGGCAAAAATGGCAGTGTTGCAGCGAAAGAATGAACCCTTTAGCGATGTGGGGGAGCGTTTGTTTTTTGAAGGGGGGCGCCGCCTGATAAGGCAGCAGCTTCGACAACGAATTTTGGAGCAAAAGGCGGAGAATGGTCTGATTGGTGACTTTCAGATTTCAAACGAGGCTGCAGAAGAGTTGGCCTTGCGGTTGTGGAAGTGGCAAGAGACCTCCAACCGTAACCGGGAGCATATGCAACGCGAGTATGTTCAACGTGTAACGCAACCCTTTTCGCCAAGGTTGCGCTTCACGCAGCAGTCAAAGCAAGGCCGACGCAGCAGCGGCAGCAGCAGCCGCACTCATCAGCCATTATTTGCATCCTCTTTCCCGTCTGAGAACAACGTCGTGGGGCGAATTCCAGGGGATGAAATTCGTAAAATCCGTTGCCGTGCACTCTTCCGTAAATACGCCTCCTCTGAGAATTCCGCCTCCGTTCAGTTACAGGAAGTGAAGAGACAGGTACGCGAATTATTCCCAGAGGATTCTGGTATTGTTGCGGCATTGGCTTCTAATTTTAGCGGCACAGAGGAGATCAGTATGCCAGCTTTCGTGGAGAGTCTTATGCGGTTCGAGCTTTTGCATGGGCCACAGCGATGGGGAAATCCGAGGTGGGACTACGTCACTTCGGTCTCTGATGAGCCGCCAGTTTTATTTTCGCAGCCTCCTTCTTTAGCTCTGTGCCAGGAAGAGGCAACAGACATGCCTTTTCGGAAATTGAGACGATCAAAATCAAATTGTGCACCCCCTTTGGAGAGGAAAAACGGGACAGTGAAAAGGGATCTTATCCCACGTTGCCATTCAGCCTACCGGCGGTCATCATCTGCGAGTGCATGCGGGCATTCGTCAGGAGGAGTCCGCGACAGTTTTAGGGGATACGAGCGGTGTCACCAGCGGGGCGAAAGATCTGTGACACGATCGACGACGGTACAGAAGGTTGGGGAACGAACGGCCGAATTGGGTGCTGCTGAGAAGGGGAGCCGATTGCTGGGGCGACGTGAAGCCGTACCACGCCAAAAGCCGGAAAAATCTCCTGCAAGAGACCGGATTGCCCCGCGCGAGGTGCCCAAAGCACGTCATTCACAGGAACGATCCTCGAGTCCGGAAAGTGTGGAGGTGTCGAGTATCACCGAGGAATCTGACAGCACACCGGATATGAAACAGCCGGGGGAGGTTGTGGCGGAGTTGGAAGCATTGATTGCCAAACCTTTTGAGAGTTCTCCTGCGGCTTCGCCGATGGCATCAGGGATCCAACGTGCCTGTGCTCCCCGTGTGGGTGTTGTTTCTTCTCTACCCTCCCCGCTGAGAAGAAGCATGCATAAAGTTTCTTTTCCTTGTACTACACGTGATGAGTGCCACTCAACGGTGAATGAGGGTCGCGCAGCCCATCAAAAGCTTCTCAAAGAAGTGGAAGAAGTACTTGGTGTGGGAACTGTTTCTGTGGCAATAGATTAATTTCTGTTTACTGATTGTTGATTGAATTAGATTATATTTATTTGATTGCGCGATGCCAGAGTGTATTTTTTTTTTTTTTTCAAAGTTTCTGTTTGACTTCTTTTTAACGCATAAGAAGAGTGGTTTGTGGCGCTTGCCATTCGCTCGAGCGATGTAATATCTACCATATCTACGATCACTTTGATTTTTTGGTTTCCTTGCCTTTTTACTTATTCTTTGATTTGTGTGTGCGCGTTTTTTTTTTGACTTAAATTTTATTTACGTTAGAGGTAGAGATATTTATTCCATAAATAGTTTTTTGATGGGCGACCCTTTCGTGCGCCCGGGGCTGACGTATCAGCCACACATTGAGCAGGTGTTGCTTCGAAATGAGGGAACCCTGACGCTGGAAAGCAGCAAGGATGACTGGCTACGGTATCAGCACCGCGACACGCTGGCAAGTCTCATATTACATCGTGACCGTCTGGAGTATCTTTCGCTGGTGGAGAACGTGGCACCGGCGCGCATGGAGCGTATTCTCTTGGAGCGTGCCGTAGACCCCATTCGAAAGAGGGGGCGGTCCAACACTTGACGGAATGGGGATGTTAGGACTCCATGGGCCTTCCTTAAGACTGGGTGTCTGTGTGTGAATGTGTGCGAGTTGGATGATTAACGCCGGTATGCCGCTAGAGAAGAAGCTTTTCTCCTTCTGTATGTACGTTTCTGCAGTGACGGTTATATACTCCTTTATTATTATTATTTTTTGTTCTTCTTTTTTTTTGTGTGTGCAGTTCTCACAGGTACACGCACACACATACGTGTTGTTGCCGAGAACAGTTGGTGTTATTGCACTGCTCATAAAAATAAGGGCGAAAAACAAAGCAAAATATTACCCAGCAATCGTAGAGGGAGAGGGGAATCATGTGGCACCGCCCGTGGGCCCTTTTGCCGCGGTACGTATTCTTTTGTTTGGCCGCTGCAAGTACTCAGCGGCGCTTTCAAGGGCGGATTCCAAGCAAAGGCTATCGTATGCAGCCTACAGTGCCTGATAGGCTGAAAGATGCCGTGAGCCTTTTTGGCGCTGATGCGCACAATGTGACACCTGATGACCCGCCGTATGTGCCTGAGGAGCAACGGATGCACATGACCAAAGAAATTATGGGCAGTAATCAAAATATGAAGAATCATGGAAAGCTAGATCGATTAAGAGCTGCATTGGATACAGTACACAATGAGGGACCTGAACACGAGGGGTGGAAGGAGGTCTATCTTTTTCTTCGCACTACTGAGATGTGTTGCGAGCTTGAGAAGGATCCGACAGATTTATTTCCCAAAGGGAAGAAGTTGTGGATTAACTTAGATGAGTGTGAGGAGAGACGACGTCCTGTGTTAATGCAGATGCCTAATGGTATGCTTGTGTTACCGGTTTTCTCTATGGAAGAGTACCTCGATCACTATTTTTGCAGAGTAGACGCGTTTGAGTCTTGCTGGTTTCCTATTCCTAGGATGGGCACTCGATTTGAGGAGTTTTGTCATTTGCCTTTTCCAGTAACAGCCGTTGGAAGTATGCAACACTTCAGTGCTCTTGCAACTGTTGCGTTGCGGTCCTCCCAGTTTGGCATCCTTGTGAACCCCGGGCAGCGTACTAGCAAGTTCATCACGTACCCAGAAATGGTAGAGCTTGCCAAACAGCGAAGTATGCGGCCCAAAGAGCGTAACACCGATTTAAAGCGCAAATCCAATGGAGTGGAAGAAGATATATTTGATCGAAGCTTTCGTTGTGGATTTGACACCAGAAAACTTGTGATGAGACGCGTAGAGCCGGTTGAGTTGGAGGAGTTGCTTCGTCATCGACCAAAGATACCACCGGTGGCACAGTTGGAGTTGCATCTTCTTCTTTTTGAATATGAATCAATATCAAAGGTCTTTGTAAGCACCGTGGATCGCCCACGTTGGCGCCGTGTGTTTAGTGCCTCTGAGAAAATGACGCGGATTGATGTGGTTATAGAAGGTGGGAGGCCGGATCGTGCGATCTTTGAGCGTATCAAAAAATGGAGTTATATGGGGGAGTTTCATTCCGACGTGCACGTTGAGTTTACGGCGGTGTCACCCGAAGCAAGTAAGGGAGATGAAATGCAACTTTTTTATGATTCTTCGGATGGAAAACTTTTGCGTGGCATGAAGGCTTTTCGCGGGATTACGATTCGGAGGGCGATTGGCTATGATGATCCTCTTCTTGATGCCCACGGCAATCCGGTTGCCTTCACAGCACGAGAGTAAAACGGCGAAAAATGTTTACCTCGCGTATAACCATGTGTTATTTTTTCAATGAGTGATGACTGAGGATGACGACGGAATGGGAAATGGGGATTGTGGCGTTGCTGACTTTGCATAATTAATTATTTATTTTTTCCTACGGGAAATATGGGTTTGGAAGAGCGGGGATAATATATTTATTTATATTTATATACATTTTTTTTTTCTTTTTGAATTTGTCGTCACCCACTGCGATTCAAAAGGGGTATTTCTTCTCCCGTCGTTGACACTGCTGTTTTTCGTTTTTGGCTCTTTCTGTGATATTGGCTTTTGTACAACAGAAAGCTTCTCCGCCTCAAAGAAAAAAAAAAAAAAAAAAAAAGGAAAAAAGGCGATTGTTTCACTCTCTGTGTCATGGCAGAGGACACCATCACGTTTCTTCGTACCGTTGGGAAACTGAAGGAAACGGATCGCACGGGTTGGGTTGAGCACGGCATCCCAAACCCCGAATCGGTGTCAGATCACATGTATCGCGTTGCGGTCATGTGCATGATGTGTCCTGACGAGAAACTGGACCGAAATAAACTGATCCGCATGGCGCTCTGCCATGATGCGGGCGAGAGCATCGTTGGTGACATCTCCCCCAAAATGGGTGTTTCCAAGGAAGATAAGTATAATCAAGAAAAGGCGGCGGTTTTGCATCTTACCGGTTTATTGGAAAAAGAATCGCCCTTGTCTAGGGAGCTTCACGAGCTATGGGAGGAGTACGAGGCGCAGCACACACCTGAAGCACAGTTTCTCAAAGATATTGACCTTTTGGAGATGGTGGCACAGGCACATGCATATGAGTTGGCTCACCCTAAGAAAGATCTAAGTTCATTTTTCGTTTCAGGGGAAAAGATCAAGCACCCATGGGCAAGGAATATTTATGAAACACTCCTGCGTACTCGTTCATCGGAAAAGTGAAACGAAAAAATGAATGATCAATAATGATGACAGTTTTGGGTGTGAGCCAATTGTATTTATCTTCTTTTGACGGAACGCTTGCAACTTGGGGGGAGAATGGTGCTGGTGTTGGTGGCGTGCCACGGGTGCCGTGTCGCATTCCTGTTTCTTCTGTGGGTACATGTACACATAAATGTTTTTTTTTTTTTTTTCTTTACCCCACCTTTTTTTTTATTTTGTGTTATATGTGCTTCTTGGTGGAGATATGGGGTTGAGGAATGCGGAACTTCATAGGCGCACAATCAGGGATCTCTCCGACAAGGGATTTACTGTTTTAGTGCAGGAGGCGGTGCTGAGTTGCATGGGTGCGCGGACTCCACGTATCCCATACTTCTCTTTACTTTCCCCCAAAGTGAACGAGGCGGTGTCTACCCTTTTGTCTCTCACGCAGTTGGTCACGAAAAGCAATGCAGACTTTGATGCGGCACTTCAGAGGACCCAGGCTGCCTTGAAAAGACTTGCCGCAGAGTCTCTTGGAGATGCGGAAATATTACTACGAGGTGAAGATGTGACTGCGGCTTTATCATATACTACCTTTTTGGCGCGGTTCCGTGCATTGTGGGTTTTTTTGTTTGGCTTCACGTATCCACCATCCTCACTGCAAGTTGTTCCTCCTCATATTTTTGCTGTTCGATGGCCTGAGGTGTTATGCGACGACACGATTGGATGGATTTGTGCAACCCGGGAAGAAGCTGGGCGGTCATTTGCCTCAATTCAATCTGGAACTGCTTCGCATTTGACTTATTTTGTGTTTATATTGCAACATACATTGTCAGTACGCACAGTATTATTGGAGTGCGTCGCGGAAATGATGGTAAATTCTGCAGTGCGTTTTGACGTTATGTCCGTAGTGCGGAGCATGTATAGGGCGTATGAGACCTTGGAAGAGATGGCTGATCTTCAGGAGACGTGGAAACAAGAGGGGTTATTCTCGGATGACTTTATTACGAAGTACACATCGTCTTGTGCTTCTGATGCTGGAGTTAGCGGCGTTTTTTGGGATGATTGTGGATTGGATTTGGTTCTTTCTCCCACCAGGGCACATGCAAAGTCGACTTTTCTCTGCCCTTTTCTTTGGATTCTAGAAAACTTGGTGTGGTGCTTGTACGGACGCCTAACACTTCTCTTCCAAAGTTGTTTCATAGCCCTCCCCCCTGAGATTTCTCCTCACCAGGCCGTGAAGGATGTGGGAGGCACAGGCGTGGCGAATAATGAAGAGGGTCCCACGGTAGTTCAGCGCAATTTCCCTGAGTTGAATCGTTCATTTGGGAGGAGACAAGAAAGTCGTGGGGATTTGGTGGACAGTTCTGCTATTGCCGCTGAAAAAGTTTCTTTTTTACATCGGAGGACGACGACTACGACCACGAGCGTGTATGTGGAGCCGATGACAACAGGCTCAAAGTTGCGGTTAAGTTTTCCTTCGTTGACACGAGGTGATTCTGCAACACGCCTCGTGGAGGATGACTCATTGCAAGCAAGTCGGATTGAGTTTCATTCACCGTTTGATTTGAATTTTAATGGCGCAGAGAGTAATGAGAGAGGGTTTTTGGATAAAGTTGGTTGCCACATACTGGCGCAATTATTATGGAATATCACCCATGAGCGACCCCGTTCCACGTTTTTTGTGGTCACTGACTGTACACGGCGTCCAGGGCCGCGTGCGTGGCAACGCAATCATTGCACTGTGACTACTTGGGCAGATGATGTTTCGGGTCGACAAGGGATTGAGCATTGGGTGCTGAATTTTGTGTGTCCGAACTCTCGACTGTCAGAGAATCCCGCGAAACGTGCGCAGCAGGAGATCATGCTTCTAAGAGCAGTTGTTTTTCAAGTGTTGGGATCAACGCAGCGGAGAGCGCGGTTTACGAACGATGGTTCCGTTTTTTATGTGGTGCGTAGCGATAATGAAATGGACGGAGGAAGGCTTTACTTTGTTCTCCTGCTTCAACGCGATACCAGCACCACACATCCAAGCGTTGGCGTACGTGATATTACCTCAAAGAAGGCGGTAGAATTGGAGTCCTGCTGGGCATTTCGCTCCTTGGAGGAGGTGTGTGTGGCATGGTGTATGCCTCATCTATGCAACTTGGCCATCCGTCTGGCGGCGTTGATCTCGTCGTGAGTGTTCGTTCCGTGGGCCATCGTGCGCCCGGTTATTTCTGTTTTCTTCTTCCACTGTTGCGCTGCACGACGCTTTTTTTTTGTTTATTATTGCTGTTTTTGTGGATGCCGTCATTATCCACCTGACTGCTTTTTCTTGTTTACGTTTTCTTGCGTTGCGTGGGGCTTTTCTCTTTGACTGCTGTTCCCGTGCCTTTTGTGCCCTTTGCGACTCGGCAGGAAGATTTATATAAATAAATATACGTAGCTGGGCGCCAGATATCGCCTCAGCAACGCCGAGAAGAGTAATTGAGTGGTAGAAAAATTTAGAGCTTATACGTCCCCTGGAGGAAAAGAGAAACGAAGGGGAGGGGCGAAGAGGTTACCGGTTGAAAGAAACCACATTGTATTCACCACCACCATCATCTTAACATTTTTGGCGAATTTTTAAATAAAAACATCAGGGAAAGAGTGAGGTTTTTCGCGAATGCCTTCTTCCAATTTGTCGGCAGATAATCCCAAATACCACATTGCACGTGCTGTGCGGGTGGCGTCGAGCACATCGTCGGTGGGTCGCATAAGTGCAGACAAGTCAAAGTTCTGCAAGCGATCTGGTAGCGCTAGCAGTGCCACGGAGGTGCGGAGTGCTACGTCAGACGTCATTGGTAGTGTGGGAAGGAAAAGGATTGGTCTCTCCTCTTTAGACTCGACTCGCATGAAAAATGGCTCGGCAGACGACGCTATTCTCCGTAGCCAAACGCGCCAGCCTTACTTTCCTCCCCCTCTTCACCCAAAACAGGTGAAGGAGTTTTTGGCTCGTATGAGAGAGGACGAAGCCCGGTGTACCAAAATGCATGAAAAAGTTTGTGAGAGCAAGGGTATCGCATTTCACCCGACGAAACGGTTGAATTGCCGGAGACGTTCAAGCATGATAGAGCAGCCATGTAATACTCCCCAGAGACGCCCAGTGATAAGCTGTTCATCAACGCCTTCACGCAATGTACGATCCCCCATGTTGCGCCGATCAATGGGGCCAAATGAAATTTTTCGGCCGGATCCTTTGCCGGTTCGGGGAAAATCGCCCACACTCTATGGGAAGAAATCCGATTTACAGCCACGTGCGGTGGCAACTGCCACGGCGAAGATTCCGGGCGCAAGGGGAGACAAAAGAGGTGAAAATGGAGCGGGAGGAATGCCAAAAGAAGCGGCAGCGAGGCGGCAGCGTCCCGTCATCTCTGTCAACTCGACAACGAGTGTCTCGAGAAACGGAATCACTGCTACCGCCGCCAATAATCGGAGAGTCCAGCAAGGCAGAAGCACCACGCGGCAGCAAGTAAGGACCCAACAATCGCCGTCTCAGGGCACACCGCTTCATCAGGGTTTGCCTGGAGTTAGGCAACCTCCACGAAGTTCGCTCTCCGGGGTAATTTCACCGAGTAGTGTTTCCCCATGCTTGAAGAACTGCAGGACTGAGACGGCCCCGTACATTGAAACCCCTGCCGGCGGAAAATCGGAAGTGTGCTCACCGGTGAGACTCGTTTACGACACAGTAGACGACGGTTCGCTTGGTCTTTTCCGGTGAGTTACACGCGTCTGCCTTTTTGTTATCGTTGTTGTTGTTGCTGCTTCTGTGCATGTGAAAGGTGTTGGATGCGCAACGTCCATCACGCGCGCGGGTGACACCAAAAATGATGATTCTTTTGCTTTTTAGGGGAGGTGAGTCTGTGGGAGTGGCGGGGGGAAGAAATTGACAGGACCAGCAATGTCTCTTGAAGGTCTTGGTCAAATGAAATGACTGACGTGAAATCCACCACCGCCATCGCCAACACAAAAGAACTCAACCACAACACAGCGAATGGACTCGAGTGTGGAGAAATGGACGACAAAACGAATCAAAGGACAAGAAGACGTAGGGGAGTTGAAGAGTGCGGAACAACACTTTGGGGGGATAAAGAAAAGGGAAATAGAGGTAGTCGCAATTTTTTGTTTGTTGCTTTTTTCTTTCCTTCTTATTTACGATTTTTTTTTCTGCATTTTTTTTCAATTTGCATGGTCTGGTGTTTGTGTGGCGCTCTGTTGGAGAAGCGGCCTCTCATCGTTTCCGGCGAGCGGTGGGGTGGGGGGAGGGGAAAAGGCGGAAACTGGAAAAAGAAAAGAATAAAATCATACCAATAAAAAAGAAAAATGAGGAGGGAAAAAATATTATGTGCATAATTCACAGGACGCCAGATAAGAGGCATTTTTTTTTTTCCTTCTCTTACCAGTCGTAGTAACTACACCTCAATTTTGCAGCTCTGGTAAACGTACGAAGGAATTCAGCAGCAAGGGGTAACCTTACTCCGCGGGCAGCCACTATAGAATGGCTCCAACATCTGCCCTTCCGGCCCGTAAAACTAAGTAACAACTACTCATCGGGTTTGAAGCATGAACAGCAGGCGCTTAGCTTCCTCTCTAGCAAAGAGTACTAGACCCTGGCACCACGTTGAGGTGGCCGGCTGAGCCAGGTAGCTAAGAGACATCGTACGCATCTCTCTTATCGCCGGTACCACTTTTTTGGGAGCGTGTGGGAAGGATGTGTGGCCATGTGAGGAAGAACGAGTAAGAGGGTTTCTTGTCCACCTGACATGCCTCTTTACCTGCAATGTGGTGCTGGTCTCCAAAGATACCAATTTGTAAGGCAGCAAGTGCAGCTTCTACTTTATCCCCATTTCTGTTGTCCCACGCATTTCTTCCTTTTACCCTCCACGTGGAGGGGGAAAACAGGGGCTGCGGAAATCGTGAAAACTGCCAGTTCGTGGGTTCACAACGAGCCCGGTTATCACGACAAATATATTTGGAATCGGTTTACTACTGTGTGAGTGTGGGTGCGGGTTAACTCGTTTTTGAAGCGGGGGATGCTGGGCGCATTGAACCAAACTGTCGTTTCTCTCTTGTTGCTGTCCCTTCACTTTATGGGAACGAAGGACAAGGCCTCGGCCGGGAGCATGTTGTTTTTGCATGAATCTATTTTTTTTATATTTTATTTTTGCGTGCGTATTCATTTATTTGAGTGTATGTGCTCCGTGTGCTTTTGGACCGTTGTAGCCCTGATTTCTCCTCAGGGGATGTGGGAGGCACAGGCGTGGCGAATAATGAAGAGGGTAAGCGCAATTTCCTGAGTTGAATCGTTCATTTGGGAGGAGACAAGAAGTCGTGGGGATTTGGTGGACAGTTCTGCTATTGCCGCTGAAAAAGTCTCTTTTTTACATCGGAGGACGACGACTACGACCACGAGCGTATATGTGGAGCCGATGACAACGGGCTCAAAGTTGCGGTTAAGTTTTCCTTCGTTGGCACGAGGTGATTCTGCAACACGCCTCGTGGAGGATGACTCATTGCAAGCAAGTCGGATTGAGTTTCATTCACCGTTTGATTTGAATTTTAACGGCGCAGAGAGTAATGAGAGAGGGTTTTTGGATAAAGTTGGTTGTCACATACTGGCGCAATTATTATGGAATATCACCCATGAGCGACCCCGTTCCACGTTTTTTGTGGTCACTGACTGTACACGGCGTCCAGGGCCGCGTGCGTGGCAACGCAATCGTTGCACTGTGACTACTTGGGCAGATGATGTTTCGGGTCGACAAGGGATTGAGCATTGGGTGCTGAATTTTGTGTGTCCGAACTCTCGACTGTCAGAGAATCCCGCGAAACGTGCGCAGCAGGAGATCATGCTTCTAAGAGCAGTTGTTTTTCAAGTGTTGGGATCAACGCAGCGGAGAGCGCGGTTTACGAACGATGGTTCTGTTTTTTATGTGGTGCGTAGCGATAGTGAAATGGACGGAGGAAGGCTTTACTTTGTTCTCCTGCTTCAACGCGATGCCAGCACCACACATCCAGGCGTTGGCGTACGTGATATTAGCGCAAAGAAGGCGGCAGAATTGGAGTCCTGCTGGGCATTTCGCTCCTTGGAGGAGGTGTGTGTGGCATGGTGTATGCCTCATCTATGCAACTTGGCCATCCGTCTGGCGGCGTTGATCTCGTCGTGAGTGTTCGTTCCGTGGGCCATCGTGCGCCCGGCTATTTCTGTTTTCTCCTTCCACTGTTGCGTTGCACGACGTTTTTTTGTTTATTCACTTATTTCTTTTTTTGTTTATTATTGTTGTTTTTGTGGATGCCGTCATTATCCAGCTGACTGCTTTTTCTTGTTTATGTTTTCTTGCGTTGCGTGGGGCTTTCCTCTTTGACTGCTGTTCCCGTGTCTTTTGTGCCCTTTGCGACTCGGCAGGAAGATTCATATAAATAAATATACGTAGCTGGGCGCTAGATATTGCCTCAGCAACGCCGAGAAGAGGAAGTGAGTGGTAGAAAAATTTAGAGCTCATACGTCCCCTGGAGGAAAAGAGAAACGAAGGGGAGGGACGAAGAGGTTACCGGTTGAAAGAAACCGCATTGTATCCACCACCACCATCATCTTAACATTTTTGGCGGATTTTTTTAAATAAAAACACCAGGGAAAGAGTGAGGTTTTCCGCGAATGCCTTCTTCCAATTTGTCGGCAGATAATCCCAAATACCACATTGCACGTGCTGTGCGGGTGGCGTCGAGCACATCGTCGGTGGGGCGCATAAGTGCAGACAAGTCAAAGTTCTGCAAGCGATCTGGTAGTGCTAGCAGCGCCACGGAGGCGCGGAGTGCTGCGTCAGACGTCATTGGTAGTGTGGGAAGGAAAAGGGTTGGTCTCTCCTCTTTAGACTCGACTCGCATGAAAAATAGCTCGGCAGACGACGCTACTCTCCGTAGCCAAACACGCCAGCCTTACTTTTCTCCCCCTCTTCACCCAAAACAGGTGAAGGAGTTTTTGGCTCGTATGAGAGAGGACGAAGCCCGGTGTACCAAAATGCATGAAAAAGTTTGTGAGAGCAAGGGTATCGCATTTCACCCGACGAAACGGTTGAATTGCCGGAGACGTTCAAGCATGATAGAGCAGCCATGTAATACTCCCCAGAGACGCCCAGTGATAAGCTGTTCATCAACGCCTTCACGCAATGTACGCTCCCCCATGTTGCGCCGATCAATGGGGCCAAATGAAATTTTTCGGCCGGATCCTTTGCCGGTTCGGGGAAAATCGCCCACACTCTATGGGAAGAAATCCGATGTACAGCCACGTGCGGTGGCAACTGCCGCGGCGAAGATTCCGGGCGCACGGGGAGACAAAAGAGGTGAAAATGGAGCGGGAGGAGTGCCAAAAGAGGCGGCAGCGAGGCGGCAGCGTCCTGTCATCTCTGTCAACTCGACAACGAGTGTCTCGAGAAACGGAGTCACTGCTACCGCCGCCAATAATCGGAGAGTCCAGCAAGGCAGAAGCACCACGCGGCAGCAAGTGAGGACCCAACAATCGCCGTCTCAAGGCACACCGCTTCATCAGGGTTTGCCTGGAGTTAGGCAACCTCCACGAAGATCGCTCTCTGGGGTAATTTCACCGAGTAGTGTTTCCCCATGCTTGAAGAACTGCAGGACGGAGACGGCCCCGTACATTGAAACCCCTGCCGGCGGAAAATCGGAAGTGTGCTCACCGGTGAGACTCGTTTACGACGTAGTAGATGACGGTTCGCTTGGTCTTGTCCGATGAGTTCTACGCGTCTGCCTTTTTTTTATTGTTGTTGTTGTTGCTGCTTCTGTGCATGTGAAAGGTGTTGGATGCGCGACGTCCATCACGCGCGCGGGTGACACCAAATACGATGATTCTTTTGCTTTTTAGAGGAAGTGATTCTGTGGGAGTGGCGGGGGAAAGAAATTGACAGGACCAGCAATGTCTCTTGAAGGTCTTGGTCAAATGAAATGACTGACGTGAAATCCACCACCGCCACCGCCAACACAAAAGAACTCAACCACAACACAGCGAATGGACTCGAGTGTGGAGAAATGGAAGACAAAACGAATCAAAGGACAAGAAGGCGTAGGGGAGTTGAAGAGTGCGGAAAAACACTTTGGGAGGGATAAAGAAAAGGGAAATAGAGGTAGTCGCAATTTTTTGTTTGTTTCTTTTTTTTTTTTCTCTGCATTTTTTTCAATTTGCGTGGTCTGGTGTTTGTGTGGCGCTCTGTTGGAGAAGCGGCTTCTCATCGTTTCCGGCGAGCGGTGGGGTGGGGAGGGGAAAAGGCGGAAACTGGAAAAAGAAAAGAATAAAATAATACCAATAAAAAAGAAGAAAAATGAGGAGGGAAAAAATATCATATGCATAATTCACAGGACACCAGCTAAGAGAAATCGTACGCACCTTTCTTATCGCCGGTACCACTTTTTTGGGAGCGTGTGGGAAGGATGTGTGGCCATGTGAGGAAGAACGAGTAAGAGGGTTTCTTGCCCACCTGACATGCCCCTTTACCTGCAATGCGGTGCTTGTTTCCAAAGATACCGACTTGTAGGGCAGCAAGTGCGGCTTCTACTTTTTCCCTTTTCTGTTGTCCCACGCATTTCTAGCCTTTACCCTCCACGTGGAGGGGGCAACAGGGGCTGAGGAAACCGTGAAAACTGCCAGTTCGTGAGTTCACAACGAGCCCGGTTATCACGGCAAATATATTTGGAATCGGTTTGCTACTGTATGAGTGTGGGTGCGGGTTAACTCGTTTTTGAAGCGGGGGGATGCTGGGCGCATTGAACCAAACTCTCGTTTCCCTCTTGTTGCTGTCCTTTCACTTTATGGGAATGAAGGACAAGGCCTCAGCCGGGAGCATGTTGTTTTTGCATGAATCTATTTTTTTATTTTATTTTTGCGTGTGTATTCATCTACTTGAGTGTGTGTGCTCCGTGTGCTTTTGGACCGTTGTTCCCCCCTCCCCCCCCCCCCTTTCCACCGTCCTTTTTCTACGATAGATGACATGTATTTATTTATTTATTTATTTTACTTTTTTTTTGTGTGTGTCTTCTGTCCGACTTTGTTTGTTTTGCTTCCTTCTGTCATTCACGCCGGCACACGCGCACGTGGCTTCCTTCCTTCCTTTCTTTCTGCTCTCGTCGTTGTCATTACTACTTGCAGGTTTCTTTTTTTCTTTCTTTCTTTTTTTTTTTATTGAAGCCCATTTTTATAACCAAACAAAACCCAAATCAAAAAAAAAAAAAAAAAAAAGAGAGGAGAGTGAGGAACTAAAGGGAGTAGTCGGCAGTCTTATAACACAACACGCAGCAGGAGCAACTTTAACAGACCAAAAAAAAAATTAAAATAAAAAAAAAATAAAATAAAATAAAAAAAATAAAATAAAAATAAAGTAAAATAAAATAAAAATATATAAAAGTCCTGAGGACCAAAAACAAAAACAAAAACAAAAACAACAACGCAGGGAAAGAAGTTGCGTTGCTAATAAAAGAGCGCACGCACAGAGAACGGGGGATAACATACAAACAAACAAACAAACAAAAAAAGATAATATAAGGATAAAACAACAAAAGGATAGTATACATCCAGTTGAAAGAAGCAACTGACAGAAAAGAACATCAACAACAAAAACAAAAAAGAAGTAAAACAAGGGCCGTATTCGTTTACTTTGAACCGAAAACACAACAATAACAAAACCCAAAACAAAAAAAAAGGAAGAAGGTAGAATGTCGAACTTTCCTGCTGCGAGTCCCTCCATCTGGGTCGGCGGTTTGGACCCCAACCTTAACGAGCAAAAGCTCTACGACCACTTTGTACGCCTTGGCCCAGTTGCCTCCGTGCGTGTCTGTGTGGACTCTGTCACGCAGAAGTCACTTGGCTATGGTTACGTGAACTTCCAGAACCCTGCGGATGCCGAAAAGGCGCTGGACCAAGCCGGCGTTAAACTCGGTTCGAAGCACATCCGCATTGCCAAGATTCAACGTGATCCTTCTAAGCGGCGCAGCGGCGTGACGAACATCGTAGTGAAGAAACTTCCACCGTCCGTGGACACCTATGCCCTTAAGGAAATGTTCTCCAAGTACGGGCGTCTCACAGCCATTGGTCTCGCAACAAACGAGAATGGCGAGTCCCGTGGTTATGCCCGCATTTCCTACGAAAAGGAGGAATCTGCCATACAAGCGGTTCAGGAGGTAAACGGAATGGTTATCGATGACTGCGCTATTACTGTGGAACGCTACCAACCACACCATCGTGAGGAGCAGTTGAAGCAATTTACAAACCTTTATGTGAAGAACCTTGACCCCTCCGTTAATGATGAGAAGTTGAAGGAAGTGTTCTCCGCTTTTGGTGAGGTGACGTCCGCCAAGGTTCGTGACCTTGGCGCAAACCAGACAGTCGGATTTGCCTACGTCGCGTACGCCACTCACGAAGCTGCCGCCAAGGCTGTCGAGGAACTCGACGAGAAGGAGAGTCCATTGGCTAAGGAAGGGATGAAACTGAGTGTCTGCCGCTTCCGCTCTCGAGATGAACGTCAGCGCGAGCGCGAACGTCTGCGCCGCGAGCGTCAACAACAACACAGCAAGTACCCGAACCTTTACGTCAAGAACTTTGACGATACTGTCACCAGCGAGCGCCTGAAGGAGCTGTTTGAGCGCTGTGGCGAGACTGTTTCTGTCAGTGTTATGATGGACCGGGCCACTAGGGTATCCCGGTGCTTTGGCTTTGTTTCTTTTAAGGAGCAGAGTGCGGCGAGCCGTGCCATCCAGGAGCTTCATGGAAGCACGGCCCTTGGGCCGCGTCCACTTTTTGTGACATATGCCCTCCGCAAGGATGCTCGTCGCCAGACACTGGAAGACATGCGTAACAAGCAGCCACGTATGCGTCAGCCGCCTATGGGAAGCCTGATGGGTGGCATGATGGGACCACAACTTGGCTTCATGGGACCGCAAGCAATGTTTAACGGCGTTCCCTTTGTAAACCCTCGCATGTCGATGATGCCTACACCGATGGGAATGGGTGGTCAGTTGCGACCAATGGGCCCTACACCGATGAATCAAGTGCGGGCGCGCCCCATGCCGCAACGTCCCCCAATGCAGCCGATCATGGCGCCGCCTCCACAACCGCAGTCGTTGGCTTCACAGGGACAGAATCTGTCGACGGTGCTTGCCAACCTGACTCCCGAGCAACAGAAGAATGTTTTGGGAGAGCGTTTGTACAACCACATTGTCGCTATCAACCCTGCCGCGGCTGCAAAGGTGACTGGCATGCTTTTGGAGATGGATAACGGCGAAATTCTTAATCTGCTAGACACACCCGGTCTTTTGGATGCGAAGGTTCAAGAGGCTCTTGAAGTGCTGAATCGCCACATGAACGTTTAGAAGCGTCTTTGTGTGTGCGTGCGTGTGGTCTATTCGTGTCTTTTTTTTTAGTTCTTTTTTTTTTTTGTGTGTGTGTGTGTATGCGTGTCGGTGATCGGGTCTTTCTTTCTTTGCGTGTATGAGAGAACTTCTGATGCATGACCTGAAACTGTGAATGAAGCGAGGGACGTGTAACGAGGGAGAGACAGCACCCAAAGAAGAAGAATAAAATCAAAAAAAAAAAAAAAAAAAAAAAAAAGAAAAGGAAAAACTAAAGGAGTAACAACAAACAGTAAATGCAACATGATCATATCTCTATGTATTTGTGTGTGTGGGTATATGCATAGTGGTATGTGTGTATTGCCGCAGAGCTTCTTTCTCTCTCTCTCTCTCTCTCTCTCTGTTTCCCTTTGGGGAGGAGTGAAGAAGGAGGTGGAGTGAAGTAAACTGCGAGGAGGAAGAAGAAGATAAATAATAATAATAATAATAAAAGGAAAGAGGGAAATAAATAAATAAATAAATAAATGTCTCTGTATAAATTTACAGCGACAACCGGCGTGAACGAAAAGAAAAGAAAAGAAAAAAGAAAAAAAAAACAAGAAGAAGAAGAAAAGGAAAAAAAAGTTAGAACTTTGAAGAAACACCAACCAATCAAGGAAAGAGAAAAAAAAAAAAAAAAAAAAAGAGAGAGTGAGAAGACAAAAACGCCTCCGACATTCCCAGAACAAGAGAAAAAAAAAAAAAAAAGAAAATGCCATTGAAATATATATATATAATTAATATATAATTATATAATAGAAATGAAGGAGTTGAGTGACCGCAAAGGAGGAATAATTAAAAAGAGAGCAAGATGAAGGTACAAACATAGGACCGGAGAGAAGACTGGGCTCTTAAAAGGGAGCTGTTCTTCAGTGTAAGGCAAGGGCGAAAAGAGAAAAAAATTATTATTAATTTTTTTTTTGTTTTTGATTCCTTTTTTTTTTTCTCTTTTTTTTTTTTTTGTTGTTGTTGTTTTACTCACTTTTTCTTGTTTCACTTCTTTATTCTGTTATACGTTGCAACTGAGGGTTCCTTAGGACGGAGTGTGATCTGCGGCACGAAGGGAGATGATGAGAGAGTGGGAGGAGGAGGAGGAGAGAGAGTGGGTGAGTTGGTGGGGATCCGTGTTTTATGGGCGCTGCCGCGACTGCCGGGCTTGCAATGGGCTTAACTTTATGTTGACGTCCATACGCCTTGTGTGTGGCACCCCACCGTCTTTTGTAGAGTAGGCGGCGCGTGTGCTGGATGTGTGGGCGACATGAATGAGTTTTTTTTTTTGTGTGTCTGTGTGTGTCTGTGGATGATGATTGAGCGGCGTGACACTCCACTGCCTCCCCTGTTCCTCTGGAGTGGACGCCTACACACACACACACACGCACACACACACTCTTTCGCTCTTTCTCTCACGTACACGTAATGCACCGTTGCTTACGCTTGTACACATTCCCACAATTGCGACTCATTCAAGAAAAAGCAAACAAAGAGAAGGATTTTTAGACCTGGTAACCCGCACACAGAAAAATTAGAAATCGAAAATGAAGAAGATATATATATTATATATGATGAATGGATGAAGGGGTGGATTTTTTCTTTGGCTTTGCTTTTTTTTTTTTTTTTTTACCTTTTTTTAGCCTTTGCCTCGCCATTTTTTTTTTTTCTCTTAAATATTATTCCTCCTGCTGATTTCATTCTTTTTTTTTTTTTCTTTTTTTTTCTTTTTTTGTTCTTTGTGCGAGTGTTTTGTTTTTATTATTCTTTTGGAAGGGTTTCTTTTCCCACGAAATTCCTTGGGACTCTCTCAAGGCGCCTTTCACATTCACCGCCCCCCCCGCACACACGCCGGGACTGTGGACGAGAGGGACGGTGCTGGCTTACATTGGATGCATGCCGGCGTGTGAACGTGAGAAAGATGACGGCTGCGAGGGAACAGGGGGAGGGAGAAGAGGGATGCACGAAAGGAGGGGAATTAACGAATAATATATTTATTTATATATAACGACAACCAACAACAAGAAAAAAAAAAAAAAAGAAAAAAAGAGAACGAATAAAAAGAGGGTCCAAAAAGGTCTCGAAAAGTCTCCTCTTGAACGTATCTCTTTCTTCCTCTCCTCGTGGCTGCTTCCAACCGTACCCATACGCGGAACGATGAGGAACACAGAAAAGAAAAGAAGGAACTGGAAAGGGTAAAAGGTGAGGGAAAAAGAGAAAATTATTATTATTATTTTTTTTTTGTTATTGATTCCTTTTTTTTTCTCTCTTTTTTTTTTTTTTTGTTTACTCACTTTTTCTGTTTCATTTCTTTATTCTGTTATACGTTGCAACTGAGGGTTCCTTAGGACGGAGTGTGGTCTGCGGCACAAAGGGAGATGATAAGAGAGTGGGAGGAGGAGAGAGAGAGAGAGAGAGGGGGTGAGTTGGTGGGGATCCGTCTTTTATGGGCTCTGCCGCGAATGCCGGGCTTGCAATGGGCTTAACTTTATGTTGACGTCTAGACGCCTTGTGTGTGGCACCCCACCGTCTTTTGTAGAGTAGGCGACGCGTGTGCTGGATGTGTGGGCGACATGAATGAGTTTTTTTTTTGTGTGTGTGTGTCTGTGTGTGTCTGTGGATGATGATTGAGCGGCGTGACACTCCACTGCCTCCCCTGTTCCTCTGGAGTGGACGTCTACACACACACGCACACACACTCTCTCTCTCGCTCTCGTTCTCACGTACACGTAATGCACCGTCGCTTACGCTTGTACACATTCCTACAATTGCGACTCATTCAAGAACAAGCAAACAAAGAGAAGGATTTTTAGATTGGTAACCCGCATACAGAAACATTATAAATCGAAAATGAAGAAGATATATATATTATATATGATGAATGGATGAAGGGGTGGATTTTTTCTTTGGCTTCGCTTTTTTTCTTTTTTCTTTTTTTTTTTTTTTTACCTTTTTTTGGCCTTTGCCATTTTTTTTTTTTAAATATTATTCCTCTTGCTGATTTCATTCTTTTTTTTCTCTTTTTTTTCTTTTTTTTTTTTTCCTTTTTTTTTGTTTTTTTTATATTATTTTGAGGGTTTTTTTCCCACTTGGGCAGCATTCATGCATATATGTGTATGTATGTATGTATGTATATTTCTCTCAGCGGAGGGTTTAAAGGTACGGTACAGAATATGGAAAACAGACAATAATAAGAAAAAGAGGTGAAGAGCTAAAAAGAGAAATAAGAATTAATGAAAATTGCACGCGGAATTGAGAGTTTGAAAATGGGAGGAAGAACGGCGTAAAAAAAAAAAAAAAAAATGAAGAAAAGAAAACATGCAAGGAGAAGCATGTATATATATATATTTGTGTCTATCTATCTATCTATCTATATATGCTTCTCTCCCTCTCTCTTTTTATCTCTCTGAGTATATAAATAAATATATTTATATACATACGCATATGTGTGTGTGCATGTGCAGCGAGAGTGAATGAGGGTGAAGGGCGTTTTTTGAGCTTCAATGGAGATGAAAAAAAAAAAAAAAAAAAAAAAAAAAAAAAAGGGTGTGAACCGCTAGAAAAGGGAAACCCAAAGAATAAAATAAAGAAAATTAAAAAAAAAAAAAAGAAAGAAAAAAGGGCTGTTTGACAGTGTTTATCAGCACTCGCGTGGCGCACACCGGATGAAATGAAAAAGCAAGCAGAAAAAAAAAAAAAAAAAAAGAGAGTATACATAATGCAGATCAATTAAAAAAAAAAAAAAAAAGGAAATTTGTGCTACATTTAAATGAAGGCACTCTCCGCACTTTAAACCGGCAATGAAGTAAATACTGTGTGTTGTGCGTATGTGTTCTGTGGCCCTCACCGGTGCTGAAAAAGCATCTACAGTTGTCAATGTTATTTTTGTTTTTGTTGCATTATCTCCTCTTTTATTTTTTAAATTTTTTTTCTTTTTTTTGGGGGGGTTATAGGTGTGGAGGCGTTTCTTACATCGTGCCTTCTTGTAGGAAGCGCAGTACCCACCCATTTATTTAGAAGCACACGCACACACACAAAACAAAAAAAAAAAAAAAAAAAGGGAATTAGTCTCTGCTTCAGAGATTTGCGCTGAAAGCGAGTGAGTGGGTTTTGTGCGTATATTGAGGGAGAGCAAAAGAGAGTGCTCTGAATAGGAGGTTTTAGATTAGAGGAGTTAGGCAATGGTGTTTGGTCTTCTGCGTTGCCTGTTTACATTCATAGTGTTTCACACGGGTGTTGGCTACGCCGTGCTGCTTGCACTGCGTCTGCCCCTTGCCGTGCTGGAAGAGAAGGAACATGCCAAGAAACAGAACGACAATTTGAATATCCCGTTGGATTCGTTGAAAATTTGGATCATGATCACATTTCTCAGTTCACTCTCTTACATGGGCGCAGAGAACCTTCCCTTTTTTCTGGAGGCTCGTGCCATTTTTACGTGGCTTCTTCTTCTGCTGCCATCCTCTTCGCACAGCAAGGTGTATGATGGTGCTTTTGAACCGTTTTTTGAACGTGCTTGTAAATCCATCACTGGCATTGTGAGTACACGAATGCTTGCACGAAGCGTGGGATTATTATTTTTACGTGTTTGCATAGGGACGGGGCTTTTTATTGCAAATAAAATTATTCGTCACCGGTTGTTGGAGGAGGATGAAATTTTTAAGGTTGTGAGGGGTCTGCTCTATGCCGCCCAGGCGTTGGAGGGCACGGAGGTGACGCGACCCAAAAAGAGTCGATCCCTGTTACCTCCACCGCCCAACTGTGTGGGGACCGAATTGTTGTAATCTACTTAGATGTATAAATGTTATGTGAGCTGCTCTTCAATGGGAAGAATGAAGTTGCGGGAAGGACTGAATGGAAAGAAATGTCTTTATTTCTCCCGTTTTTTCTTTTTGTTGTTATGTGTATGCGATGCGGGTGCTTGTATTTGCTTGCGTTACTTCAATCTCTTTTATTAAAAACAAACATCAAAAAGGTATACTTTTTATTTGGTGTTTAACGCTAGTTTTTTTTTTTTTTTTCCATATGTGTGTGTGTTTGTGTTGGTTATTTTTATCTTTTGCTTTGTGCTTTGCTTTTACGCAGTGCTCCTTTCCGTGGATTTTTTTTTTTTTGATGCAATTTAACTTCTGCCTGTCGCCAGTCTTTTTGTCGTCTTTTGTTTTTTTTTTCCTTCCTTTTTCTCGTTTCACGCGGGAGGAAGTGGCGGCGGCGAAGGACCCGTGGCTGTGGGGCACCTAAACAAACGGCACGAGCAGAGCCCGGCGAGTGAGCAAAGACGACCTGCCAAAACTCACCTTAAAAGAGTTTTTTTTTCTTTCTTTTTTTGGGGGGCAACGGGTAGCGAATTTTTAAAAGAATGAATCGTCACAAGAAGTTTTACTCTACGCTTGGGGATAAGTTGCATGACGACTATTACGACGATGACGACGACTATTATGACGAGGGAGAGGAGGATGACTACGGGGAGGAAGAGCTGCAATATGTGGTGCGGACGGGCGCCATCCCGGCAAAACCCGTGAAAACGTCCTCCACGGCGGGTTTCACTGCTCCGCAAGAGGAGTTATTGAACAACGAGGAGCTGCCATTGGGCGAAGAACAGGGTCGGTGCTCTGAGGATTTGGATTACCCGCTGATCACCATGCTTCTTGCGGAGTTCCGGAAGAAGTGGGAGAGTTGTGTCACGGCTCAGGAGCTTAAAGTGGAGCCCAAGTTGTGTGATATCATCGAAGCCATTCGTGATCATAACTATGACGTGGATGAGGCCGTCACATTTACACTGCGAAGGGTGACGGTGAAAAGTCTGGATGCGGGGACACAAAAATCGACCAACACGCCCTCGTCATTGCAATGTTCAGCGAATGCCTGTGCTCCTGCTCCGACACCTACGTTGGCAACGGCGGTTGAGCCCAAACCCGGTGGTCGCACCCTAAAACTTGGGAAAGGCGGTAAAAACACGGAGATACCACCGGCGAACAAATCCAATATGGTTAAAGAGACAATAACAAAAAGTGCAAGTGGTGCACGCAATACCCGTAATATTTCAGAATTGAAAAAGAATGCGGTACAGGAGATCATGCCGGACCCAAACAAAAGAGATTGTACGTTTGTCATTGCAGGTCATGTAGATGCGGGGAAAAGTACGACTTTGGGACATCTACTTTTGTTGCTGGGTAAGGTCTCGCAGTCTGAGATTGAGAAGAATGAGAAGAATGCGCGTCAGCTGAATAGCGGCTCGTTTAAATATGCATGGGTGCTGGATCAATCCGAGGAAGAACGCCGACGTGGTGTGACGATTGATGCTGGTTCCTATTGTTTTGAAACTGAACATCGTCGTATTAATATTTTGGATGCCCCTGGCCACAAGGATTACGTTCTAAATATGATTAGTAGTGCGACACAAGCAGATGCAGCCCTTCTTGTTGTAACGGCTGCCACCTCCGAATTTGAGGTTGGTCTTGCTCATGGGACGAAGGAGCATCTTTTTATTTTAAAGACATTAAGTGTTGGTCGATTGATTGTTGCCGTTAATAAGATGGATACGGTGGACTATAGTAAAGAACGATATGACTATGTCGTACGGGAGTTGAAATTTCTATTGAAACAAATACGCTACAAGGAGGAGGCGGTTGTTGGTTTTTGTCCAGTGAGTGGTATGCAGGGGACGAACATTCTTCATGTGAATCGCGAGGCGACTCCGTGGTATGAAGGGCCATCCTTGGTTCAGTTATTTGACCAATGCCCTCTGGAAAGCAGATTGTTAGATGCTCCATTACGACTGAGTTTACAGGACATGCAGGGATCAAGACTTTTTTGCAAAGTGGAGAGTGGACGCCTTTTAAAGGCGTCTAAATTTGTATTTTTGCCGTCTGACGTTCAAGTTCATGTCAAAACGATATTGAAGCCAACATTGGATGAATTTGTAAGTGCTGCTTTTGCGGGTGATCTGGTGGTGATTGACACGGACTCCTCACTTGTAGGGTTGTCCCCTGGCTGTGTTGGCTGCAGCCTCATTGACCCCATTCAATGCTCCACAGACTTTGAGGCCCGTGTGCAGACGTTTGCCACGCTGCAGAGTTCCATTCTTCCTGGCACAACCTTCACGATGGTCGTTCACGCCCTCACAGTGCCTGTGAAGGTGGTGGCGCTGGTGTCGAAGATGAACCGTCAAGGGACGTGGTCGACAGGCATGGTGAAGTGCATCCCAAAAGTTACACAGGCGATCATTGTTTTTCGTTCGGCTTACAAAATTGCATTAGAGCCCGCCGAAGTCTGTCGCGCGCTTGGACGTTTTGTTCTGCAACAGGATGGCAACACGGTAGCAGGTGGTCTTGTGGAGAAGATGATGTTGTGAACAGCGTGAGTTGCCATAAGAAGAAAAAAAAAAAAAAAAAGACGACGGAAGGGGAGTCAAACCAACAAACGAAAAACAACATCACTGCCACCGAGTAGAAGGCATTGTTAACACTGAACTCAAATGCAGCCCAAAGAGCAAAAGAAGACATAGTTAAATTTTGCTCTTTTTTGTTGTACAACTTGCGGTTACGGGAAGGATATTGCCGTTGTATTTGCAACCGTATTGCAATGGCACTCGTTTTCCGGTTATTGTTCCCCCCTCTCTTTCTGTACATACATATAGGTCTGTGTATACGCGTATATGTTTTTAACTATTATTATTATTATTATTATTATTATTATTATTATTATTATTAATTGTCTTTCCACTTGTGCCGTCTCACACTTTTGTTGTGATGGTCGGGGATTCCTGTTGTCTTCCATTTTCTCCGGTTTTCCTTTTTTTTTTCTTTTAATAAACAACCCTGAAAACAACAACAACAACAACAACAACAAAATAACGACTTGGCTTTATTCAGTAAACATTCCTGTCTTTTTTGTTTTGGCAGTAACAAGAAAGGGGAGAAAAATAATAATTCGGATAGGGCGGTACCGCTTGCGTGTCAAGAAAAGAAATAATAATAATAATCATCAAAGAAAAAAAAGGGACGGTGACATAAGAATACGAGTATTACATTACAATCCCCCCCCCCCCTCCCTCCTCTCACGATGAGTTATTTATTGGCCCCTTTTTGCGGCCTGGAAAAGTCGGAGACGATGGCGGAATACGAGCTTATGCCGGAGCCGATCCAGAATGCCGACTACATCCCTCTCCGATTGAACCCTAGGGAGCGGAAGATACAACGTCTCATGCGTGCGGTTATTATGGCCTCCCATTACACAGATAAGGTTGATAATGAAGCCGTACTAAAAAGTAACAAACGAGATGCCATTATAGTGAAGGAGATTACAAATTCACTTAGTGGCCTTATTACCGGCTTGGATGTTGAGAAGGGGGCGAAGCTTCTTCGTGAAAAGGACTTTTCTCCCTTTGCAAGAGAAATTCAGTTAGCCGTTGAGGCGTCCCGACGGTACAAAATGATGAATCCTGACTTTCTTCGAACAGATTACGTAAAATTTCTTTACATGGTTCAGGATGCAGTCCAGAACGAAAATGTTCGCGAGATGTTGGGTTTTGTGGTGGCTGAGCAAATTGTCACTGTTGGATTCTACTGCCGTGCCTTAGGGTTTGAGTCGATACTTCAGGATAATCGCATGCCCTTATGTATTACTCCTGTGCCTTTTATTAAAAACAGAAACAAGTTGAACAAGGCCCTGCGGCACAAGGATGTTACAGTGAATGGACTTTTAAAGGAATACAGTAGAGCATCCGGTCGGACTTTGGATGAGGTGGAGATTGCTGTTCGGAGTCTCAACGATGCCAATCATTTTGCCAACGACAATGTGGATAGTACAAATCAAATGCTTCATTTACTTAAGGAATTTTTCTCACCAGATGCACCAACTGATTTGACGAACTTGAGTATCGAGGAGGGCGAAAATGGAAGTCGATTGTCTCACAATCACAGACGGCAGTATTTTTTTGTCCTCCAAAGCCTTTCACTTTGGAAGAACATTTGTCGTCGCATGTTTTCTCTTTGGACGATTGCAGAGGGAGACATGTTAAACCCAAACGAGCCATACGAATTTCGTTACACAGGTCAAGGTTACCAACGTGTGCAAAAAGCCCCGAACCTCTACCGTGCCATCAGTGAGGTCGTGCAGCAGACGAAGGATGAGCTTGGAGAATGGGTAGGATCGGATCGTATACACCTCGGGGATGATCAGGTGCCGAATGCATTTCACTTTATTGATAAGTATGCTCAGGTTTCACGGATTATCATTCCCATACTTCGGACAATAGCTCACATTGATACCCTAGCGGAGAGTTATGAACACAATGCATACATGAAGGAGGTCTGGGATGGTTCCATGAATGCAAAAAGAGCTATCTTAAGGGATTTTTTTAGACACGGATTTGATGGTAGTGGAGGAGACAATATGGATGACGCTGGTAGTTGTGTTGATGGCCGGCTGACAAGTGCATGGAACTGGTGTAACAACATTCGATGGAAACCTTTTTATCCGCTCTTCCTTCTTGCTGGTTTTAGTTCCTTTGACGGCGAGCTTGGTCTGTAGGATGAAGATTTTCTCGTTTTTTTTTTTTTTTTTTGAATGTACTGGAGAATATGACGATCACTATTTAGATGGACAATGTGGGCTTGTATGTCTAGCAAAGCGTTTAATAACTCCGTCCACTTATTATTATCTTTTATTCTTCCTGTTGTTGTCATGGTTTTATCTTGGCTTGCTCACTGTATGCCTTTTTGTATTTATTGTGCATGTATGTGAGACTGTGTGTGCGTCTTAATAATTCCGGGTGAGGTGTGGCTTTCCCGAGTAATAAGAAATAAATGGTCATATCTATATATGTAGCACAGTTGTCCTTTTTGTTGTTGTTTCCACTGTTTTGTTTATTATTATTATTATTATTATTATTATTATTATTATTATTATTATTATTATTATTATTATTATTATTATTATTATTATTATTATTATTATTATTATCATTATTATCATTATTATTATTGTTTTTATTATTATTGTTTGTTTTTAATGTCTGATTTTCTTTTTTCAAACTTTTTCTGGCTTTCTTCCTCTTGTATCACCAGGAGGAAGTGGGTCAGACATATGCCTCCTAAACTCCCAAATTTAAAGTACAAGCCGCGTCGTGTGGTTCGTCCCAAAGATGAGTTGGACGAATCCCAGTCCACGGAAGGAATGGAGGACATGAGTCTTGTCCAGTTGGAGCGCCTGCGTCTCCAGCAAGAGGCCGCTCTTCAACAACAGCAACAACAACAACAACAAACATTTGGAGTCGGTACTGCAACACTACACTCTTTACGAGGTGACTCTGCGGCATCAGTTTTGCCTGTTGATAGTGCGTCTACCCGTAGAGCGCCTCGATTACAGTCGGCCCAGATAGCCGCGAGTCGTGCGGCTGCGTTTTTGGCGCCTGAGGCTGAGCGATTTCCCGTTGATACCATGTCAAAGATTCTTGAGGTGAGAGCAGATACGCCTGGCATGACAGTTTATCACCCAACACCCCTAGACTGCACACTCCCTGCCCGCTTGAAGCCGTCTGATGAGGATTGTTTTGTGGAGGGCGATGATCAACGAGTCGATGCGACCACGCAGGACGACGGTGTCGCATTCCTTAAGGAATACGAAGAGGAATTGCGCCGGTCGAGACTGGCCAATATGCGTTTTGAACGTGAGGTGCTCCGTGCTTCTGCCGATAAAATTGATGCAGAAATTTCTATGGGTTGTTCCGATAAAGGTGAGTTTGTGTGGTTTCAACTGCCCCGCTTTCAGGCTGATCCGCCCTTTTTATTAACGCAGCTGCCATCTGGTAAGATTGGGGAGGTGAAGGTGTATAAAAGCGGACGTATGTTGATGGAGATTTGTGGTGTTTACTACGAACTTGCGGTCGAAGGTTATACCGCTGCTGGTGATGTTGCTTGCAATGTTGTGGCCGCCGTGACGCCATCTCAGCAGCCGGATGAAAAGACGAGCTGCTACCAGCTGGGGCTGTTGGAGAAGAAGATTGTTTGCACACCGAGTATCACTTTAGATAAATGAGAGAGAGTGCGTGCGAGAGGGAGCGAGAGACTCGAAGTGTGTTAATTTTCTCCGCCGGGGTGTACGAATTTTCATCTTGTCCGGTAGGATTACGGATTTTAAATAACCATTCGTATTTGAGTGAGCAGTTATTTGGGTTTTTGTTTTCCTTGTTTTCAATGTTCCCAAGCACCAACGGGGGAGGATACGAGGTGGAGGGAAAGAGTAAGATACTCATTGCTGGTCTTTTTTTTTTTTTATTTTATTTAAATAATGCAAAGGAGATGAGCCTTAAGGGAGAGTCTCAAAAGAAGGAGAAGTTTTGGCTGTATGCGTTTCGCGATCATCTTGCGGGAATTCAGGCCTTTACAAGTTGCATCGGTGTTGCCGATGTCCATGGCGACGGTGATTATAAACTTCTTGTTGCAGATGGCAAGCGACGCCTAAAAATATTTGGAGGTACGTCTCTTGTAAAGGAGATGCAACTGCTTTCTGTTCCTTCGGCGTTGACGTCATTTTACGCTGATGGCGGCGATGCAGTGTTTCGACCAGTTGTGGCTGTTGCCTGCGGACCAAACGTCTTCATGTACCGAAACATGGTACCACTGTATCGGTTTACAATAACTCCGGTTGAGATTGATAGCGTGGATGAGGCTGTCTGGGAAGGATTGCGCAACAACACCATATCCGTTGCAGAGGCGGCCGATATGTTAAAGGATCGACAAGCAGACGGGGTGGAGTTGTCGACGCGTTCCATTGATCTTTTAGTTTGTGACAATGCGAAGGAGCGAGAGCGGTTTGTGGAGATGGTAAAGGATACCCCTCTTTCTCAGCCAAGCGTTGTAACGTGCATGAGTTCTCTTTATTTGGATCGAACGGAAGAAGGAAGTCGGGGATGTTTAGTTATTGGCACGGAAAATCGCTATCTCTATGTGCTGAAGAGTTCCTCCACAGATGTATGTCTCAGGATCCGAGTTCCCAGTGTCCCTGAGTCGATTGTGACAGCAGGGGCATTACGGACTGAGTACCGTATTATTTTAGCCTGCCGAGACGGTCGTGTCTATTCCGTAAAGAACGGGAAATTGTCCAATTCTACTATTTACCCAGATGGACAAATTGTACAAATTGCTCGTTATGATAACCTTTTGGCTGTGGCCACCACACAGAACACACTGTCATATTTTACTTTGAAGGGAAAGCGACAGTCTTCTGTCTTTCTTCCTTTTCCTGTAACGAATATAGCCACTATTACGGAAAATGTCTCTGGAAAGGCCCGGGGTATTATTGTGGCGTTGAACAATGGGGAAATTCGAGTGTATGTGGGCAAGTTATTATTGCATGAGAGTCAGGCGTACGGCACCGTCACTGCGATGCATTTTGGCCGATATGGTCGTGAGGATTCGGCGCTTATCCTTATTTTGCAAAATGGCTCTCTTGTAGTGGAATTGTTGCACCGTCATGCGTCATTTGAATGCGAGAATGCCCGAGAGGTTGGCCCAGCTCCAGAGCAAGATGTGCCTATCCCTGTACCACAACTTACGAGTCTGTTTGTGGCACAGGCGGAACGTGAGCGCAAGTATAGCTTAGATATTCATCGTTCATTTCAACGTGATATCTGTCAAATTCGATTGCAGAGTGCCAAATTGTATCTGTCGATGTTGTCTGGCAATGGTGAAGGGGGAGCAGCGGGGGTAAACATTCAACGAAGAGAAGAGTCTATACGTATGATCACAGCTGTGCAGGGTCTTGGTCCTGTTTATAAGTTGAGAATCACTTTGCAAAATTTGAGTCAGAAACCAATGCATAAATTGACAATTTTTTTAAGTTATCCATCAACGTCATGCAAGCTTTCAAAGCACATAATAGAGGTGCCGTTTCTGACACCCTCTTCTCTTTCCACATATGGGGTTCTTTTAGAGCGTCTAGATGGGGATATTGTGGACGGGGGAATCTCTGTGTACTTGACTAGTAGTTCCTCCTCGGTTCCTTTGGCAGCAGCAATGTTAGACCTACCGGACCCAATGATCGTCGAAGAAGGATTCTGAAGAAAGCGCAGGGGAAGGCAACAGGAATGTACAATAAAAAAAGATGATGAAAGAGGTGTTCCCCGCTACTCTCTGTAACCGCTTGTTTTGTTTTTTTTCTTGGTTCCTCATTTCTTTGGTGGCAAAGGTTTTTCCCTTTTGGTATGGTGTTGCATACACATTTTTTTTGATGTTTTGATTTGAATGTTTTCTTGTGCAGGAGATATTTCGTTTGTTTCCCACCGGGCGTTATGGGTGCACACACAGAATACATTTAATTTTTTTTTTTTTTGCCACATTTTTGTTTTTTGTTTTTCATGAATGTTGCTTTGATGAGTTGCTGAACAGCTCATTGGCTGATTATTTTCGGCAGTATGAGCGAGCGTGAGGAAAAACCTAAGGCCGTAGAGTCCTTGGCTGCCCACTCTGGAGTGCGTACCTTGCGCGAGCTGGAGGAGCAGGAGAAGGAACAGCTTCGAAGGGCACTTTACACTGATCCATTGGCAGAGGAGAGTAGGGCTTTGGAGGAAAAATTAGCAACGGAGGACACGGCGAACCAGGCAAGAGAGGCACGAAAGGAGTTTAACCAGGCAACAATGCGTCCAATGAGTGAGAAAATGAAGGGGTTTCGTGGTTTTATGTGTCTATTGGGCAGCGTACAGTCCAAAAATGTGGTTGATGTGTTTATTTTTACAACAGCAGCCATGTTCACAATTCCCATTGTTGTGCTTCTTTTTGGTATGCACGTTGTGGCGCCGTATTTTGGAGCCGATTCGGGCGTCTGTGGTGGGTTTATGGCTTTGGGGTCCACTATCGCGATCATGGCAATGTACGTCATTTATGCCTTTTGGGAGCCTTTTATGGGTCAATCCACGGCGGGAATGATCGCTCAAGAAAAGAAGCATCAGTAGCGAAACGGATTTTTTTTGCATGACTGAGTATTATTATTATTATTATTATTATTATTATTTTGGCGTGATGCTTTTTTTTAAATGGGTTGTTACTGTTTGTAATGTGTGAATCATAACCTTGTTTGTTAATGTTGTCATTTTCGAGGTGCGGTGATGGATGCAAATTTCCACCCCTTTGCCCATTCCGTCAATCCCCAACGCAAGGAATGAAAAACTGTGGTGGTCGTGGAATTTACTATTTGTGTCTGTGAGGGCGGTGCGTGAGAGCCGCTGTGGGCAATAGAGCTGGAGGAACGGGGCGAATTGTCTTGGACCGTTTGGGTTGGTTGCCTCCGGTGGTGATTTATTTGTGGCTTTTCCTGGACTTTTAATTTGGCTGGTGGGTCTTTGGAGGTCGGTTTTGGCCTGAAGGGGACAGAGAAGAAGAGTAAAACAACAACGGGTAAAGTGGGAATCAGTGAAAAGGGGGAGAGAGTGTGTGTGTGGGAAAAGAAGAAGAAAGGTAGCGTCATAGAAAATACAACAAATGCAGGAGTTGCCTGAGGGAGCGAAGTATGGCATTTCGGCGGCCGTCTATGTTGGGCTTGTTCTGCTATGGATGGCCTTCTCGTTCTTTTACGGGAAGATTGTGGATCACTTTTCGAGTAGAAACAGGCCAGAGTACACATACGCAGTGCATTGGTAAGTATGAAACGTCGAGAGTCGTCTAGTATTGTTTGGCGATGGTGTATGATGCGACGCGGCGAGCAACGGCTTTCATGGCGACAGACCTGTTTTCTATTTGGGCTGCAATTTGCGGTCACTGTTCTCTCCGTAGCTGTACTTAAATGGGAAGGGTCGTATCGTTTTCGTGCGTTGGGCGAAACTTGTCTTTTTTCTTTTCCTTTTTTTTTCCCCCCTCTCAGTTTGTTGTTGTTGATTTTTTTTTTCTTTGGAATGAGGATTCGTGTGGAGCGGGCAGTTCGGTAAGTTGCTCCTACGAGGTCTCCTGCCGTTTGCTCAAAATAGGGGGAAAACCATCATAACTGCTGAGAATTCCCTGCCTTCCTGTCTCTCTCTGCGTGCGTATGCCCTTCTGGTATTTTTTTGTGCGCTCTCACCCACACACACAGGCGAAGAAAAGGGTGTGAGGGGGGGAATAGCCCTAACGACACCGTCACTGCAATGATTGTGTCCATAAGACGTGTGTGTCGATGGGCGAAAGGGAGTCATATAACGACGATGAGGCCTGTGGGACGTTTCAAGTGCCAACTCACATGCCTGAAAATTATGTTTTATGTGTGCGTCGTTTGCTGTCTAGTCGGTGTGCTGGGAAACATTTTGGGCGTTTCGCAGCTTCTCCTAGAAAATGTCGATGGAAACTCCACGATAGCAACACGCGGAGACAACACGGGGAGTCCGAAAGTCATGAAATGGACAGGGCGACGGGACACGAAAACAGAATTGGTTGGTAAGCGCAAAGAAAACCGGATCACGGCGAACGGAACAACGCTCTTGTCGTGCCCCGGCTTTGAAGAGAAGCAGTCACCGGCGGCGTATTATTGTGCCAACGGTGCCGCGAACCGCGCTCCTATCTCCTCGCTTCGTGTCCAATCTCTTGCAGAGCTTAATAAAGGAAAAAAATCGTTTCCTATGAGTGCACCTCCTGTGTGTTACGCGTCGAATGGGGTTCCAGTGGCTCGACCTCTATGGGCAAACTCTCTGTTGCGTTTGTTGGTGGAAGAAGGTGTCTACAAGTCGGTATTATCGTTGCTTCGCCAAGACCCATGGTATATTCTGATTGGATGGGTGCCTAGTAAATTTATGGCACCACAGAAACCGGGCCGAAGGACAAATGGGGAACCCATGCCTTCCCAGAATAGAGGGGCAAATGCGACATACTACTTGGAAGCCTACGGGAGTGTTTGGCACGCCAAGGTGGAAGTGGGAACATGGCCCTTTCATTTTCAGCTAGTCCATCGAAACGCCATTGCGGTCTGTGTACGTGAACGCATTCATCTGTACAAGTATTACTGCCTTCCTGATAATAAAATGGAAGCGCTTCCTATTTACGTATGTGCATGTCGTCACTGCGTCGTTCCCGCGGATGACTCTCATAAAGAAATTCCAACCGCGTCTCATGGACGCCCTTTATTAATGAAAGAACCCTCACTAATAGAGATGGCGAAGACCGCCAACTCAAAAATATTCTTAAAAAAAGGTCTGCCTCAGACACCGTCACTTGGGGAAGAGGGTACATGCATTGATGCGTTTGAGGCACCATGGCTACTTAACACTTCGGTTCTCGCCGCCTTTCCATACGAGGGAAAACACAATGACCTCGATGGCCTACTGGAAATTCAGTCCGGTGAAAATGGATTTGTCACCGTTGTGATATTTAACAGCTTTTGGCGCGATCAATTACATAACTTTGTGTACAGTTTTGCAAAGAGGGCCAAGATGCGGAATCTGATTGTCGCTAGCGTGGATGACACTGCGCTTTTGCTTTGTTTGTCCTTTCGCTTGCCATGCCTGAATGCCACCTTATTTGTGGAGCCGGAGAAAGGGACAGAAAAGGGGGGTGATAACGCCTCATCGAAAGGAGGTTTTACACGTAAAGTCACGGAAGAATTTTCTTGGGTGAAACCGCGACTGGCTATTGCCGTTCTTCGTCGTGGGTACACTTTTATGCTTGCGGATCTTGACATCACATGGAATCGCTCTCCCATGCCCTACCTGCTAAAAAATCGTTTGGATTTGGTGCATCAATGCGACAGCAGGGGTCGCCTGAGTATCAACTCCGGACTTTACATGGCACGTCCAAATAGTTGCAACTTACGTTATTTTCAGGATTTAATGTCTTTTCGCACGGATGAGAGTGCGGATCAAAATGCAATGAGACTTTTCATGAATTACGATCACGTTCACGGTGTTTCGCAGCAATGTCTACCAAAATGGGACTTTAACATGAAATGCAACTACAAAGTTGAAGGCTCCGTTAGGCTAGAGGATGGGCGTCAAACTTTTCGCTGGCGTCCATACCCACTTAATGAAAACCCAAAATGGGTGGCGATGCATGCGACATGCCTTTCTGGAGCGAAGGACAAGATCCGGTACTTTAAAGCCATTAAGGCATGGTTTCTGGATGAGCTGGATGCAAAGACGGGATCAACTTCTTCACCAAAGTCCTTTTGTGTCGTGTTACCTTCTTTGCTGAATGCCACAGATGCTCCAAATAGGATTGTGCACGGTGTTTTTGGGACCACCCTTCACAGCGATGCATACAATGAGATGACACCCGACCCAAAATACCTTCAGCAACGACATTAGTTTAATCGTTTGTTTCATCGTGCGATCGACAACGCTGTAAAAAAAAAAAAAATAAATAATAATACAAGGGTGTAGGAATATTATATCGTGCATGTATATATACCACGAGTAAAACGTTTCATGCCTTTTCTGTGGTGTATGACGGAGAAAAAGAGCAGTAGAAGGCATCTGAAGTCACAGTTTTATAAACTTACTTTGTACAGTTGATTTGCGGATACCGTTTTACATCAATGTGGTACATCAGACAATCTGGCCGGCGTTGCGTACAAGTTAACGCCTATTATATCGATACCTCCTCCCCGAAGCACTTTCTCTTAGTAACGCTTAACCCACGTTGAACTTTCCTCCGTGGCGAAGAACAGCACTTGTGTCGAGCCTCATAGCTGAATACATTTGTTCGTAGCAAATGTTCACACATATTTCTTTATTGTCGGTTTTTTTTTTTTTTTACTACAACGAAGTAAAAAAAAACAACGAGGACGGTCAGTGGTGCCATGATCTTTTGAGAAACAAACTGAAGAGCCTGCCGCTCCGAAGAACAGAAACATGTCAAGATTAAATTAATTATCAAAACCACATGCCGAGTCGGAGAATATACTTAAATCCCCGATTTTTACAAAATTAAATTTAAACATAAACTTGCAACCGCGGTGCTTCAAAACTGCGAAAAGAAGTACACTAAAAAGCAAACAACTTTCATGTTTTTAACTGATCGCCACACAAATGCCAAAAAATGAACTTGCATCTCAGACAGCATCCCTCCATGATGTTCTTTATGACTGTCCGTGTATCGGTGTTTTTTTTTCGTGTGTGCGCGTAATCAGCTGTCTTTTTTTTCTCACTCTTTCCTTCTGTAGACTTGTGCCGTTTGTGGTAATATTATTTTTTATTTCTTGGGATCTAAATTGTTTATTTTTTCATGGCGACGTTCCCTGAACTTCTGCGGCCCCTCAAATTGGGGCGCTACACACTTCGTAATCGGATTATTATGGCTCCCTTGACGCGTTGCCAGGCAACAGAAGATGGTCATGTACCAAGGACGGAATCGATGCTGAAGTACTACGAAGACCGGGCATCTGCAGGTCTTATCATTGCCGAGGCGACGATGGTCCAGCCAAACTACACTGGGTTTCTCACGGAGCCTGGCATTTACTCCGATGCGCAGATTGAGGAGTGGAGAAAGATCGTGGACGCGGTACACAAAAAGGGTGGCCTTATATTCCTGCAACTCATTCACGCTGGTCGAGCCGGGATTCCGGAGAAGATCCTTCAGCAGTCGAAGAGTGACCAGGATCCCCTTGCTGGGCGCCTGCTTGCCCCGAGTGCCATTCCCATTAAGGACCATCGGATTCCTGCCTATTTTGCTGCGAGCGGAGAAAAGGAGACCTACGGTGTCCCAGAGGAGCTCACGGATGACGAAGTCCGGGACGGTATCATCCCATTGTTTGTGGAGGGGGCCAAAAACGCCATCTTTAAGGCTGGGTTTGATGGCGTTGAGATTCATGGAGCCAACGGCTACTTACTGGACGCCTTTTTTCGCGAATCTTCCAACAAGCGCCAGTCCGGTCCGTACGCCGGAACGACCATCGACACACGATGCCAACTCATCTACGATGTCACCAAAAGCGTCTGCGATGCCGTGGGAAGTGACCGTGTGGGGCTCCGCATATCCCCACTAAATGGCGTGCATGGGATGATTGACTCGAACCCGGAGGCACTAACCAAGCATCTATGCAAGAAAATTGAGCCACTTTCGCTTGCCTATCTGCATTACTTGCGCGGCGACATGGTCAACCAGCAGATTGGTGACGTTGTGGCGTGGGTTCGTGGAAGTTACAGCGGTGTAAAAATATCCAACTTGCGCTACGATTTCGAAGAGGCAGACCAGCAAATACGGGAAGGAAAAGTCGACGCCGTGGCTTTTGGCGCCAAGTTCATTGCGAACCCCGATCTCGTTGAAAGGGCCCAACACAACTGGCCCCTCAACGAGCCGCGACCAGAAACATACTACACAAGAACAGCAGTCGGATACAACGATTACCCGACGTACAACAAATAACACGGATACCTCTACTCTCATTATATTTGTCTTTTTTTATCAAAATAAGCACGGATTAGCAAAAATGATTCAAACGTTCAACAACACGGGGGAAAACAAAGCAAATTTAACCTGTTTAAAAATATCAGTGGGAAAATGCAAACAATGACTTGCATTATTTGTCAGTTTTGACTGCACCGTAATTACCCAGCACACTTCGCGGGACTCAGCATCCCCATGCACCCCACTCCCTCCGCGTCGCCGCGGGTACCTCGTGTGCACGGCTGCGGACGATGAGCACCCAAAACCGATCAATTAACAGCAACATCTGAGTACATGCTGTGACGCAAATCGTGTTGCTGACGCAGAGTGCCGTCCCATGGCGACACGCGAGCGTTTGTGTGTGCGTGTGTGTGTTTGTTTGTGTGTGCGTATGTGTGGGTGGGTGGGGGAATGAAAGCGCTGTTTATTTATTACTTTCAGCTTGTCAGTCTGGGATTGGAAGGACCACATTGGAGTTGTGTCCTGGACCCGCTGCGTTGTCCTTGCTGCACACTCACGTGGTCCGAGAGTGGCTTTGCCTCTGCTGCTGGAATGCCTCGGCCGTGTTGTCTGCTTCTTATTTATTTTTTTATTTTTATTGTCTCATCTTGCTTGTTTCACAAGCGCCCCCACTAGTGGAGAAGGGACTTTAGCCATGGAGCGGACTTCTCAGCCAGGTGCCGTGGGCCATCTTGGTGCGTCCCGAGACTGAGCGTCACCGAGTCTCTGCCGAAGTGATGACAACAACCGACTGGAGTCTCTGAGCTTCACTGAATGACAGCAATCGTGTTGGAGAATACTCTTCTTTCCCCGGCTGACGGCGTCCCTGTGGCGGCGGTGTGCGTGTGTGCGCACGCCCCGCCTTTCCACTTCCTCTTCCCCTTTACTTCCTCCGCTGCCGTGCGAGTGATGGCGGCCCATCCGTCGTTGCGGCGCACTGACACGGGTCGATGACGACAAACCACTTACGACGGTCTTATGACAATCACCCGAATATGGATTGAACACAAGTGTCTTCACGAGATTTGGGGCGCCGCACATTATTCCAGCCGCGCGTGCCCTGTGACCGAGGCCCCGCGTCCACGCCCTTCTCATTTTTTGCATTCGCGTTTGTTTTTCTTTTTCTCCTTGTCTTTGCTGCTGCCTCTCCACGCGTTGATGAATTTGTCGAATCCGTGTTTCAGCTGAGCGACGATGCTGATACATGCACGCTTTGTCTGTTTGACTTCTGAGCGGGGACTTCACGGGAGGTGTGTCGGAGTCGTGCCATGCCTGTGTGCCAGTGATGGAAATTTGTTGATGTTTCAAGCAATCTCGGACGCGATCAATGACGATCTATTCAATGCATTATCACCTTTCGGGTCTGATGGCTGCCGGATCTTTTTCCTAACCCTCTCCCTGCTTTTTTTTTTTTTCCTAATGCAACGCAAGGCTGCTTGTGATGCAGAAGATGTTCAATTGCACCGATTTTGCGTGAGGACAGCCTAACACAGACCTGCACTGAGATTATCGTCAACTCCTCCCCTTTTTCCAGCCACCTGCTGCAGAATTCAGATTTGCCGCGAATGTGATGACAGAGTTTCCGACGCCGTGTGGCGTGACGAAGACGATGCGTGCCGAGACATCCGTGAACTCAATCTTTCGCTCCGACCTGATGTATAGCGGCGTGCGAGCTTGGACCTCGCCTGTTGCCTACCGCCCGCCCAGCACACTTCGCGGGACTCAGCATCCCCATGCACCCCACTCCCTCCGCGTCGCCGCAGGTACCTCGTGTGCACGGCTGCGGACGATGAGCACCCAAAACCGATCAATTAACAGCAACATCTGAGTACATGCTGTGACGCAAATCGTGTTGCTGACGCAGAGTGCCGTCCCATGGCGACACGCGAGCGTTTGTGTGTGCGTGTGTGTGTTTGTTTGTGTGTGCGTATGTGTGTGTGGGTGGGGGAATGAAAGCGCTGTTTATGGCTTGACTGTGGCGTTTTTTTCTGTTTTTTTTTTTTTGTGTGTCTTTTCTTTGTATATGCAAGCTTGTCTTTGTTACTGAATTAGTTAAATATATATATATATTGCGTTTGTGCGCGTTTTGTACGTGTATTGTTTTTTTCGGAGATCATGAGTGGTACGCGCGGCGACGCCAATGGTTTTGTGGAGGATTTGGAGGTTTTGTTAGAGGACGATGCCTTGCCACACAGGGAGCCTGTTGTGCGTAGGGTCCGTCCTCCTTCAAAAAGGAAGCCCAAACGTTGGGAAATGATGCCTGAGTTTGGTACTGTTACCACAGCTGTTGTCGATGGGTTGGAGGGAACTTTGTCTACTTCAATTGATAATGATGGCATCTTCGCGATGCGTCCACGTTTTCGAAAGGATGTGGAGATGGACAAGCAGAAACACTTGTTTGCTAACGCTGGGCTGGTGGCACAAACATTGACGACGGATTCATTACCCCCCGTGAGTTCTGTTGCCCCTGTAAAGAAAGAAATGGAGAGGTCCTCGTTTTATATTTCTGGGGAGGAGAACGGAATTGGCTTGCAAACTTCAGGATTTTGCATGCAGAAAGCCGAGAAAGAGGTCTCTTTTTCTACCCTCACCGATCCGACGCCCTGGAAGCAACCAGCTTTTGAGGAGTTGGGGAATGATTACGGCGTTGTTGATGCTGGTTGTTTTTTTCATTCAAAGTATTGTTTCAACGATGCCACTAGGCCAACCCGTAGTCCAGAGTCCTTACGTTTGCAGCGGCATCTCCATTCACCAACGCTGTATGATGAAACAGCTGATATCTTTGAAGATGTGGATGATTTTATTCCTGGAAGTCCTTTTAAACGTGACCTTTGTTTGCCTGCGCCGCAATATGCTCGGCACCCGCCAAAGTCAAGCAAAAGGCAGGCGAGGCTCTGTGCCTTCTCGAGCACTCTCATTCCGAGCAGTTCGCTTCCTGGGACCACAGTGGATGACACCGTTGATTCCTCTTTGGTGACGTACGGTTCACCAGTTGCCCTACAACGGTATGATAACAGTCTTCTTCCCAACCATTCAACGGCGGCTTTTCACGATGAAGTTGCAACTAAGGAGCCAAAAAAATTGCCTTCAGGGTCAACCCCTTCCAAGCACTTGGGTCCTCTGGGGCTCTATCCATTTTTTTCGTCTTCGGGCACGCATTCCTTTTTTTGGGATGCGCATGGATATTATGGAGGCTTTTTTGAAGCATAAAAAACGGGTGCGGGGAGGAGACTGAGTAAATGTATAGAAGGACTCGCTGTAAATTGGCCAAATGATGACATGCTTGTTGTGAAGGGGATGCTAATCGTGGGGAACTCTAATTATATACATGTATATATATATCATTCTGCTATGGCTATAGGGCAGAGTCAGGATAAAAACACAATAATTTATGAAACATTGGGTGAAGAAGATCAACTGCGTGTTCTTTGCGCAAGTCCTCAAAGTGGGCTTCAAAAATGGCGTGCGAAAAGGGGTATATGAAAAGTAACGATAAATGAAGGTTTCAATTATTATTATTATTATTTTTTGTAGCCGTGGAAAAACAAATCAAACTAAATTCTCTTTTTTTTTTTTCCTTTTTTTTCCTTTTTTTTTGCGTTGACGGGAAAAATAAAAAAGAAAATGCCCAATGTTTTGGGTGGAGTGAGTGATTGGGGTACAAATTGAAATATGGATACTGGTGGGGATATCTTGTCATGCATCAATACTGCGTCTGATGGGCGATTTGTATATATGAATGAGTGCAACAGTCTGATGACTTGTGCTGGTTTTATTATTCAGTTGTATTTGAATGCATATGGACTGGAAGAATTTGATGGGTTTTGAATTTATTGTGATAACTCCTTTCTTTCTTTCTTTTATATATTGCCTTTGCTTTTAATGCCATGGATGGGGGCCTTTGGAAAGCAAAAGGCTGACAACCTGCCTTGACAGCTTTTCTTTTTTTATATTTTTTGTAAATTTATTATTATTATATATGATGATTATTATATATATATTGTTTTTGTTTTTGTCGGCTTTAGTGTTATTATTATTATTATTATTATTATTTGACTTTTGTGTCTTTTTGTTTGTGATTTTCTTTTGCAAAGGATTTTTGGAGAAGCACGCGTTCTCCGCCTTCATCCAGCACACCTGTGTACCTGTTTTATGCGATGCTTTTATGGTGTTGGGTTTCTACGGGATTTCTTTTCTTTTTGTTTGTTGTCTTTTTTGCTTACCTGATGTGTCTTCGTTCTTTTTTTCTACGCAGGAAGTGTTCCGGTTAGAGTACTGTCGGGCCCGCTCTTCTCCTGTTCTCCCCGCTCTTTTCTTCCGCGTCATTCCTGGGGGTGAGAGTAGCGTCTATCATGTCTGCGCATCGCTGTTCTGGTGACATTGTAATCATTGGGTCCCGCGTCTTTTTCTGCCCACAGAACGAGGAGCTACCGTACTTGGAGTGGGAAGCAGAGAAACAACGTTTTGTTTTGGTGCAACGAGATGATTGTGACGCGGCGCCACTTTTTGTCTCTGAGCAAACTGCCTCGGGCGAATTGGAGTATGGGGCAGTGAGGGTTCCATGCTGCGCTCTGTACGGCGTTATACCTCTCAGGACTACATCCATATTGTTGTATGTTAATCATCAAGAACATGTGGCGACATTGCCCTTTTCTGCGTCACACGAGGTGTTTGCTGTAAAGCGATTTGCATGGATGCGACTGCCATCACCAAAGACTCGCTCACCAGTTTATGATGGATTGAAAGAGGATGACGGAGGGCAAAACGGCTCTTATCAGGATCTTTCGGAGGATATTCTGGGTAAATATTGTGCGTTGATTGATCGATTCTGCACAGAGTCACAGCAACATTCAGGGGGTTCGTATTTTTTTTATTCCCCGACAATCAATTTGGCGCTGGATCCATGTGCTCTAGCCGAAGGCCCGACGAAAAAGCGTTTTGCGGCTTCTTTTTCGGGGAATAATGTTGACAGCCATAAAAATACTCGTCCCAGATTGGATAACGTTGGTGAGCACTCGTTACTTGCTTTTCAATGGAATACCCCATTACTTCAAGCATTCACGCCATTGGAGGTTTATTCTGGTGGTATATTCTTGTACGTGCCGGTGTTTATTAGAGGTCTTGTTTCCATGTCTTCTGCACCTTCGGACGGCGTCCAGTTGTTGCTTATTAATCGACTTAGCTACCGTTGGGCCGGCACCCGCTACAATCGACGTGGGCTGGATTTAGAGGGCAGTGGCATTTGTGCTAATTTTTCGACGTCGACCCTGTGGGTTTTTTCTGCAGAGGCAGAAGAGCAAGAAAAAGATGCGTCAGTTGCATCTCTTAATGGGGAGAAACGGATGGCGTCGTACCAAATTATTCGAGGGTCCATCCCACTTCACTGGAGTCAAAGAGCGAATTTGGCCTTTACTCCAGAGGTTAGCATTTCATCACCAGCACGTGCGGTAACTGAACTCATTTCCCATCTGAAATTATTGAATAAGCTTCTCCGGGGTATCTCAACGTTGCACTTCATTGATACAACATCTCTCAGTAAAGTGGAGCGGCCGCTTTCGGAGGCTTTCGGGGCAGCAGTTACGAAGTTTTGTGAGTCTGATTTAAGGCATGATATTCCCTATGATGTTCATTATACCAAGTATGATTTTAAGGACAGGATGAGAAGGAACTTATCCTATGATGAGATCAGTAACGGTTTAAATGAACTTGCCAGTGGTTGTGTGAATGGTGAGGTAAAACGTCTGGACTTTACGCAGTGGTGCAGAAAACCCATGAGTAAAGAGGACGGTTGTTTAGATGTCGGGGAAGATGACACATGTCACTTTTTTTGGAATAAAATACACCAGCAGAAGCACTATGTACGTGTGAATTGCCTGGACTGTCTGGACCGGACAAATCTCGTTCAGTCCATGATTGTGGTCAATGTGCTTCCGCGCATGATTTGCTATGTGCGTGGAGAGAAGTCTATGGCTAATAATTGCCACAATGAGAACGATGCTGCGACAGAAGATAGTGACACAGAAGAAGAAAAATATGAGGAATCCATAGGACTGTGCAAGGAACTTTGGGCCCAACAGGGTATAGCACTTTCTGAGCTGTATGCTGGGAGTGAACCTCATTTTCTTAGATTTCTTTTAAAGGGCAGCTTGGGACCATTTGGAAGGCAACAGGAAGCCATTCTTGCATCACGTCGTTGGCTTCAGCAGAATTTTTACGATGGTGACAAACAAGATATTATTTCCATAGTTACTCGTCAACACGATCCGGCTCTTGCACAATCCGAATTTGAAAGACGCTTTCTACGACCCTTTTCTTTTTTGAACAAAATGGTGGTGTTGGGACTTTTTGTCGCGATGTTTGCTCTTGGGGTTAATCTAATTGTTACCCTTTTTGTACCACGGGATCGTATTTCAACTGGCCCTGTGTTATATTCAATTGCCTGGGTGATTTACATAGGTGTTTTGATTTTTTTAATTATGCGTGATGGTGTTAGCTACACCAACAGTCCACTATTTAGGTGAATAGTGATCAGGTGTTTGGTGTAAGGAGGATTATCTCTGAATTTGTTGGGTGGTGGTGGTGGCGGCGATGGGAATGATGAACGGGTTAGTTGGTAGGGGGAAATGGAAATTCGCTCATTGCGGCCTGCAGCGTGAGCAGTCACGTTTCTTCTTTGGCTCCACTTGTCACGAAACAAGAAATTGAAGGGGTGAAGAAGAAGAAGAAGGGGTGGAATTGAGCACGTCTGACCATGTGGCAGAGGTTTTTGGCGCGTTGAAATGGAAAATTACGGACAGTGTCATTTCTGCACGCATCTTCATCTTTTTTTTTTTTCCATCTTTTCTTTTCCCCTCCCTTTTTTTTTGCTGACAATTTTTTTTCGTGCTTATTGTTGATGCTGCGACTCCTCGTTTTTCTTTCTCTCTTTCTCTTTCTTTTTCTTTTTTTTTTTTTTGTGGATTCAGGGAAAATTTAACGGGTGTTTTTTTTTTATCAGCATTATTATTCCCTTTGTGAGTGTCTTCCCTCCCGTTTCCGGCCCTATTCGCAGCGCCTTTTGGGACGAACTTCTTTGATTTGTTCCTTTTTCTTCAGGCCTTGCGTGGGGCGCCACAGAAATTTTTGTGCATCTCCGTTGTTGTTGTTGTTTTCTTCTCCCTTTTTTTTTTTTTTTTGTGTGTACGGGGGTTCTGTAGCTACTTTTGTTATTTTTTGGGTCTTGTTTGAATGTACTGCCAGCAATTATGTGAGTACTTTTTATTTTATTTTATTTATTTATTTTTGGAGGGAGGGGGAGAGGGGCTCTGCGTCTGTGTTTTTTGCCGTGGCCCTTCTGTATTTATTTGCAAGGGCTGTTCGTGGGAGAAATATGATTCCACGGGTACGACGGGTCTCATGCCTGGGCCGGGATATGAGTCTTAAGTTTTGTTGGCTTCTGCTGCTGATCATCGTTTTTTACGTTTTGACGTTTGAATTTGTCTTGTTTTTGTCCCCAGTGGCGCCGCGGGCCCGGTTGGTGCCGTGGAGAACTTTTGACTCGTTGGCGATGGCACCACGAAAGAAGCACGACACGGTGATGGACCACCACTTTCCGGTTCCGTTGTCCTTCACCACGTCTTTGGATTCTTCAATAAAAACATTGGACCGCCAATGATGCGCCGCCGTACGGATGGTCTTGAGGCGCGCCAATGCCGTTTACTGTCCCCATGGTGCCTTCCTTCAGTGCGTCGTGGGTCGAGCCTGCAGTACACTTACGGATAAAAAAACGGGCGTGGAAGTATCGGAAGTTGCATTGAGAAGAGAATACGACAGCGCTAAAGGAGGCGTGGCAGATCCCTGGATAATCGTCAAACATAAAGGCATTTCTCCTATTAATCTGGTGCATCAAGGAAATGCATTGCTTTCAGCACTTGGTCTTGCGCATTTGGTGATTCGCATCGAACGTGATATTCGTGCGTGTCGCCTACCCTCACCAGATGCAATATTGGCCGCATGTAAAACGCCGAATGCCACAAATCCAAATGAACTTGCTGAGCGGGCAGTTCTAGTGGAGTTCTCAACGGGGAATGCCAACCTTCTTTTTACTTTTTGCCCGCCGGATCCCTTGCGCCGATTGCGCTGCTATGGTGTGGAAAAGGACCCTATTTTATCTTCTGATGCAAAGCCTTATCAAAAGCATATGAGTATCGAAAATGGTGATGTTTCGCCGCTAAGAGATGGGTCGGCACCCCACGTGCTGCTTAATGGTATCTTGCATTTTCTTCCTATCGAGGAGTCCTGCGCGTTGATTCGTGAGGGTTTGCGTCTTTTGATGCCAAAAGGAATTCTTCTAGTGGTGATGTTGTCTGTCGGCACCTCCAGGTCACGGCCGGCGGGTTATCATCCATTTTTCTTTAACGATACGGCGGTAAAGGCGAATGCTTTAAATACTTCTCATGCATCGACCACTTTGCGGTACTGCAGTACTATTACGAAGGATGACTACAATCAGTTTGTAGAAAAGGTTGAATTCCTTTGGGATGCGCCCGAGTTTATTTTTTACACACCGGACTTTAAGCGGACTGGTGTGTACGCTGTGCGTCTAACACGATCTAAAAAGATGATGCCACCTCTGCCGGGTAAGGGACGACGGACCGTGACACCGAAAGAAGAGGAGCCTGCACTATACAAGGATATCTGCACGAATCCACAGGAGTTAAGCCGTGTTAAGGACGCACAGGCACTATGGAGAGAACGTTTAATTGAGATGCAGAGTGCCGGTGTTGGCAAGAAGCTTAGAAGAGGGTATGAAGTATGGGTGAGGAAACGAGTTTAGAAAAACTTTTTCTTCTTATTTATTTATTTATTTTTGTATGAGCTTAGCGCGGAGATAAAGAAGAAAAGGAATTTGCATGAGGGCTGAATAACCAACGAATAACGACTTCTACGCCGACTTAACGCTTCTCTCCATAATGCGTCTATTTACTTATCTTTTTTTTTTTTTTTGAAGAGGGGGGATTACTATTATTATTGCCATTATTATTTTCCATTTGTTGTCCTGCTTAACTACTGCCTTTGCTCATCATCACATCGCGGCACGGCGTTGTGGCTTGAGGGCCCCGAGGCATTTTGAGCTGCGAATTCGCACAGATAGAGGCTTTGATTATTATTATTTTTGTTTTGCGGCTTTTTTTTTTTACACCATTATTTATTTATTGATTTATTTATTTTTGCGTATTTTAATTTATTTAATTTATTTACGTGTCTGTGTGAGTGAATCTCGAATATTGTACGTACTTATTGTTATTATTATTATTGTCGGTGTTGTTATTAATATTTTTTTCTTTGCTTTTACTGACGAGGGCGAGAGGCAAGACACTGACGGGGAAACGAACGCTTTGGTATCTTTTTTTTTTTTTTTTTGGCGTGTGCATTGCTCTGCAGTTGAGCTCTTGCTTTTTTACAAAGATGTCTTGTGTGCTTTTTTTGTGGAGGCGTATTTCTGCTTGTGCGTGTAGCGGTCCGTCGTTCTTCTTCCGTTGTGATCCCTCCGCACGGTGGTGGTTCATTGCAGAGGGGAGGGGGGGGGAAGGAGAGCAGCGTGTTTTTCTGTTGGATTTATTTATTTCTTAATTTACATTTCAGTTATGTCTGCCGCTTTCCCCCTTTTTTCTCTATTTATTTATTTACGAAACAGAAAAGGGGTTTAACAATATAAAATAGAAAAAATACAAGAAAAAAAAAAGGAAAGAGTCGCTGTGCGTTACGTGCAGACATACACACGCCCGGTGAGAGAGAGAGAGGGAGGGGGATACGCGAAGCGTTGCACTCTTTTTCACTCAGTGGGCCGACTTAGGGAAGAAAAGAAGAATTTATTTATTTATTATTTTTATTTTTATTTGTTTTGGAGCGGGTGATTTATTTTGCCCGCATCTACAGACACAAACGTCATTCGGCATTCTTCACCTCCCCATTGGTACCTTCTGAAGTGGCAACAGAGGCCGAGCTACGAACGGACACTCAGCAGGGGGAAACGCGGGAAATCTCACGGATTGGCACATTTGAAATTATGTCGTGGTCCACACGCTGCTTTTACGGGCCGCTTCACGAGGTGGCCGACCCTCTTGTTTTGCGACGTGTGATGATGCGATTTTGGAGCCCGTTCTGCCGTGGATTTGTTGGGCCGGATCTCCACACATACGACTTTAAGAAAGTTTTTGACAGCATTCGAACCAGTGATAGTGACTTTACGTGTCAGGTAAACGGCCGAGTGGGTAACGCCAGACTGATTGAGGATTTCTTTCTTTTTGTCCTTTGTGGTTTTGACTTTGTTGATGTGAAGTTGGAGAAATCATCCACGGCGGATGTGGCAAGTGACCCGTGCAATTTCAGGGGTACCTACACGCTGGCGCACACTCGGCCATTCTTGGGATGGATCCCTCCACGCGCGGCACACAGCCTGGGGACAGCAGCAACTGACAATAAGCCTGATGTATGCAAAGATAAAAATGTCGACGCCTCCGGGAGCGCAGAACAAACATCTGAGGAAAAGTTGATGATTTCTTCAACAAGATTAAGTGTGGAGCGGCAGACGCGTCTGCTGAAGGTTTCATTTTCAGCTCGAATGGAGGGGTCTGAAAACGGAATCTCTCACATTATCCTTCGTTCTCCCGTGGTCGATGTTATCATGGGCAGTCACGATTGCCCTGCCACCCTGCAGAGTTGTCTTAAAAATGAAGAAGCACTTAAGGCTGTTGTTACTCTCCGTCGCGCAAATGTGCGACCGGAGCTGATCACTGACAAGACACTACTTGAAATCACCGCGAAAAAGGAATCCTGGGCCTCCGCGTTAGGCATTCTCTAGTCAATGCCGTTGGCATGCAAAAAGTGATGGGTAATAATAACAAGGAAAAAAAAAAACAAGAAATAAAGATGAGAAAGTGGGATTGACACACGCAAAGCCCTTTTTTTTTAATGTTTTTCGATCCTTTCGGCCTGCGAAGGGAACGATTGGACCGTGGGATGTGAACTTGGTGGCGATAACACAGGAAACCAACTATGGTGTGCTTTCTGTTTATGGGTAGGTGGGGAGGTCAAGGCTTTCTTGCTGATGCACGAAAGATAGACGGTCTTAATACATATATATACACATATATATATATATATATACTGTGTAAAGCCGAAGAAAAGAGGCTTTAGCTTTTTTATTTTATTTTATTTTTTGTATCGAAATCGGGGGAGGATGTGAGAGGCTTTCTTTGATTTGGATGGCCCTTGCATTTGGCGTCTATACGCCGTCATCAGCATCGCGCCCTTCCATCTGTTGCTTTTTATTTTGGCTTTCTAACCAGTTTACGGTGACGTCTCCAGTTTTTTTTTTTAATGCGGAAAAGTGTGACGGAAGAATTCATGGGATGCATGTGCTGACGAGGGAGTAAGGGTGGTGTTGGGGGAGGTAGCAGGACTTCGAGGAATACTCTTTACAAGTACAACGGAAGGGGCGAAATGGACTACTGTTTGCTGAGTTCTTTGGTCATTTCTGCAGCAGAGAACTTCACTCTCTTTTTTGCTTTTGGTTCAGCTGCACTCATTTCCACTTACGCCGATTACGGAGGCGTCAAAGGGGATGTAATGCGTTCTCCCTCCCTCCCACCCACCCGCCCAGACAAAAAAAAAAAAAAAAACAGAATGAGTAGTATTTTTCGTTGCTAATGATGAGTCTTTTTTTTTTTTTTTTCGTTTGAGAGGTTTTCAACTCTCCGTCTCTCCGGATGTACGTCCCTTATTTCAGTTTCTTTCTGCTTTTTTTTTTTTTGTGTGTGTGTGAGTACGTGTTTTTTGTTATTTTTATTTATTTATTTATTTTTACGTGTTCTCGCACCTCAACTCCATCCCCACTTCTTCCCCCGCAGTCATGGAAGGACGAAAAGGTGAACTGTTTGTTAAATTTATCTTTTTTCTTTTTTGTTTTCACAGTCCATTTCCCGCCGCAGTACGAGCGCTGAGAGGGAGGGGAGGCTGAACGTGGGGTGGGGGGCGGCGGGTTTTTTTTCTCTCTCCCCCCGTCAAAACAACAGAGAGGGAGAGGGAGAGGGAGAGTGGAATAAATATAAGAAGGAGAGGAGAGGGGGGAAGGAAAGGAAGAGCAGCTGTTTTACCCCCCACGGTGCATTTGTTCCTTCCATTTCCTTTCTTTTGTGACTGATTTGATTCGTTGCTGAGTTCTCCTTGTTTTCTTTCTTTCTTTCTTTTCTTCTTTTGTTCTCTCTCTCTCTTTGCGTTTAGTGAGGAATAATCTGCGGGGACCATGCGGGGTGTATCTGCTGCCGAAATTGGCAAATTCCGTGAGCTTCAGAATCATTGGTGGAACCCGGATGGCCCTCTACGCACGTTGCATTTCTTTAATCCTCTGCGCGTGAAGTATATAAATGACACATGCAGGAATTTCTCAAAGCGGTCCAGTTTACTCGCTTCATCCGGCATCACACCTGGAATGCGTATATTAGACGTGGGCTGCGGTGGCGGTATTCTTTCCGAAAGTCTTGTGCGATTAGGTGGTAACGTATTGGGCATTGACATGTGCGAAGAGAGCATTGCTGTGGCGCAGCAACGTCGTGAGCAGGTGTTGCAGGATGTGGCCTCTTGCACCCTACAAAACGGTGCGGCGTCGCTTGAATATCGCTACGCCTCCCTCAATACAATTGCGGTGGAGGAGAAGCAGCAATTTGACCTTGTGGTTGCCTCAGAGGTTATTGAACACGTTGACGACGCACCGCGTTTTCTGCAAGATCTTTGTGATGCGACAAAACCGGGCGGACTCCTCATCATTTCTACGATGGACAAGTCCATTCGAGCAGCTATTAGCCATATTGCTGTTGCGGAGTATCTCACTGCATTGGTGAGGCCAGGTACGCATGACTGGTCAAAGTTTGTCCCTCCCAAGGACCTTTCCAGATGTGCGCTACAACATCAGGTGCGTCAGGTAGATCTTCAATACATTGTGGCATGTCCGAACATATTAATGTCGTTATCTACCCGGCAAATGCAATTGGCCTTTTCGCTTTCGAAGAGGTTTGATACAGGTCACTATTTTTGGTCTGGTTTGAAGGTGACAGCCCCTGCCTAAATCTTCAATTTGTAGTTTGTGCCGATTCTCCGGCTGCGTTGAGACAAGAATAAGAAGGAAACGTTTTTATTTTTTATTTTTGACTTCAGTGTTTCTTTTCACTGGGGAAGAGTTGAGGGAGGGGATGTTTATCCTCTACTGGCGGAAATGCCTGGAGAAATTATTTTAAATTTAGAATTCTATTTTTATCGGCGTACAGATGTATTGCTTTTTTTTTTTTTTGGTTTTGTATGCATGGATTTTCTTTTTTGTTATTTTATGTATTATTTATTTATTTATTTATTTATTTATTTTTACTTGTTTTCTGTATTCTGTTTTGTCTTTGCTAGAGGTGAGGGTTTTGGCCCTGGCGCCAGATATTGTTACTAGACATCCATGACTGTCAAGGGGACGATTCGGTTTGAGGACCTTGGAGAGCCGGTGCAGCGGCTTCTGAGGTCACTGAAGGGCGGCTACACGGAGGAGGACATGGCGTTGCTCGAATACGTCTCCGTGAAGGACATGGCAAGGATCTACGGAGAGATGTCTTCTGAACGTCACGCGGAAGAAATTTGGGAGGAGCTCCGTGCAGCCCTAAAAGCCCGGCAGGAAAAGGCAGCACGCCGTGAGTTGGAACTGCGCAATAGGCAGCGGCAAATTGAAGCCGATCGGGAGGCAGATGAACGGGCACGGCGCGAGCAGGAGGCGCTCGAAGAGGCGGAACGGCGAGCGGCGGAGGCGCGGCGTGAGCGACACGAGACACTACGCAAAATTCGTGAGGAGCAGGCCGAGGAAGAGGCAGCAGCGGCTGCTGCGGAGGAGGCCGCTTTGCTGGCGGCGGAGGAAGAGAAACTCAGGCGGAAGGCAGAGAAGAGGCGAAAACGGCAGGAAGCGCGTGAGCGGGAATTACAGGAGCAGCAAGAGGCGTTGGAGGCGGAGCGGAAGAAACACGCGGCTGGAACTTCGGCGTCGCAGAAAAAGGCCTGGGAGGAATATGTCGCCAGTCATCCTCTGGAGTTTGGCATTGGAAATCAAAACATTGAGCAACAACACGTCGAACACAAGTTGAGGGCCCCACCTTCGGCCACAACAGACCTCCTCAACCGGACATATACACCCAAGTGTCCTAACTGTGCAACAAAGTTTATGTCCCCTCCAAAGGAGTGGGATTGTCCTCTTTGTCTGAGACGGACACGTCAGCATATCAAGGTATGGCAACCAGACGATTCTTCTAGTGAATGCATGATTTGTCATGCGGCTATTGGTCGCTTCTCTCGCCATCACTGTCGGAGCTGCGGCCGGTTAGTATGTGATACATGTAGTATGGCAAAGGCTATTATTCCAGCCTTGGGATTTAATGCTGCTACAAAGATATGCGATGACTGTGCGCAGATGGGTCAACGACCCAAAGAAACATTCTAAAACGAAGAGCAAATTTGTTCTTCTAGCAGGTGAAGTTCTTTGTTTGCTCTGGTGTCTGGCTTGTTTTTTTTTTTTTTTTTTTCCTTTTTTTTTCTTCTGCAAGATCTTTTAAAAATCTGCGAGAGGAATTTACACAAAAAAATGGTGACTACGCCGCTTTTACTCTTCCTTCTCGCCATGCTTAAAAAAGAAAATGAAAGAATCAAAGGAAAAAGAACAAGCAGTACATTTCTTTGTAAATACATGTCAGAGACCGTGCACTGTATTTATTGGCGAGTTTCTTGCTTTTGTTTTTTGAATAAAAGCGATGGGGAAGGAAAGAACAACAACAACAACAAAAAACCATGAACAACAGTAGCTCACTCACGTCATCTGTTGTTTTCTTTTGTTTTTATTGGCAAGATTACAAAAACGCCACATATGTTCTCCATTATTATGATATTTCCGCCTGTGTGGAATAACAGCGGGGGAAAGGGGGATATTGCGGGCACGGCAGAGAAGCGGTGACTATCTGCCGATCTCAGCACTCGTTATTTGCGACGCTGCATGTTATTCTTCACTTGTTTGCTTTCTTGTTGTCGTTGTTTGTTTGTTTGTTTGTTTGATTGAATTCTACTCTGTGCCTTTCCGTAGTGTAAAAACGAGAGCATTCGATAACAATAGTAATAACGTGAGGGAGCAGGCCTGAAGGAAAATAACACACACACACACACACACGGAATTAATAAGGGATTATGGATACTGTGGTTCTCACCGTCAGCTCACTTGTACATCAGGCGGAGACTTTTACATTTCCGGTTGTCCGTAGCAAGTCTTTGGCAGTCACTGTCGCCGTAGGTATTCCCGTCGCGGTGCTCCTGCATGACACGGCAGACCGCTGGCTGCCAAAAAAGTGGGAAATACCCATTATCTCTTGGTTTCGCCGCAAGTGGCGTCAGGACCCCGAGACAAAGGTGGTGCACCTGGCGCTGGCTCGCAATGCCGTTCTATTTTTTTTTGTAGCCATGGCATTGAGCGAGAGCCCGTACTATCAGACGCCCGTCGACTACGTGTCAGACCGTGTCTCCAGTTCCTCCGCGCGCAGGGCCTTGGATGAGGAGATAAAGACATCTCGACGAGTCGCATTTGGAGCCGCCAACGACGTCGTGGGAGAAGAAGGACTCAACGAGGCGGGCGTCCGCCAGCAGCGGGACACGGCGCTCCGTCGTCGTTTTGTACATGAAATCCGCTCCGAGAACTAGGAATCATGAAGTGCTGGGAGTAGGGACGGGATGGATGGATTGTCATAACGGCAATTTTTGTTCACCCAAAAGGTGCCACTCCTGTACAGATATTCGGCGTCGAATACAACGACAGAAGGAAGAGAAAAAGAAAAATGGTGAGTGAAGGGGTAAACGAAGCCCACAGAGGTCCGACGTACGAAACAAAGAGAAAAAAAAAGAAGAAAAAAACAAAAACAGACGAAGGGCGTGGGGGAAAAGGGTGATGAACTTTAATTATAAATAACAAAGAGAGAGGGAAGGAGCCGATGGCTGTGCTGAAGATAGCGACAGTAACTGGGCAGCGTCTTTTTCTCTTTTTGTTTTAATCTATTAATTTTGTTGTTGTTGTTGGAGAAGGAGGGGAGAGGGGGCGAAGTTTGTGTGCTCCCGCAATTAACACGGCGTGGGTGTTTGTTGTGAGCCTTTGGGGTGAGAAGGGAAGCACGCAACAAAGTTTTGCCCAAGGGGAGAGGGGGGAAGGAGGCGATTCAGGGGTACAAGTAAGCAGACCATGTGATTGGGATACTCTCTTGTATCTTTAATTTCACTTTTTAGTTTTTGCTTTCCCTAATGGCGCCTGCTCTGCGTGTGCCTTTTTTGAATGAAGCACCCACACTGCTGCAGTATTCGCGCGATCGCATCCAAATGACACTTAATAAATTATATCTATTATTTTTTAAATATTTCCTTTGTTTCCCCGCCCCACTTGTCCTTCCAAAGACGGGTTTTTGCACCGGCCGTTGATGCGCCCGGTTCATCATGTGCAGTGTTATGTTTGGCTTTATCTCTTGTTTTGGTCAACATGTTGAACTTTTTTAAATTTATTGCTGCTGTTGTTATTAATATTGCTTCTGCGAGAGGAGAGGGTGTCGCACAAATAACACTGTGCATGGTGTGGGGCGACGACGAAATACATATAGAGAGGGCATTTTTTTTTTTTTTTGAAGCGTGAACCATAGAGGAAAAAGAAAACGAAATAAGGGCAGTTTTTTTTTTTTTTGTATTCCATCTTTTTGCGTATATATAAATAAATATATAGATGAACCGCAGTGGCGATGCAATTGCGTTGCGTGACACGGCAGCGTACAAGGATTTTTACCGTAGCCAACTGCATGATATGTCGACAATGAGCGGTCCCTTAAAGGTGGCAGCAATGACGTCTTCAATGTCAATGGGAGCTGCAGGAGCTGCAGCAGCACATCCGACGGCAGGATCTGTGGTTTCTGAAGACACTGTACTACTTGAACTTCTTATTCCTGTGTATCTTAAGCTGGAGGATCGTGAAGAAGTGTGTCGCGAACTTGGTGTCTTTGTTCAGACGGGGCGTGGTGGGGTGAATGGTCTCTCACGAAAGGTGTGTGTGCGTTTGACGGACCCTGCGGACCCTTTTTTTCTGTTTGAACTAGAGCTTCTTGAGGATGACTACGGCTCATTCAAGCAAAGATTGGAGCTTCTTGTGGACTTTAGTGGGTTTCCGCGGTATCTTGTCTCCATGTTGAATGGCATTGTTAACGGAATTACACCGTATGCGGTTTGTTTTGTGGTGGACAACCGGGACACGCTGCGCGGGACGTTGCGGGTGCTTGAACGGACGGAGTTTCGTACGGTGGAACACATTTCGCTTCTGTTGTTGCGACAAGGCGATGCAGGACAGAAACGGTACCTGGCGGAGCGATTTCAACACTTTGAACGGGCGTACATGCGGGAAGTGGAGGAGCATCGCTCCGACTCCGCCGCTGCAACTGCGAATATCGAATCCTTGAAAAGTGAGGTGGCGGCGTTTCAAGAAAAATGCGACACGCTCCGGGAGCAGTTGAGGGAGGAGGTCGCGAAATCAGAAAAGAATCAGTTGGCCAGCGTCAGCCAGCTGCGTGGGGAGCACGCCAGCGAAGTTCTTCAGCTCCGCAATTCTTTGGAAAGCGAACTCCGTCGTATAACGTGCAAAGCAGAGGAGGTCCAGGCGCAGCTTATGGAGGACGTGAGGACGAAGGACAGGGGGTTGCAGGAAGCCAACCAGCGCGTTGCTTTGCTGGAGTCGTCTGTTGCAAAGCTGCAATCGCAGCTGCGAGTTGCTGGAGATAAATGCGATGCCCAAGCGAAGGAGCTGGAGGAGCTTCGCTCCTCTAATCATGAGCTCCGGGACTTTCGCTCAAATGCCACCCGATCCATCTCCGACAACGAACTTAACTGCGTCAAACTGCAAGAGCGTCTGCGTGGCCTGGTGCTGACCCTGAAATCACGAGATGAGGAGGCCCAGTCGCTGCGGGATCAGTACCAGAAGCAGGACAGCTACATTCATATCCTTACCTCGCAAAATGACCAGCTTACCGAACAGAACAAAAAGAACGAGGTGTCATTAAAAAAGGCACATCATATCATTTCTACCCAGTTAAGGCACATCAAGGGGGCGAGGGAACGTGA